CAACATCCGTTCTAACCATATAATGCCGGGTGCAGCATGATGCTCCGCCTCAACTTCTCTATTCTATTGTTCATAACTAAAGTTATATAACTTTGTTTCTGTTAGTTCATCTTGTCATTAGACATAACATTTGCAGAATCTTCTATGAAAATAGAAATACGTGCGTAGATAATAGATGAGCTTTTAATAATGTCATTTTATTTATTGATGAATTTATGACTCTATTTGAATTTTATACTTTTTGACATTTCAATATTTTATTGGATAAAGTTTCAACTAATGAAAGGTAATTAAATGAATATTTTATCTAAAATTATTTTATTTTGATGGAGATTTAAATGTAACATATGAAAAGATTTAGTTGTGAATTATTTTTAATATAATATCCCTTTTTGTTGCAATATTGAAATATTTATATTGGAAAGAGTGGAATATTACTTTATTTCGTGTTGTTAAAGCTTGTAAATTAAAAATGATATTTTATTGAGTTGGAAATAATTTAATGTATTCAATACTTATAATTATTTCTCAAATAATAAAAGGACAATTTCTATTGATAAAAAAAAACATCAAAAATATGAAAAAAAAATTTTTTAATTGAATTATCTTCGGATGTCTAGAATTCTAGATGCTCAATTAATTTCAAAGAAATATTAAAATTCATTCAACTATTTTTGACAGTAAAAAATGAAAAAGTTGTTTAAATAATTAATGATTGTTTGGTTATTAAATTAATAAGAAAATGTTAAGAATGATGTTAATTTGTCAAACAAATATTTAAACATATCAATAGTTGGTTATTTTTAAGATCTAGGATATTCCACTCGACATTGAAATAACACAACTCTCCGTAGTACATATTGGTTAATGTAATACCAGATGTTAATACTGCATTGCAACGAAGATATTAACGATAACATACTCTATGTTGAATTAATTATCTGTGAAACTACTCAACAGGATAATTTTCGGTAATTGAAAGGCATGTACAGTTGTAAGCATAACGAACAATGACGTGTTAAAAACTATTTACGTCTATCAGAATTATTATAATAAATATCAGAATATAAAAATCAACTATTATGGAATTTTCATGGGCTTTAAATATTCAAATAAAAAAAAAAACATTCAAGAATTTTTCGGCTCCAAAATACAAAAGCTTATAAATTGTAACAAAAGATGATTTCCTTTTTGTTATTCAAAACATCCAACAGATGACAATGAAAAATGTTTGTTACAAAAATAATTGAATGAAATGACTTTTTCAACTGGTAGATAAAGTCAACGAATTAAATAAAATAATAAAACGTATTTGAAGATAAAGTTTATCGAGTAATAAAGAAAAATGAAAAATGGCATCTTTCGATGCACTCTCGACAAACGATTCCAATGTCTCTTGGTCCCTATAGGTAACTCTGCTCCAAGTCAATTTGAGAATCGATTTATTCCGGTTCCTTACAATCGACGTTGGAGTCTGCAAGTAAATCCAATAACGAACGTCGGGAAAGACGAGCATTCGAGGAAAGTGGATTATTTACCGAACGTTGTAGCCCGTTTTTCTCGATAATCCTCGATATATACGTTTTCTCATTCCCTCACTCAATCTGACAACTACTAAAGAGAAGCCCCGGTTGAGGTTTGATTCAACAATTTCATCATTTCCGTTGAATTTTTATCCGAAATTAATTAAAGAAGAAAGGTGGAATTTTCCATGAATTTTCAGACACATTTATTCGAGTAATTAAGACCTTTTCACCATTTTTCACTATTTATTTTTATTTTCTTCAAGTATGTTTTATTGTAACTGGAACAATATACACAACTCGAGAGGCAGAAGAACATGAAAAATGAACCGAGGAAAAGGGACAGAGAGACCACGCGATAATTATCTAGCTCAACGAGAGTAACAGGATTATCCTCTTAACGCTGTGTCATACAGAGGAGAGGAGTGAGCGCAAAGAGAGAAATAGCGAGAAAGAAGAGGAGGGGATTGCATTATGCATAACTAGTACCAATGTTCACATATGTTTGCTTTCTGGTATAAACATTGCCCCACAACACTGCAGTAAGTTAAACAATGATGAAAAAGAGAGAAAGCAAATGAAATTTATGAATATCACTTTGTACTTGTGATTTGTACCAACAGAAAAATATTATTCCTAGAAGTTTATTTGTGTTATGTCGTCTTTTATGTGTTATTACCTATTTTGTGGTATGATGATTTATTTTATTTGTACCATTTATATGAATTACATTGAAAAATATTGATTTCTTTATTTAAAATTTTTTTAAAACCATTAAATCTTCATATAATCTTTCTAAATGAAACAGTGAAAATTATGGAATGCAACTAGAATCAGTGAATATTTATTAGATTTGCAGTTAGAAGAGAGATTAAAGCAGTATTGGGTGACCAGAAAAAATTTTTTACTTAAATGCTTTTAATAAAAACGAATCGATGTATCTGAGTAACGAAAAAATTATTAAAGTGAAAAATTAACAAAAAACATTTTTTTATTTATTAAAGTATCCCATTTTACCCCGAGTACACCATATTGTTCTGGTTCTCCCTAATGAAACAACTGTTGTGTTATGCTCACTGATTCTGCATCATTTTTACTGTTTTATTTTTAGAGAGTTTTCATCAGAATTATTGTCAACTATAATTTGTAATAAAAATTTCAAATGCAATTTTGATGAATAAATTATTATAAAATTCTAAAAAAAAAATGTATCGGAAATTTTGGAGTGTTTTATTTTTATACTGAAAAGTAATGCATTATTTGTGAAAATAGTGTTGATTATTTATTCAAAAATCCAAATCGATATTCAACTTGTAACTTTGTCTTTCATTTCTTCTTAGCAGTAAAATTGATGTCATTGTCTTGACAATAGATGCACATTCGGATAGAGTAAACAAGTCAATAAATCAACACGATTAAAAAGTTTGAAACCACCAAAGTTTGGAAAGAATTACATTAATGTCGATAAAAAAATATTTATTTCAAGATTTTTAAATTAAAATAAATTTTTTTTTTCAATCTATTTTTAATGACCAGCAATTTTCTTATGCTTTATATCCCTTCATCTAAGTCGATTCTTAAGTAATCCCTTCATTTAATCAATAAATTGTGTATCAAATTAAATTATAAATAGATTATAAATAGATCCGTAATGATGATTCTAGTTTATGGATAAACTATATTAATTGTAAATAATGATCATCAAAAATGACTCATCCTTTTTTTCCAATACTTTACGTGATACTAGTGTTTTATTTATTTACTCCAAAACTAAAGCAATCTTTTTCCAAAAACTAAACTCATAAAAACTACAAATTTCCGTTAGGTTTAATTAATCCAACAATCTCTTATCTCAGCAAAAAAGCATAAAGTTGATGGCAATATTAATAAAACATAATTTCATCGTGTAATGAACTTTTCTTTATGACAGTTATAGACTTGTGTAAAACTCATGAGAATATCTGTACAGTTTTTCTGCTTATTTTTTCTTTGAAAACTAATTTTTAATCTAATTTAATCCAGCTTTTTCTTTTAATCGGCAAAAAAGAGATTTCAATAGAAGGGAGTCCTGAGTTTACATTTATTCATATATTTTTTTTTCTTTCTTTTTGATTTCCCCGAGCGTCTATTCGTTCTCTTCACTCATTTTTCAACGAGCAAGACATTTGAGTGCGGCTCTATGTGCGGTGTGGTATCGATCCGAGAGGCTCGTGCCGGCGTATAGCTGACCGTCGAGAACGAGTATATAAGAGAGGCCGGAGGTTAATATTCCGTGGGTTCGTGACTCGTTGAAGAAAGCGAGACAGTTGATGAAAAAATGCACAAGAGAAAGAATGACAAAAGAAACAAAAGCCTCGGTGTGTCAACCAACCCGGAGGCGCAAGTCGTAAAGCAATATCATGTCGAAAGTACTCGACGTTTTATGGACGTATATAGATAAAATGGATCCATGAAAAATCAAGAAGAAAGAACTCATGTAATATCACCTAAATGTAAGAATGTTTGATACAAATTACTTTCAGTTGGTCGCTCACATGACAATCGATTAACTTTTTTTTTTATCAACTCCAAACTTGAAACTTGGAGCAAAAAGACCTAGAAGTCAAGGACAAAATACTGGCAACCTCTAGCATGATATACATGGTATAACACGACCTTCAGAATGAGTCTGAATACAAAAGATCTACAATTTACCTGTTAATGAAGAAGGGAAGTATTATTTTAGCCTTAATTAAAACCGCATATCATTCTAGACATCCTGACCTGCTTTCAAACTGTTTAAATATCTTTCACTATAAAAATGAAAACCTAGAAGACATTTGTGGATAATAAGTGATCAACACTTCTTTCTTTCTTTTACGCTGATATTCTAGCGTCGTACAAACAGCGAGCATCGTGGAAAAATCAATAACAAGCATAGCAGACCGGTGGCGCGTCGCCGAGCGCGCTCAGGTGGAAGCATATAACACAGGCGAACGTGTACGGTAGCAGGAAAGAAGATAGCCATACGGTTTGCGAGGCCAACCAGCCAATATTGCACAAGCCATCGCGTCACCTGCGTCGTTAGGCCGATCGAAATCTCGCGCCTTTATGCCTCGTGATGTGAGCGCAAGCCCGTGGGAATTTCCTTATTTTTAACCCCTTCTCTTATAGCCTCGTTCTCTCTCACACACTTAACGTTCAACCCTACACCCCTTGGACCACGCAAACGCTAAATTTGATGCGCACGCGTGACGTGCACGTTGCAGAGGGTAGACAGACATAGCGGCGCCACAAGGGAGTGCGGAGGAGTCAATTTTGGTTAAAGAAAACGGTGGCAGCACGAGCTTTTTTTTGCTTTACTTATCATAATGAAACGTTAAGTGATAATGCTGATAATCCTGTTATTAAATAATAATAAATAGTCATTAATTGATGATAGCGATGATAGGCATAGACTCAGGTTGATGTATGTATGATAATAAATAGATGACTTACCTCGTCCTCGCCATTTGAGCACGCCACGGTGTTGACCGAGTCCATGCTCTGCGACAATGGTGCGTCCATGATGCAGGCTAGGTCGTTTGACGATCCGGGATTACCGGCTGCGGCGATGCGAGCGGGTGGCGGGGATGAGTCCACCGTTTCCCGTCTCGGGCGTTTTAGGGCGGGCGGCGTTATGGTTGTACCGGCGAAGACGACGGGCGCCTCCAGGACTGTAGTCGCACCAATTCCCACCCACGAAGAAACAAACTAAAACCGCGCACGCGATCTCTTTATCGCGCTCCTCCTCGTCGCTCCTTCTTCTTCGACAGCCTTACGCTCCACTCTGATTACGTTTACTTGAGCTATTGTTAAACAAAATAACCAATTATTTTCACCTTTCACCAAGAGGTAAACCACTGATCGTCACTACGCACCACCAACACCAACTTTAAGGTGCTCCGTGCACCTGTCGTGGCTTTAGCCAACGCCAATCGAGCAGGTGTTTCCACACACGTCTATTTCCAAAGCAATCGATATAAGAACCGCGTTGGCACAAGTTTCACCGTGGTAGCGATAGCAGGACGGAATCAAGGATAAATAAAGTACTGGAATATTTTCTCTCAGTTGTCATTCGATTGTTGCTATATCAACTGACAGCTCACTGAAAATAATTCTCTTTGAATTGCTGATACTTGTGTTGAATATAATGATGATGATGATGAAAACAACGACGACGAGGAGGAGCCACTATTATAATGATGGTATATTTACGTTGGTATGTAAATTTGAAAGGTTGCTGCAGAAAATAATGACTCTAATCGTCAACAAATCTTCACCTCAAATTATTCACCGCGCACGTACGTCAACTATGATACCGCACAACCACCGGTAGACCCATGCAGACTATCCACACGGCACGCGCGATTCAAAATCATCCAATAATCATCATTTTATTTACCAATTTTCCCGCGGTTTTTCCAACCACGTTAAATATCTTCAAACGTTGTTATAATTGTCAAACCGATATATCTATATGTATATCAATTAATTGTTATTTTGCAATACATTAATGCATACTAAACTTTTTTGTAAATATGCTACGTATTTCATAAGGTATGTTTATGTGTACGTGTTGGTGTATGTGTGTATGTAAAACACGAAAAAACGAAAGATAAAAATGAACACTGGCAAGGAATAATAAATTGTTATGTAAGCACTGCGACACGACTGGTACGCAGGTTGCCGATAGACTGACGAGCTTATGACTAACGATAGTGGAGGTGGCGGGTGAAGCGCGGGGGCCGTTAGTTCATATGCGCACACCGTACCGAGAGCGCAACGACAGGAACACAAGATACCGCTTGCAGGAGGGCGGTTCGAACGTAGTGGTGGCAGGTTGCAAGAGTGGGTGGTAAGACCTCGAGAGGGGAAATTAAGGGTTACATACGCATGGACTAAGGGTGGGGTTAGGTGTGCCTTGCGATTCGTTATACGTTTGCGCTGTATTTTGTTAAAAAATACCTTTTTTTTTCTCCTAGGTGTCTTTACACCTGTTTCTCCAATTTTTTACTAGTTCAACGGCTGGAAAATAGCTGAGGAAGCTCCAAATGACCATTTTCTTCGCAATTAGATGATGTACAGGTTGAAAAACTAAATCGAAAATACTAGCAGGTGGCCAATGGCAGCAGGTTGCAGTCACAAGTTGCAGATGCAAGTCACCTAAGCGCCAGGTGACTCCAATATTCTACGCTCATAAGCTAGAGGGAAAATGATAGAAAAGGAACGAGTAATATATGAAAGCTGCTTTGTCAAGCTGTCAAGATGATTTTTAAGGAAATAGAAAGCATACATTACCTTTGTGGCCAACAAGTACTGTGCCAGATGCTACATAACTACATATTCCCTACTTGTCATCGATTCTTGCAATGTTCTCTTTAATAATGCACAATAATAAAGATAGATAATGTATAGGTCAAACCAACAACCTTGTATTCTAAGTTTAAGATCGTATTTATATGATTCTAGTCATTCCATTAAATTTTTTTTATGCTCTGCTGTTACGTCGAATAAATTCCGTTTTTTTATGGCGTCTTATGTGAAGTTGTTCTTTTATGCAACTAAATAATTTATTGATACGATATATCGATCACATCGACCCTTTGTTTGAGGAAAAACTAGAACACCACTCTTATCGATATATTCGATTTCTCGTGTTGAAGTAGTTGATGTTATTCTCGATAGGTGGCGTAAAGATTGCACAGAAAACTTTTTTATCGATAAAATGACAGAATTTCGCGCCAAAATTATCAGACACGTAGACGTGACAAGTTGTTATGTTATTTAATATTTTTATAAATTTGTGAATACAGAAATATTATAAAAAGTAAGTGAATCATCTATTGTTTTTAATTTTATACCGAAAATTACTCTACAATTATAAATATCTTTATTTCTTTCAGGAAAATTAAAATATGAAAAACATTTAACCACGAGTACAAGGTTAAGTAAATCTATGAATTTTGTACATTAACTAAAAGATAATTCATATAAATATATTTTTTAAATAAATTAATTAATCATGGCTGATGATAACGACTCAGATGTAGGTGATCTTCTTGACAATCTTCTTGGTAATGATGATGATGATTCGGAACCAGAAGAGAATGTAAAAAGTACTCCAAAAAAAATTCTCAAAGAATTAGATTTTAATTTTTTAGACAAAGTGGATAAGACTGAAGAAAATTCGGAAAAAAATTCAGATAAAAATGGTTCAATGCTCAAAAGTGGCTGGGACAGCTCAGATGATGAAGACAATAAGTATTTTGAAGAACAAAAATACTCTGAATCAGGAAGAAGCATCAAAGAATTATTAAAAAAGCAAGAATTCGATAAACAGTCATTATATAGCTCAAAACTAGAACAAAAACCAATTTTAAAATCTCATAATGATTCCATGACTTCCGATGATATAGCTAAAAAAGTAAAGAACAATACATTTCTTCCAAGTCCACCGAAAAATGCTGATAGGACTCAGAACGCCAAGAAAACAGGACCATTAACTGAATGGCTAAACAAACCATCAGATGTTTACAGTGACCCTATTTTTGGATTGAGAATAGTAAAACCTTTAGTGTCGTCTGCAGAATTAAAGGAAAGAATGAAAGATAGAAAAACAGTAACTGTATCAAGGATTAAACATTTTATAGCCACTCAAGATTTATCTAACGATTGGGTCATTGCAGGAGTACTGATTCAAAAGTCCACAACGAAAAAGTCACAAAATGGTAATGCATATTGTATTTGGACTATTAGTGATCTCTCGGATGCTATAAATACAGTGTCAATATTTTTGTTCAAAGAAGCTTATAAATTATTTTGGAAGACTGATTCAGGTGTTGTCATTGCCATTCTAAATCCAAATGTTTTGGAATCACGAAGTGAAAAGGATCAAGCTACACTATCTGTTGATAAAGCACAAAAAATCATGATTCTAGGTAATTCTAAAGATTTAGGAAGATGCAAGTCAAAGAAAAAGAGTGGAGAAGCTTGTAATAATATTGTTAATATAAGTAGATGTGAATATTGTCTTTATCATGTTAAGCATGAATACAACAAGGCTTCAAGAAGGCCAGATTTAGGAACTGATCCCATGAATAGAAAGTTTAGAAATATTCTATCTAATTCAAAGCCAAATACCTCAGGTTCAGGAATGTATTCTCAAGCTAATCATCATAATAATATGCTTCTTATTCCAGCAAAAAGGAATGTAAAGATGGAACAAAAAGATTCAGCGAGATTAGCATTGCTAATGGGTAAAACTGCTGAGGCTAATGACCCTCCAAAAAACACTCACGTGGAGTCAAATGGTGCTTTAAAAAATAAAATCAATTTAGAAGAATCAACCAACAGCCAAGTAAAAAAAGATTTAGATCGGCTTAGCAAAATACGTGGATCGACTTTTGGTGCAGTTTCTGCAAATTTATCTGGAAAAGAAAAATTATTTTCACCGTCGCTAAAATCTAAATCTACTACGACAGAGAAGAAAAGTACAAGTTTTAGTTTATCAAATTTACCACCAATTCCAAAACTTGGTATGGGTGTTAAAGGTAATATAATCGATTTCTCTGAACCAATAACTAAAAAGCACATCAACTCTGCTAAAGCAAATGCTATAAAATGGGTAAAAGAAAACGGTGGAATAAAACAGTCTAATCCAAATAAAATAGGACAGAGTAGAGAGAAAAAAGACGCGATTAGAGAAGTGAATAAGAGACGTCGTGAAGAGGAGGAAGAGGAAGTTAAAGTAGAACCGAAAACTAAAATTAATAAAATCTCAGATGAATTCAAGAAATTGATGGAAGCTTCTTCTGCACATGAAGATCTTATTGAAAAATCTAAAGAAAGTGATAAAGAAAAATATTTTAAGAAATTAGAAGCTAAAGAAAGAATGGAAGAAAAAATGATAAATACCTTCAAAGTAGACTGCAAAGCAGTTACATGTTTAGTATGCCGATATACATCATTTTCAGCTTCTGAAATGTGTAAAGAGAAAAAACATCCATTGAGGGTAATAGATGCAGTAAAAAGTTTCTTCAAATGTTCTGATTGCGGTAATAGAACCGTAAGTTTAGATAGGCTTCCATCGACTAGCTGTAAAAAATGTAGTAGCTCTAATTGGGTACGAACGGGAATGATGGATGAAAAGAAGATGAAACTTCCTGGACCAGTACTTTCAATTCGTGGAGGTGAGGAGAAATTTATTGGATCTGATATCAAGGATGCTAATTTAGATCTACTAGTTCCAATTACATCAGAATCATGAAAATTATGTGATAAAGAAATTGTATACAACTAATAATTAAGGAATAAAGAAGTATTTTATAAAGGAATCAAACCTAATAGGATTGAATTAAATAAGAAAGCTGATTTCTTCCACCTTCAATTTAATTTTTAAAAACGGAGAATATTTTCTCACACCTCGGTGAATCATGGAATGTGACGTTAAATTATTACCATGACCCATTCAATAGTTTATTTTAACAAGACATATATTTGTAATTGTTTTGAAAAATATCGAGCAATCGCGACCGAGCTAGGACACGTGTGTATTTTATTTACTTATTATTATTTTTATTATTAATTGCATCATTTTGAAACTCACCGAGAGTTTATTGATAGCATTCAATCTTTAAATAACACTCATACATCTACGAATCTTCTCGATGGACATTGTAATAATTTTTTATTTGATAATTTTTATTGTTCAATTATTATTTTCTATTTTTTATATAAAAATGTGAGATAAATTTTTAATGGTTATAGAATACCAAGGACATATTTCTAAAATGCTTAATTACAATTTTTTACAAATTTTACCAAATTATTTCGATGCTACAGTAAATAATATTTCATTTCACTGAATATAAACCACAATCAATTAATCCGATTTTTTCTTATAATCAAAATTAAAAGCTTCAACAAACGTTTTAAAACTGATAACGAATTAAAAAAATAGTGTTTCGACTAATTTAAATAATTTTTTTTTTCACATTCTATGTAAACTGTTAATTTTTACTATTTTGAATTATAAAATGAATATAAATGATAAAATACCTTTAAACTTATTCGACAACCACAATTGGTTGCATAATTATTTATTTGTTACTAAAAAAAATGAAAAGACAACTCAAACCACCAATTGCACATTTGCATAAATCAAACATTCATAACATACGCATGATTTTCATTGCGATAGAATAGTTATCATTTTCGTTACTTTATACTTAATTGTTTAAATAATTGAACAGAGAAAAGAAAATTAACGGGAAAACAATAAGAAAAATATCAGTTTCAACTGATTATATTTAGGGTGATAGTGTCAAAACACTTGATTTTAAAAATAAAACAAAAATTATTAATAAAATAAAGCAGAAAATAAACTAAGAGCAACGCGATTTAACTATTTTACTGTACAAAATTGTCATATTACGTTGACGATGTTGGTGGGTTCTTGTATCCACATTAATCGTCCTGAGAAGATACGGGTTTGTTTGTTTATCAAACATCGTGCTGTTCTGTGTTCAACATACACGCATTCATTTGATCATACTCTGACAAACATTAATCTTTCATTCCTTATTCTTCTCAACTCGTGAGACAATGTAATTATTAATGTAATAGGCAGGTATTCAAGCTGGCTTAATTAAGTGTCACAGTCTTCGAGTTGTCCATCGTTTTCTCTTTTTCATTTTTTTCAAATTATTATTGGTATTATTATCATTATCATCATTGTTTCAACTATTTGTTTAATTAAACTTCTCTTCTTTTTTTCCATCACTTTCTTTCATTCATTCGTTCATTCATTCTTTTAAATTGAACTCTCACACTCACAAATTCTTTCTTAGCAGAAATAAGTTTGCAATTTTTTCATTCTTTTTATGTAAATATTTATGTATTACACCCGAAATAACCGCACAGTAATTTTTACGATGTTGAGTATGATGCCTTATTAATCAAATATTTTAATCAAAAAGTTGTTTTTTTTCTGTTAATTTTGTTTATATTTAAAGTATTCATTTAACTGTTTTAACTTCACTGATATCTAATATCATGATTGAACATGATGACATGATCAAAGAGATAGAAATGTGCGCGAAATCTTGATTACCAAAAAAATACTGCACCAGATAATCGCGCTGTCATTGTCATTTCATTTTATTATTTAATTTTTATTTTATTTAAATTAAATTACTTAACTCCGTGTTTTATTTTCTCTGTTATATAACTCTTGAAGTAATGAGGACTGAGAGAGTTCACTGATTTTTCATTGTAATTTTTCAGTAATCATCCAAATCAAAGTTATCCATCTCAACATCTTCCAACTGCATACTTTGAAAGTCGACTTTGTATCGTAAAATACCTGAAATTAATGATAAAAATTATTTTTAGCATCAAAAATCAACAAACATAAATAATAAACATTATAATATGAATAAATTAACAATAAAATTAAGAATAATAATAATAATATTTATAGTAAAAAAATCATTTTTACAAATAAAATCGTATCATTGATCTCTTTTATATCCAAGGGAATTTTTCATTAACAAAACAATATTTGTTTCAATAAATAAATTTATTAAATAATTCTTTTTGTTTTGTTCAAGTGAAGAAGCAGTACTATACCTTTCCAAATGTGCGAGCTAACAAAAATTGAAAGGTAATGTTAGTATATTTAAAAAAAAAAATTATTTAATAAATGTAATCGGAAAAAAATATAGATATTGCACAGAGACGCATTGCAGTATATGCGAAAATTGCACTTTCTGTTATTTTCAACCATCAGGGATTCATCATTATCACTTTCGTCTTTGCTCTTTGTCTCGTGTTTTGTCAAATAATTATTTCAAGTGTGAATTCCTTGAGAAATAGAACAAAGAAGATGAGAGAAGAAAATTTTCTTTATTATCCCTGACGGTAGATTTAGCTCACACAGGTATAGCATGCCAAAAGGGATAAAAAGTTGTCTGTTGTCGCTTGAATAATTGCGAGACACTCAACTAAAGAAAAGAAGTATAAGAGAGGAGGAAAAAAAATCACGAGTATCTTAACTTTTATTCTACTTTTCACTCTACTAAAAATTATCTAACATGCAACAATGAATTAAAGCTCATGAAAAATGAAGGGAATATTTTATTAATTATAAAAAAAATATCTAATTGAATGAACAACGATATTCACTTGACTCATGGGATAACCAGAGTATTAATGAACTGATGAACGTTAAATCGATTGATTGAAAAAAATAATTTAACGGTAAATAAATAGGGAGGAATCATAAGTAATGAAGATTAAGTCGATTGTCCAAGAAAAAAAGATGAAACTTAAGATATTGATAATAAAATAAATATGAAGATCATGCCTCTGAATGAATTCAAATTTCAACGACGATATTGAGGACTAAAAATGAAGAACAAGTATTATTGACTAATGAATCTCAATGATCTAACAATAATCCTATCAATTTGTGTTTAAAATAATAAAAATTGATGATAAAAAGTATGAAGACGATAAAACATCGTCAAGCAAATTAATTATGTAATTATAATGTTTTGTTTGATAAAGAAATGAAATCTTTTAAAAATTAACTGGAGTTTAACAGAAGAAAGCGCTACATTTATTGCTGCGGTGTTGCATTTATAAATAATTATGTTCTACGATGAAAAAAAAACAACGAAGTGTAATTGAAAATGCACTTAAGACATAAACAAGTCTACCTGGATTCGATATTCAGATTTTCACGGATGAATTTAGTAATCATCGAGGTCAACATCATCGAGAGGCTCATCAGCCTGCAGTGACTGGAAATCAACTTTGTAGCGGAGGATTCCTATACATTTAACATATTATACTCCAAAATTAATATTTTTATTGATATTTAGTTTGCTTATTTGCTGTTTCTATTATTATTTTTTCAGCTATCAAGCAACCTAAGTTCACTAATCGTAAAGGACTAATTCATCTTTTAGTTAGTCGGACTACGAAAAGCATTAAGAGTATCTTAAACACTATTTATTTTATTGGTATAATTAAAATTAATATTTATTTATTGAATAAAAAAAAGTCATATTCACCTCCGATTCCACCAAAACCTCTGACAAATTGTGATCCTTCTTGAGATTTATCTGTGATTATTTCTAACGTGGCACCAAAGCTTTTGTAGTTGTTCGCAAGCCACTCAAGAAGTGGTTGGCATTCAATTAATTCTAACTCTACTCCACTCTAGAATAATATAATTCATTAATATTCAAGTTTATAATTATTTAAAAATAAAAAACTAATATAAGCTTACTTCTTTATCAGTAAAATGAGTCTTATCCTTTTCTTGTTCAGGCGTAAGATGTAGCACCTTTTCCTCTCCATTTGTATGATTTTTTAGCACGTATCGTTGGATATCAAGGTTCTCCCAACAGATAAGAGTCTCCACACTTCCCAACTCAAGTGCTCTCAACGTATCTTCCACTCCAAAACAGTATTTCCCCGTATCTTGTGATATTTCATCAAAGTAACGACCGATAAGCTTTTTCTCCTGAATAAACTTAACATTTTGTAGCGATTCTGCTGCTAGTTCGATTGCCTGATTGAAACCGTTTTCACCACCATAAGATACATCCACTAGTTTGATTACTTTTGCTTGTAATCTCTGCATAAAAAAAAAGTTTATCAGTAATCGAAAAATATATGTGAGTACTAGAATAACAATTTGAACTTTAGTTTTTTTTTGTCAGCTTACCGGATCGAACATATCGGACTGACTCAGCTCCGTTTTAAAGTCTGCACTACCAGCTAAAATAAGTCCTGCGATGTTTGGTTTATCGTTGGTAATGTACAATTGAGTCGCAACCTCAGCTACTTTTCGAACGTAGTTGTGTCGTTTTTCCATACGCAATCGAGCAAAACGTAACGCAGATTGACCTCCTCTACCTAAAATTCATTTAATTTATTATTAAAATTTTCGAATTAATATTCATTTCTGCTTCTGATCCATAAAACTTTGATTCCGTTTATTTTTTATTCTAAAATATTTCAAAACTTTTCAACTAAATTCCTTCAAAACCAAGCATACTTGAAAGTATACATACTAATGTCTACATTCTCTTGAGATTCAATATTAATGAAATTGATTTTCTGTCCACGTTTGGAATTCAAATTCAAAAAAAAAAAATCAGTTTTTTACGACTTTGTAAAAATGTTATACGTTACCGTGCTTTTTGGGCAAATCGACAGTAAATTTATGGAGAACTTCGCGCGTATTTCCTTGGAGAGTACCAAATAGTGCACCGTTACCATCCATGACAATGAAACCGAATTTGTTGTCATCAGCTAGCAAAGCGGTCAAAGCTTCAGTGTGGAACTAAAAACAAAATAATAAATTATTTATAAAGGAATAAATGAATAATAACTCAAGGAGTTCAAAATTTTAACAAGAACTAAATAGAAAACAGCTCAAAATCTTACCTTATTGTCACAAAGGTATAAAGATGTATTAATAGGCTTAAATGGTTCAAAGTCGATGTTAACCTTTTTTTCTTTTCCTTCTTCAGTAACGATAGTCCCACAATATATTACCAGCCCATTGGGAGGTACTAGAATAGGTATGAACATAAAAGTTAATAAAGGATAATAAAGGATAATGACATTTAACTCTTAAATAGACTCTGTAGGTCATTTTTATATAATTTCCTTTGATTCTTATTTTCAATATCAACAGAAATCAATAATTAAAAAATTAACCGTTATAGAAAGTTACCTTTTGATAACGATTATTTGAAAATAATAAATCGAAATAAAAATTATGTTGAATTTTATTATTTCGTAGAAAATTTATCAATACTAATAATGATAATTACATGGACATATATTTAATTTTACTCACATTTATATTTAACAAGATGAAAAGTGTTGATGTTTGAAAAAAACCGTAACGTTAATAAATGATAATTACCTTTGGTATATAATTTCAGTCGATGCTGTACAGATGTAATCGCACCAAGTACCGATAACCTATTTACACGTGATTTTATATTAGAAGCTGTACCAAATTCATCAGCTAACATTTTGCTGACTCTAGATATTTGATCTTTGGGTGGAATAATTAGTGAGATCATGCTTGTACCATTCCTAAAATGAGAAAAACAAAATCAAAATATTTTCTTAGTATAAGAGAAATCGTAAATAGATTGAAATAGCGGGAAATGTGGCTACCATATGTCAAGGACAATAAAGGATGAAAAATTGGAAAATTGCTAAGTATTTACCCTCGAGCCATTTCCAAACTCTTGATGAGTTTTTTGATCTTCCAAATCTCGACATTCCGATCAGCGGAAGTTTCTTCGTTGGACATGATTGCGCGTGGTGAGTCGCGTGGTTAGAGATACTTCTTGATTCACTCTCTGGGCGCCAGACAAAGTTATTAGTCACTTAAGCGTCTAAGAGCCCAATATTAAATCTTTAGACTCCGTCAACTTCTTTAGGACCAACCCGTGATCCTTAGATGGAGTATTTGCCTAAAAAAATGTAAGACAAGACTTGTGATCATCGACAAGAACTGACTAGATCCAGTTTGTACCGGATTATGTCAGTGAAAGAATGTGCACGGCATTAAAACTTTTTTCTCTCATTCTTTCTCACTCTTTCCTACGCTAGTTAGTTTATTCTCGATCGCTCTCTCTCACTCACTCGTCCTCACATCGTGGCACAAAGTCTTTATCCTACCTCCCCTGATGGCAAACTGATGAGTAAGAGAATCCAACAAGAAACACACTATTTTAATAATTTTTTACACTCACTTAATCGCCTCGCCTCGGCTTCCTCGCTCCCGTTCTTCCCGTCGACGACGGCGTGGACTCCGATGCGGGCGGAAAATGCTGCGTGACACTCGAAACAATATTTCGGTATGCACGCATACGGCGGCCATGCAAAAAGGCGCACTACCACCACCGTGAAACGTCAGTACTACCGCAGAACCAATGGCGGTAATTTAATTGTATATCTTTTTATCAATTTAGTCTCTTTTCTCGCCAAGATTTATATTAAATATGCACTTATTTATTAATTTATACCTTTATCTTTTTTTTAAAATAGAAATTTATCGCATATTTTCTTTCATAAATATTTAATATGATATTAGAAATCAATTATTAATTCAAATAAATCATCATACAGCTCACCTTCAATTGTCATATTAGCCAATAGGAATCATTTCTCAGAACCAATAGGAAGGTTAAGTTGCCATTTTGAAATTCTGCAATACCATCAGTTAATAAGATTGAATGAGCTTTTTTTTATTACAATAGATGGTGTAAGTTGGCAAAATCAAATTTCTGAGAATAATGGCGGTAAAACGAAATTTAGTTTATCATCTAATTATTCTCGCACATTCCAGCAAGTGAAAACATTGTAATAAATATTCATGTAATGAGACAATTTGTATTAATATTCAGAAGACTGAACATTGTGAAATACACTTCCTACTTTCTAAGTATATTAATTAAATCAGTTCAAATTCCTTGGAAAAATTTTATTGTTAATAATTAATTAAGTTTTTTGCAATAATACAATCATTAAAGTTGAGTATGATTGAAGATGAATCAACCAGTGAAGATTCCGATGGAGAAAAGAATTATATTAAAAAAATGCGACATGCTTTCGAAGAAACTCTAATAGAAGACAAAAAAACATGGGAATCTCGTTGTCTTCATGAAATCCCTTACGATTGTTTAAGTAACATCATTAAAATGACTTATCCAACAATTGTTTTAGAAGACTATGATGATATATTAAATGAATCAATGTGGAAAGAGTGTTATCAATCATATAGACGATGGAAATCCTGTGTATATCAAAATCTTTCAGAAGAAGTAATTCTAGAGATTCCGGAGATTACAGAAAAATCTGTCAGTTGTTTAGCCACTTGTAGTAAGTTTGAATTTTTTTTACTCATACTTTTAGTTATAAATTTACAACTGATAATTCCATTCTAAAACATTACGATAGAAAAATATATAGCAATTGGTACAACAATGGGAGAAATTATTATTTACGATCTAAGTAATCCAAACGTAGCTCCAATAGAGTTTCAGTATGAAGGAAAGATCATTCAAATGGTTTTTTGGAAACCAAGTAAATCAATTTTCATGCTATTTTAATACTCTCAAATAATCCAGAATTATTATCTTTTTCTGTAATAAATTTTTAGATTTGAATAAGTTGTTACTTGTGTCATTATCATCTTCGTCCGAAGTCAAGTTTTGGGACATTCGAAAACAGCAAGAATTTGAAAAAAAAATCTTAGTCAACGCATCTAATATATGGTAATCTAATTATTTTACTCTTACTCATGATTATTAATGTTGTTTTCTATATTATTCAAATTATTCACAGTACTGGAACCATGCAAAATTTATTTATAGAAAGTGATGGACTGGTTGAATGTTATGAATTTGGAATGATGGATCATGAAAATCATCTTGCAAATCGGAAGAAAATAAAAGTAGTATTACAGAATAAAGAAAAAATAGCACGAATGTTTTCTGAGAAACATGAAGTAATTATACTGTCAAACATAATCGCAAAAATTAAATTACATCGGTGAAAAAGTATTTAAGACTTTAACTGGCTTAACAAGTTTCATATCGACTATCATTTTTTGCAGATGTTGCTTATAAGCATATACACTATACATGTAAGGACATTTCATATAAACGTACCAACACATAGTAGTCCATTCTTTAAAATTATTAGAACTTCTCCATACATTGAATTATTTGAAAATACAATCAACATTGATTCCTATCATTTTCACATGCCAGCTATGAATCTTACCATAGGGTCATTTAGTAAGTCATATAATTTGATTATTTTCTTCATCAAAATAATAATCAATTTTTATAATTAAAGCTCATAACAATTTTACGGATAATAGCCTGGGGTTTTTAACTACAAAAAATGATAGTTGGTATCTTAATAATTCAACATTTGGGAAAAATATTCAATCGGTAGCCATGCATGCGAATCTTTTAATTTTAGGTTCCAAAACAGGTAACCTTTACTTCATCTACCACCAAATAATTGTTTAATATTAATTTAAAAAATGGGTAAAACAAATTTTGACTTTTTTATTTAATTTTAGGAAAAATAAAAATAATCCCAGTTGATGATGAAAGAGTATTTGTTTCTCACATTGAAATGTATTGGTCTCATGAAATTAAATTAGAAGATAATCCAATTACTGGATTAAATTATACAGAGTTTAATAAAAAAACATATATTATTGTAGCAAGCAAAAAAAGAGTATACATGATATATCCGTCACGAAGAAAACAGAACAGTATTGGTGAAAGTCAATCACAAAGTCAATAAATAGCCAAAAAATTCTAAATAATGTATTAACTTATATTTAGATGCATTAAACAAATTTCTTAGGCCTTCTTTCTATTTTAACAGTAATAGGATCAACAGTTCGAATGAGTCCACCAAATGAAATAGCAATATCTTTGGTTTTAACAATTCTATCTTTTTTGAATTTATATTTGCAAAGTAGCGATCCTAAAATCAATTTCATGCTCATCATTGCATAATTTAATCCTATACAATTTCTAGGTCCAGCACTGAAGGGAATGTAAGCATAAGGATGTCTTTCAGCATTTTTTTCTAGTAAAAATCTATCAGGATTAAATTCCAAAGGATCTTCCCAGATTGCTTCAGAGCGATGAAGGTTTATAATTGATATTGCTGCAGTACATCCACTAGGTACTACGTAATCACCGATATCGAGATCCTCAGTGACATGACGTACCAGTACTGGTACAAGTGGAAATATTCTTAAAGTTTCTTTGATGACTCTTTCTAAATATTCCATGCGAGAAAGATCTTCATTTATAATTGGAGATTCATCATTAATTCGATCTCCTAATATTTCACGAAGTTCTTCATAGCATTTTTCCTGAAATTAAATCATAATTTCAATGTATCATACTTTTTTTATAAAATTTATGATAAAACGAACTTACTTGTATCTCTGGAAAGTTAGCCAACATAAATACCACAAACGTATTAGCAGTTGCGGTTGTGTCATTACCACCTGCTACCATGGTATCAACTTCTTCACATAATTCTTGATCAGTTAATTTTTTATTTTTATCAGAAAGTTCCATCATCAGATCAAGAAAAGGTTTCCACTTGGTAGGATTATCTTTCAATGTATCTGATAAATTTGACTTTTTCTTTTTTAGCAATATATCATGAGTTTGTTTATGTAAAAATTCAATACATTTATTCTGAAGTTTTCCAAGTTTAGTTTTATAAAAAATTATGTCTGGCTGTAACCAGATTTTTAGAATTCGTATGCATGGTATTTCGAATGCTCTGTATAAAATCAAATATTTTATTGAATATTAATGTATCTCAAGTCGTGAAAGTTTAGTTTACCTACTTTTTCATTGCATATACAGAAAATGAGTCTTTGTTATTCTGAGCTTGTAAGCTTACTCCCATTGCAGTTTCTAAAAAAAGGAATAGTTATACTTGATACTTATGTAATTAATGATAAGTGAACTTTGGGACTTGATTACATTACCACAAATTATGTCTAAAGTACACAGTGACATGTAAGGAAGAAATTCAAATTCTTCACGATCAACTTCTGCATCAAGTTTTTTAATTAAAATATTAGTTTGTGTTAATATGATATCAATGAAAGATTCAAGAATTCGTGGATTAAAAGCTGGGCTAATAAGTTTACGATGAACCTTCCACTTTTCAGCTATAATTAAACACAAAATGCCAATTTCAATCTTACAAACACAAACGAATTTTATTAAATAATTCAATTTATGTTTACCTGGTGCAGTAAATAATCCAGTTCCTAACCAAGGCTCATAAAATCTAAAGGTTTCACTTTTATTAACACATTTAGGACTGAGAAGGATATTCTAAAATAGCACATTATTGTTTTAGTTATGGAGTCAAAAATTTTGTACTTATTTTTAATGCATAAATTATTGTACCTTCACATGATCTGGTTTATGCAGTACAATAAATAGCTTAGGTCCAAACCAAAAGCGTATTGGCCTTAGATCTGGACTTAATGCTATGACTTTATTTAATAAATCATCTTCTGAACCAAAAAAATAGAGAGCATTCCCAATTATGGGAAGGACAGGTTGAGGTCCTGGGAATTTTATTGCAAGTTTATAAAGGTGTAGACGTTTAAGATGATACACCAATAAATAAATTATTACAATAACAATAATCGAATAATAAATTAACAAGATATTCATTTTTCTCAGTTTAAATGTATTTATTAAAAATTTGTTAATTAAAATACGTTCAGTGAACGCAGAGAATATTTTTACACCAAAGAAATACGAAATGCTGACTATTCGCTTTATTATCGAACTGAGAGAATCAATTTACATCTAATAAAATCATCATAGTTATCTTATAATTTGCTGAGCATGAATTTCTCAATAATAATTATATAATATATAAATTAATATCCTTATCTCAGCAAAAATATATTCATATATTATCAAAGATATTTTTATTGACTCATTTTCATGAGATAACTATTTTTTTGTCATTTTGTTTATAGAAAATATGCAATATGATGCAATTTAGCAATACATTCATAGAATATTTGAAATGTTGTGTCGAAATTATTCCAGATTGTAATTATTCTATAAATTACTACAGAATTCAATTTAATTCTATAAGAAAAATTTTTTAATTTTGAATTTTTTTTTACCCAGGTGTCAAAAACTTAGAATAAGAGTGTGCTGACTCTCTGTGTGTATGTTGGAATCATTGGAACTAAGTTATACATATGTTATATGTATACTGCCACACACAGTTATACAATTACAGTTAACAACTCTTTATGCCACTTTAATTCGCACCTGGATTTTATATTTAAAATATCAACATGACATACAAGAAATAAATTAATTATGAAAATAAAACCCTATCTTAACTACGTTTGTAATTTAAAAAAAATTGGAACCTGTATTGTTGCTATTGGGTACGTATTTATATCCCTAAAAAATAATAAACTTCATGATTATTGTCACTTTTTTATTTATTGACTTTTTTTGTTATGAAATAAACAGAGGCTGTTGGTTTATCTATCAAGTCCGAGAAACATCACAGAAATTTCAGTCTGTTGTAGCTACCAATGCTTTAAAGTTGGAACAAACTCAAGCTCAATATATTTACTTGGACGATCCGCTATTTAAAGGTTCAATAATTGTAAAACTATTTTTTATTATTGATGATTTCTTCATGTTATTGTTAAATTATTGTTTACAGATGACTTTAATAGTTGTGAGGAAAGTGATCAGGAATTACCTGCTTCAAGAAAACCTATAATATTTTCTAATGTCATGAAATGGTGGAAATCTTGGAATTTTTCTCTGGCACGTCGATATTTAGAAATAGCCAAAAATGGCAATAAATATGAACAACAAAGAGCTGTTAATTCTTTAGGATCTTTGAATCATTTAAAAGACTGGCATTATCGTTTTTTAGCTCAAATTTTAGATGCCAAAACTGCAGTAGCACTTGCTAGAATGCCCAATTGTGATCTACGTTTTTTTCTAAAATCTCCGTACTATTATATTGATAGAAATCTCTATGAAATAATTGATGATCTCTATCAACTACTTGTTAATATGGAGAAATTGTGTGGAAGCCATCATCGCTGTCTTTCTGAATTTATTAATAAAAAGTTTCTCAACTCCCATCGAGTGAGTAAATTTTAAGAATATTTATTATGATTTCGATTTTTATCGAAAATACATGTTTACAATTTTTTCTCAGAAAACATTGGAATTTGATCATGACCTTTCAAGCGTTGACTTTACAGCAACCCCAGGAATTCCTTGGGATCAGCAACTATTAATTAATTGTATTCAAACAATATATCATCATTCATCAATTGATCAATTCAGCAAAGACGTTGGAAAGGCTCATGGTTTACTGATTCTAATGGAAATTCAAAAAAAATTTTCAGATAACGTAGATGTGTGCATTTTGCTTGCAAGAATATTATCAAACCTTTCACTCCATATAGAGTACTTAGATGATATATTCACATCAGGTTGGATTGGAGTATTAGCTGCTTGGTCTCGACATAAAGATATTCGACTTGCAGGACCAGCTGCTAGAACTTTGTTAAATTTAGATGTTGACGGAAATAATGGAGAAAAGTTTCCTCGCAGAGTTTATTTACTACATCCAACAGAAAGAACAAAATCTACACCTAAACTCGATGTTATTTTTATTCATGGACTTCTTGGAGGTGTTTTTATTAGTTGGAGACAAAGAGATGCAGAAATGTCCCTTGCATCCGTGGGTTTGTTGCTTATTCAGATGAAGTGAATAGAATACAATTGTTCATTAACAATTAATAGACTAAACTCATCATTTATATTGCTTTTAGATTCTACTTTAAAACTGGAATCTAATTCTTTAACTTCAATCATTGGAGAACATCCTCAAGAGATTTTTCATGACTTAGCTAAGGATTTAGAAAATATAGAATGGCAAAAAATCGGTGAAGACTTTGAAGTTGTTCTTTATGACTGTCCAACCTCAATGAATACCGCAGCTAATGGTCCTTTCACTTGTCCTGGGTAAATTTCTACACTAAGATAAACATCCAAGTATAAAAAATTATTATTCTTTGTTAATGAAATGATTTATAGAGCATCATATTAATACTAAAATTCATTTTTTATCAGGTATGAAATTTCTGACGAAGAAGAGAGAATTAATTGCAACAAAAAACGAACTGAATGTTGGCCAAAGGACTGGTTGCCTCAAGATGTGCCATCAATCCGAGTTATCGGTATAAATTATGAAAGTAATTTATCAATGTGGAGTCCACCGTGTCCACTGGAAAGTCCAAGGTACGATGCTCAAAATTCACAAATTAACTATTTTTTGTTTGCATGAACATTAACTACTATACGATTTAATGAATTCTGTAAATTCAGAAGCACAATAAGTGAAAGAAGTAATGAGTTTACAAAAAAATTGCTATCTACTGGTGTTGGGAAACGTCCAATAGTATGGGTATGCCATTCGATGGGAGGATTATTAGTTAAAAATATGCTCGTAGAGGAATGGAAAGCTGAAGATAAACATAAATTCTGTGAAAATACCAAAGGAATAATTTTTTATAGTACTCCACATCGTGGTTCTCACGTTGCTGCATTAAAACAAACGACGCAAATGCTTGTTTGGCCTTCTGTAGAAGTTCAAGAACTCAGAGAAGGTCAAAATTCATTTTTTTTAACAGTAATATAATAGTTATTCTATTAATATAATTTATTAAAACTAAAATATTTGATTAATTACAGGATCACCCCATCTTCTTAAACTCCATGATGATTTTCTTCAAATGCTCAAAAAAAATCCAATAAGAATAGTAAGTTTCAGCGAAACAAAACCTACTCTTGTTACTGCACTGAAATTCCCGCTTCAATTCGTTACATCACAATCAGCAGATCCTGGTGTTGGTGAATTTTATGAAATTCCTCAAGATCATTTATCGATATGTAAACCAGCGAATAAGCATTCATTTTTGTATAGAAAAATTGTACATTTTTTAAAGAACATATTAAAAACGGATAATAAACTTTATGATTAGAAATATTTATAAAAAAAATCATTTGCAGATATTTTATATAAAATATTAATTAACTGAGGTAACTGATTTTATTATATAAATTAATTAATTTAAAAAATTTTATTTGTTAGTTTTAACATTTTATTATTTTTTTTTGTCTAATTTTAGATATTTAATGAATTTTTTTATTCAAAAGTTTGTGTCGTAATCAGGCGGATGGCGTGAAAAATTGGCAGTACTTTCATATCCAGCAAATTTGCTACTTGTATGAGATGGTTGATAATAGTAACCGTTCCAGTCGGATCTCCAGCTGTCGTACACATTGTATTTCTCATTGTCAGGTAGCATTCCATCCATTAAAATCTGATAAAACAAGTTTTCAATCTCATTAGGCTCATTCATTTCATCGTTTTCATATTCTCAGATCTATTGCGTAACCACGAAATTACACAATCAAGTCCAACAACAAATAACTACTTACCTTATTCGAATTTGATTCGAATGATTTCTCTCTCCATGCATCAGTCTCGTTCCACGTCGTTGAAATCTCTGACTTGGAATAATCTTGGGATCTATGTGACGGCGGAACATGACTTGACTGAATTATATTCTTAGCAGCTTCCTCACCGTACATTCCTGTTATTGGGGGCTTCAGTTTCGAGGCATTTTGTCGATTAACGAGCTGGAAAGAATATGTATTTAATATTCAATATTCTTCCATGTCTTGTAAGGAAAGTTTGAAATTTTTTTCTTCGAAGAAAAACTTACTACAGAGACTCCAAAAACTATAATGAACAATAATCCTCCAACTCCAATGACAATCACAGCAATAGCCCATTGGGGGATTAATCTATCATCTTTTCCAATTTGTTGAGGCAACGTTATTTTAGGAATCACAATAAAATCAGTTGACTTAGGATCTATTAAGAAATTTCCAAGCCTCATTGGAGTTTTGGTTCTAGTTTCATTCCATTTGTGAGCATTATAAGTTCTTAATGATTCATGGAATAATACTTTAATTTCTTGAGTATTTATTTTTTGACGGAGATCTTGAAGTTCAATGAAATAGTCAACTAAAATACTTCCTTGACTAAATGCATCGATACGTATATTTTTATACCATTTCCTGAGAATGGCAGATTTTAAAAAGACTAAATTCATCTAAAAAATATTAAAATTACCTTAAATTAATTATTCCTTACATTAAATAAATATATTCATTAATTTCATTCATTTTTTAAATATTTTCAGAAGCAAATAATAAAGGAATATCTTACGAAAAGTGATTAAAAAAGATTGAAAACGTTTGAATGAAGATTCAACTGCTTGGAAGTTAATTGAAAAAAAATATATTTACCTCTTTTTCAATCTCATCAGCCAACTGCTGCCATTCTCTTGTATTTCTATCAAGTAATTCTGGTACCCACGTTGCGTTTCCAATTATCCTGATGGTTCCAGCTACTTCACACTCTTCTTCACATATTCCTGGGGTCGTAGGTCGAATTGTGGTAGTTGTGGTTGTTGTTGATGTAGATGTTGAAGCTTCACTAGTTGTTGAAGGTACAGAACTATTCATCGAGGATACAGTAGCTGTTCTTGCAGCTTCTAAAAGTTTTTCTATTGAAATAGGAGTGGTTGATACCGTTGGCCAACCAGTAAATTCCGTTGTTGCTCTGAACAATGAAAAAGCATAATACATTTAACATTCTTCTTGAAAAAAAAATGATTTATTATAAGAAACGATACGAACCTTGTTGGCCATCCTTTTTGTATCTTTGGAGTAACAGGACCTGGAGCTTCTACTCTATTAGATGCTGTTGTAGCCTTAGGAACGGCCTTTCTTCCTCCAGGCCGACTAGGAAATACCAATTTTACTCCACCAGTTTTCGTTGTTTCCGCCAGCGTAGAAACCGTTGTTAAACTCAATTCATCTTTCTTTTGACTTGTTTCTTTGAAACTTTCTGAAGTATTTTTTGCTTTATAACCAGGTGGTAGCAGTGCAGAAATATCGACGCTAGACTTAGAAAATAATTCTTGAAGACTTTTTTGTATTGGTGTTGAAGCAGTTGTTATTGATGGTCTTTCTTTTTTAGTTTGTTCGTTACTAGTTTCATCTTTTCTTTTTTCATTATAACCAGGAGGCAAAAAGCCGCTTATATCTACTATAGACTTTGTGAATAAACTTTGAAGAGGTGAATTCTTACTTTCATTATTTGATTCTGATTTTTTTTCATTATTACCACTTTCACCTCCCCTGTTTGTTTCTTTAAATCCCTTAGGTAGCAAAGCAGAAATATTTACGTTCGATTTCGCTAATATATCATTCAAGATAGACTTTTCTGTCGTTTGATCTTCCTTCTTTAATTTATAACCCGGCGGTAAAAACGCACTTATGTCTTGCACATCACCTTTGATCCTTCCAAAAGGTTTTCTTGTTGTCTTCTTGGTAGGTTCTGTTGTTGAAGAGACTCTGGATCTTGTAGAACCTGGCCAAGGAATTCTGAATGGACTTTTTGGTCTCTCAGTAGATGCTTGATCGTTCAACATTTCTTGACTTTCACTCGATGTCAAAACCGGTGTCTCAGTCGTTGCAATAGAAGTTCTGCGATCATTATAGCGTCTCGGAACAAATTTATTGATGACAGGAGTCCTTCCAGTTGTTGTGAATGATTTCCGTGTTGTTGATGGCCTTTGTTCACTCAAGACATCTAATTGAAGTGCATTCCCAGCCGTTCTAAAACCTCCACTGAGGAATCCACTTGATAATTCTGATTGAACTCGATCTAATTTATCAATGATACTCTCTGTTGACTCGAATGTTTGAGTTTTATTATTATTATCAGAAGTATTTTTCCCAGTACTATTATCGTCATTATTTAAATTAAATGGCAGGAATCGTGCTCCAGAAATACTTCGGCTTGTTTGAACTGATGCAACGATCATTGAGTCTTCAGTAGTTGGAGTGTTGGGTGCTAAAGAACTAGATAACACCTCAGGAGTCTCAGTTGAAGTATTTAAATTAACTGGAGGTGCTACCATTTGTTCTGTCGTCATTGGCATTGGTGTAGGCACTGAGAATGTACCATTAACGACACTTTTAGTTGTTACTACTGATACTACAGCCTCTCCAATTAAAATACGTTCCTCGTCTTCTTCTTCGTCTCGTTCTTTCTTCTGTACATTTTTAGTCTGATTTTGATCTTCAGCTTTAGCCTCAGAATTTAAATTTTTAACTTCCGGGTTTTGAATTTCAACGTCTTCTCTTGTCGGCGTTGATTCACTTACATTTTGTTCTGTAATCATTGGATCTCCTTGCACGGAAGATGACTCACTTGAGTATTGAACTTCAGCTTCTTCAATTACAGCATCTTTATTAACTACAGCTGATTCATGAGAGTTTTGTTCTTTTGCTTTAGAAGGACCTTCAATTTGAGGATTTTCCTTAATTGCTTCTGATTCACTAGAATTTTTCACTTTCTCAGGATCAATTGACTCAACTGGAGCATAATCCACGGTGGAATCTGAAGGATTTTGAAATTAATCATTTCATAACGAAATGTTTTTAAATGAATAAGCAGATACGAAATTTATTTCACGTTTACTTTTATCAAATAATTGAATCGATTAAAAAAAACTTAGGCCATATATGAAGAAAACAATTACATAATTCAGTATAAAGCCTTGAAACTCATAATTAATGAAGATAATCTGATTTGATAGAAAGAAGCGGATATAAAATATAAAGTAAAATAATTAAACCGTGAGAAATGTACCTGACAGCTGAGAATTTGTCCCATTATCATAATCATCATAATATTCAGCATCATAATCGTCAACTACGTCGTCTTTAGTTTCGTAACCTATGAAAAAAAATGATCTATTGTTCCAAATCTAATTCATCATCAACAAATTAACAACTCACGAGTTTCTTTAGATTCTGCTGCGACTTTTGGTTCATTTTGGCTATCATAAGCCTCTTCTTCATAGTCTTCATACTCTTCTTCATCTTCTTGCGGTCTAGGAACTCTTCCAATATCTCTGGAAGCTTCGTTAGTCCTCGAGAAGACAACATTATCACTGAATGAAGACTGCAATGAGCTTTGGGGTGCCTCATAAACGAAATTAGTTGGATATAATCGATTATTCCATGCAGGTTTGATTTCTGAAAAAGTCCCAAGTAGTTGCCTAATGAATAAATCCTTAAAGAATACTCATAATTCATGATTATTATCATCACAACACGAAACAGGAAGTGCTTTCTAACTGTAGTTACACGTTGAGCGTCGCATACGATTGGTATCTAGTGAAGTCTACTTCGAAATCGTGCCTTCTATCATATCTACACCAGCTGCTACTGCATAGATAAAAACCTCTCTCTCTCTATCTCATTCTTTCTGTCTTAGGAAATGCTTTGCAAATCGGGGCCTGCCACTCTCTTTTCAATCGGCCTTCGTATTAACCTAGATTATATCTCTTTTTCCGTTTATTTATTTACTTATTAAACTAAGTGAACGTTCACTTCGTAAACACTTTTTTAATATTCGTTCAAATTTTGATATCATAACTTAGCTTAAGATGTAACTTCAATACTTTACCTTCTTGATTTGTTGCGACAATCATAAAACAAAGAATCCCAAGCGAAATATTTCGCAACACAACGTCAGAATGCATCTTGAGACGCTTCATTCTTCACAGCCTGGATCACCCTGAGCCCTAAAGACTCCACCCAAACGTGTCAAATCGTCACTTTGACTTGACACTCAAATTTACCTTTCACTCTTGCATTTTTCCACATTTATTGTTACTTGATATGCTTTTATAACTCAACCACATTCACCTTTTCTGCAATGTTTCTTCTTAATTTTCACAATTGACTTAGAGATATTAGTTAGAAATTAATTATAAAGATTTATGAAAATAGAAACGAGTCCGAGAATGCATCTTACTCGGTCCAATCGTTCAACATATTTGTCACTAAGTCCAATAGGTAGAAAGCAAAATCCTACTTTCACTCGAGTCTTGAGTATCGAAGCTATGTAGAGGCACGTTGTGAGGGGCATGCCGAGGCCACCAACAGGCCCAGAAGTAGTTAGAGAAGGGGTCCACACTCTTTTACAATCAAACAAGTGGGGGATATCTTTGGTGCAAAAAAAGAAACATACTGTCGCGTGTCCATTTCCCTTCTCTCTTGTTTTTCCTCTCAGTCCTCACTCTGTACTTGTTGATTTTAATCATTTCTTCCTTCTTCAACCTCTAACAGCAACAGGACCCAAGTAAAGTCGCGGGAAGGCCTGAACGGTTTAACGCTCCAACGGAAGTTCGTTCACCCACGCGATGGCTTCACCCTTTTAACTTTTTACTCCTTTTGCTTTTGTCGACGGCCTCCTCGAGGACATCCAGTTGTCCTCACTTTATTCTTATCATGGCAATCTCTTTTCTTCATTTCTCTCTCCCCTTGATAGTTTTCACTTTTTTATGCCAAGAATTTGCCATAAAATTCCTATTTGTTCACTTTTAGTGTTGGAATGAAACATTTTACTCTCCATTTCCTCAAAGTAGAAAAAGAAAATTCTATTAGGTAATTTAAGGAACGTGTGAATGTCGCAGACACGGAATTTACTCTCTAGCACAGTATAAAAAATTGATGGGTTACACTTAGATTGAAAGTACCGTTATGAAAACGTATTATTTTTTCCATCACTTCCTATACTAATGTCCTATTTTAGTATACAATAACATTCACTTTTCATAGATATTATAATACTAATTTCCCTATTCTTCTCACAAGCTTCAATTACATTTCTTCTCTTATTTATTAATTTATATAAATCTGTTAAACTATAATTTTCAATGAAATTCAACATAAAGTTGCATAAAACATCAATATAAAACATTCTTTCGTTTAAACTTATTTGTATTACTTATATTTATCACTAACTTTCTTATTTATAAAATAAAGGTATGAAGAAATAATTAACTAATTTTATCAACCAAAATTTATTTATCAACTAAGTTTCTCATCCATTATTAAATTTATTAAAAAAGCTTAGCAAAATGATTCTTAGAAATCATCTACATTTATATCATTTGTATTATCGTTATTATTGTTAATAATAAATCTTTTTTAAAACTCAATTTTTCACTAGAGTTATGTTCAATAAATATTAATGTAACGTTTTGATTAATTTATAGCTCTTAAATTTTCAGAATAATAGTTAAAAATTTGTTTATCGATACTTGAACACTATCTTATTCATTTTATTAGCATTGCTCTCCTCCCGGATCCAGTTTGGTTCTGGCTGTTTGTCAGGATAAGTCGTAAAATTTGCGGAACCTTGTAAGGGTGGAAAAAAAATTACTTTCAAGGCTTTCAACTAGTCAAGTCTCGCTTTTACTTTACTCCTAAAATAAAGAAGTGAATACGAGCAAAATTACATGAAAGTAAAAAAGAATAATTTTTCTATCTACCAAAAAATCAAGGCGTCACAATATTTTTTATTGAGTCCTTAAATTACATATGACAATTGATCATTTTCTTGTAAATTGGTTTTTTTTCTTATTCAAATTTCATCTATAAACTTTATTCCGATACTGGAAGTAATATGTGGTCGAGATTAACACCTCTTTAACTAGAAAACATAATAAACAAATTAATTACATAATCGTTTACAAATAGATTCTAATGTCTTATCTGTCTACTGATTTATCTCTCAATTAACTTACTTGGTCGTTGGTCTGCGTGAAGGTTCTGAAGCAGTAGGTGGTGGAGGTGGACCTCTGCGTGCTAATTCTTCAAGGTAACCCATTAATAACCGTGTGCGTTCAGAAGCCGCAGCTTCCAAGACCAAGAATCTTCTATCTTTCCTCAAGATATCTTCTATTTCCGTTAAACACGCACTGTTTTCTTGAACTTTTTTATATGTTTTATCAGTGATCAATTTAGTTTCTTGTAGAAGTTCTCTAAAGTCTGCTTTTGCTGCTACTAATTTGTCTTTAATATATTCCTTGAACTCTTTTTCACATTTCTGCAATAAAAAACCATATATAAGTGTTTCCTGATTCCCCAAGTATATAGTGAAATAGAAAGATAAGTTTGTTGTAAGCAAAATTCTCAAGAAAAAATATTTAGTAGAAAAATGCTAAATGCTTATGTAAAGTAAAATGTGTTGAAAGTTTTAATTACTCTGTCGCTAGACGAGAATTTAGTATATCTTGGATCATCTTTAAGTAGTTTTTTTATATCCTTCCAGGAGGCCGTGAGCTCGGTCGATGCTCCAACTTCGTCCAAGAGCTCCCGGAACTTATCCCGCTTCTTACGACCAAGTTGCTCTATATGTTCGTTGAATAATCGCTCCTTTTCTTCTCGATCCAAACTATCAGCAAGTTCCCATCGGTGATCTTTCCTTAACTGACGTTTAGCCTCTCGCCAAGCTAGATCACTATTTCTTACCTGTAAAATCGTTATCAATAATTAGCTTCTATTAATAGCAGACAGTATTTGAAAATAAATGACTCTGATCGAGTGTGGGAATGATTTATGGTCATGATGAATATTTTTATAGTTAACAATAATCATTACAACTCAATATAAATTACCAAGTCAGCGAGAAGTGCACTAAAGTGCTGGACAGCTTCAGTGTGTCTGTGATGCTGTCTTTCTTTATCTCGATCACGTAAATGAGTCGCCAATGTTCGCTGAACTTCTCGTTCTCTTTCTCGAAGACTTGCCTCAGCTCTTCTCTCACGTTCGCGCTTTTGCTTCTCACGATCCTCCTCCGAGTCTGAATGCTCGTCATTCTCGTATTTCTGTTTAATAATAGACAAGATAAATATGATAGTTAACTATCAATTGAATAAAATGCCCAGTCAACGCTCAAACAAGACATTTAAAAGATAGAATTTTTTTCTGTTCAATGAATAAATAAAGAAATAAATAAATAAATAAATAAAATCTTACATCATTATCTTTTTTAGATTTTTCATCATGTTCTTCAATTTCTCCACTTTCTTTTTCTAATTCCTTTTTATCTTTTCCATTCTCTTCAGTAGAATTGTCACTACGTCGTTTTTTGTCCTTTGAACTTTCCTTGTCCTTATCTTTATCTTTATCCTTTGATTTATCCTTATATTTATCATCCTTACGATCCTTGTCCTTCTTGTCTGACTTGTGATGATCTTTATCCCTATGGCGATGATCTTTGTCCTTATCCTTGTCTCTCTCCTTGTCTTTCTTACGTTCTTCCTTCAACAGCCTTACATAGTCCCTGAACCAATCCTCACGTGTATTTGCTGAATCCACTGCACGGTATCTCCAATCAGACTCCAATTTTTTCTTGCAATCACTCCAATGCGAATGCCTGTCGATATCTTTGTGCTCCCGCAGCATCGACATGAAATCCTTTTTCACCTGAAACGCGTGCATTTTAGAATAACGTTAAGACTTTTTTGGTGAATTTTAACTTTTTTTTTTCATTAAACTTAATTTTAATCAATTCACTGCAATTTCATTTTTTAATTTATTTTATTTCTGATATTATCCTGCACATGCACACTTAATCTTTCTATCTCCAATTAACATTTAAACACTTTTGATCATATTTTATGGATTAAAAAATTATTAAATTATTTTTTAGTAACTTTTGAAAATAATTTAATGAACAAAAGTGATTTTTGTTTATTGGAAATTGACTCTTAATGTAATTTTCTTCACAACTAAGCTGAAAAAAAAATTATATGATTGCTTCCTGAAAAAAAATGATTATTTTAGGTAACAAAACCTTTACTAATTTTTTCTAAAAAAAATAATGATAAATAATCTTCTTTTTTTTTTTAATAAAAGATAATTATATATATTACAACGCGGCATTAGTAAAGATTCTGTATTTATAATATATTTTGAATAATTTATCTAACAGCCCAGGGTCTTCCTGAAAAGAATAAATAAATTATTAGAGATAACCGCAGTCTTGTCATGGTTGTAAAAACGTACGAAGGCGCGATCTTGACACAATTGATAGACAAACTCATAAAAAACATAAGAAAATTCATGTAAACTAATCAAAACATTACAATTATTCTTTTTCATATAATAAAGTATCTTTAAATCCTAAGAACAAAAATCGACATTGCTCTTCTCAAAACAAATAGACAATGGCGATCTCATAATAGTAGTTTGTATATATCAAGCCTATTAAATTAAATAAAAAATGAATTTATTACAATTTTTGATAACTCGCTACCTCATTAATTTTTCCCCCAATTGCTGTTATTGCCTGATAACTAATTTGATCGCTTGTCTTTCTATAATAGTCAATGGGGAAATTTTATTCAATATCTTATTTTGGCTTTACATTTATGCTTTTTTTTACTTTATTTACTTTTTTTTTTGAAGTAACGAGGATTACGAGTAATATACAAATACCGAGTTGGTTCATTCTCATGACTCTGCTTTGGAGTTAAGAATGCAGCGCGCGAGGGTGTGCCAACTGTGCCACGAAGTGTAGGTGGGGATGGTAGATGACATCATCCCATATGCCACCAAGCAGCTTCAGAACCAAGCCACTCCACATACGGAACCTGTCCTGCCTGCCTCCTGACTGAAGTGGAGAGTTCAGAACACATAAGTCACATACTAACAATTGATTTTCATGATTTTTTTTTTTTTGATTTTTTTTTATACACATTTTCAAACTCTTCCAACTTAAACGTTGATATTATCAAATTTTCAAGTAACTATAATTGTGTAATTACTTTAATTCAATTTGCTTTTATTTAAAAATGTATTTATTGGAAGAGAATATATCATTAGAAAAATAATTATTATCTTCCTAAATAAATATTCAATCCTCTTCGGCTATTAATTCAACTAATTAATTTGTTAATTCATTCATTCATTTATTATTATTAAGTATTATTAAATGTTATTATTAAAATTTCCAGTAACATTAGCTTACAAGTTAAACAAAATAATAACATACCTATTATACCTGAAATAATAAATATTATTATTGCTGAAAACAAGAATGATTAAAGTTCATTGAGTCCTTGCACGATTTATACATTTTCGTAATTAATAAATTAATGATTTGTATTTTTCATTTTAATTATCAAAATTTAAATGGAAATATAACAATGAGATTGGCAAAGACTCAATATAATCTTAATTTACTTTCATTTAATTTACAACTAATTATAAATTACGTTACTTGTCTATTTAATAAATCTTTGATATAAGTTCCAGTGTTAAATGGAACTTCGATTCAATAGCAGAAAAATTATTCTTCAACAAAAAAAGTTTTTTAAAAATTATGAAAAAGTATAGATAAATCAACGTAAAGAAAAAAAATTTGTAAAAAAACATTCACATACATATATACAATTCTTCATACCTGTTCGCGTTTGGCTGTTTTTTCCTCTTTTTCTCGCTTTCGCACTTCCAGCAGGTATTCATTAAAAAGACTTTCCCTCTCGCGCATCTTTTCAACATTTTTAAAACGCTCATCACGACCGTGTTTTTGTGCAAAGTCACTGAACGATGATCTGAAAGAATTAACAATATCGTTTTATAGAGATTGTATTTCAAATAAAAAGAATTATTTCCATTCATTGACGTTTATAAATAACTTCAAGTAAATCACAGACTATTGATAAAATAAACCTATACCGAAACCATAATCAATTTGTGAACTTGTCCATGACAGCTTTAATAAATTACTAGAATTATGTTGTAGTTCAATAATATCTTACAATTCATGATAGACAATTAATTATAGTTATCATATTATTGACACTAGAACTATTTATAGAACATAAATATAAATAAATTGAAAACCTACCAATTTTTAAATGGTATGTTTAATAAATTTCATTAAAACTAAAGTTAAAAAAAAAGAAATCAATTAATTACTAACTTTCCATGGAGATTAGCTTCCTCCAAAAGCTTTTGAAACTGTTCCTTTCGCTCTTTCATTTTATTCCTTTTTTCCCTGCGTTCCTCTTCAGCCCTTTCCTTCACGTATTTTTCAAAAACCTGCTTCCTTTCCTTAGACGTCAGCAGAAGATAACGTGGATCAAATACGATTTTATGGAGTTCTTTTTCCCAAGTGCTAAAGGCGGAAACCTAATTTCAAAAGTAGTTGAAAGATAAGGAATTTTTCCAACTATTTATATTGATTTAAAAAATTTGAAAAACTCACATCTTTCTCGGCAAGCATTTCTTTAAATGATTTTATCCTCGTCTCGAGTGGTACAATTGCTCGTTCTCGTGCAGCACGAACTTCGGCTTCAATTGCGGCCTCTTTACCAATATCGATCGTCTTTTTGCTCTCTTTCTCTTCCTCCTCTTTCGTAGCTGTAACTAAAAAAATTTCACACCATCAAAGATATTTATTATTAACACCATATAATCAAATTGGATCAAGAAAGATAAATACCCTCAGGTTCTTCTTGTTTAGCTTTTTTAGCTGGAGTTGGCTGATCATCATCGCTACTTTCACTCGATTCCGATTGTTTGACGCTCTTCTGGCTCACTGCAGTTTCAGGCATGGTTGAAATCATCTTATCAACATCCTGTCGACCAAGAAGATCATCTGGTCTTTCCCATACAGAAATTCTTGATGAAGGATTGTAAAAAAATACTCGACCATCTCCTGTCCAGACTACACACCATGGAGTACCAGGAACTGGGGTGCTTGAAATCGGCCTTGATTTGTCCTGTGGTTTTGTTGCTTCTTTTGGTGTATCCTCCTTCTTCTTTGCTGCTTCTGACTCCTTCACGCTTTCTTTGGTATCATTCACACCCTCTGATGGTTTCTCCTGCTTTACATCTGCTGTAATAGCTGCATTTGCTGTTGTCATTGCCGCCTCTTCCGTTTTTTGTCTGACTGCAATTTTTGCTGATTCAAAATCTTTCAGTGCCTGTGGCTTTTCCCAAACTGATTCACCCGCTTTGCTATTGTAATAATATAATCTCCCATCAGGTGCGCGATGCTCAGACCAGACCATCGCTGCTGCTACAAGTTCAGAATCTAATTGAGCTAAAATTGCTGGATCTTCTGCTGGAGTTTGTGGAGTCATTACACCATGAGGCATTTGAGGCATGCCTAATGACAAAGTGGTAATTAGTTATTATTAAATTTACTTAATATTATTTAGTCATTTTAATTTAAGGCTTCATAAAAAAAAATTTTATATTAATATGTATATAAACAAAGGTACATTATTTGATAAATTATTTAAAGCTGAAAGCGTTTGAAACTAATGAATCTCTTTACACACGAGTGCATCCTTCAATAGAGTGAATCGAGGATAATTTAATATAAAAACTAAAGTTACCCCATCCAGTCTGTGGAGGACCATATCCACCGAAAGGTTGAAATCCTGGTGGTGGCATTCCAAAAGGTGCGGCGTTGAAAGGTGTAGTCATAGGCCCCCCATATTGATTTGGCATTCGGTGCTGCATTGGAACCATGTTAGGAGGCGGTTGAAGCATGTTTGTTGTTACTGCTGGCGTTGCAGAATTTACTGGGGCTGTATTGACAACAGTGGATGCTGTTCCTATAGATAATTAATCGATTATTCGTTCTATTTCAATAATTTGATAGAAAACTTTTTTTTTCTATCTAATTTAATTTATTTTACCATTCGCTTGTGCGACTTCTGGAGTTGGTTGTGGAGGGTTCATTTCTTGAGCTTCAGTCAGCATCGGTGGAGGACCTGTTCCTGGTGGCGCAGTATTGGTTTGATTCATTACTTCCGCATTTGGTGATTGTTCAATAGCTTGAGGAACTCGATTTTCGGCCATCGGCGATTGTTGTTGTTGTTGTTGTTGAGGTTGTTGAGACGGCTGTTGATTAGGTGATACTGCAGATCCTGTCTCTCGTACTGGTTGTTTTGCTGCACTATGAACTAGTTGCTCCAACTAGAATTTGAATACGTGATTTTAAAAGAGTTTTTTTTTCAGAATAAGGTTAAGAACCTTCTTGAGAGAAACTTTTAACCAAGATTTTTTTCTATTCATTGAACTAAAAAATAAGAATAAAATTAATGTACCTGATCTTGACCCATAACTCGGACATTTGGTCCCTCCGGTTTAGTCCATGTAGTTTCTCTAGATCGAATATTGTAAAAATAAGACTTGCCATCCGATGTCTTAGTTTCCACCCATACCTCGCCATTAAGATCCAGTCCTGGAATGTTGTTTTGCTGCTGAGATTGTTGTGGCTGTTGCTGACCTGGAATCTATTAAATAACAATAATTAATGATTTTATCAAAAATTATTTTTATTCAATAAATTAATTTTTTATACATTCGAACACTCACGCTATTCATGTTTGGTGGGCCCATTCCAGGTGGTCCGTAAGGATTTCCTGATCCAACAGGGCCATTCATCATATGCGGCGGTGGCTGTAATTAAATACACATTATTTTTTATAACTCAACCAATAATGAATAAGCTAAAAGTCTAATTTCTTTAAATATTTAAGCTGACTAATGAGCTTCATAAAATAAACATTACCATTCCCGGAGGCCCCATTAAATTAGGCGGCCCCATCATATTAGGTGGTCCCATGGGTCCCCAGCTCGGATCAAATGGTGGGGGGCCCCTATATCTTGGTCCCTGAGGTCCTGGCGGACAATTGGGACGCGGTGGTCCTTCATATGGATATCCATTATTAGTACCTCTATACATAGGTCCTCTTGGTCCAAAACCTCGTCCTCTAAATCTTGGTATTCCTCCTCCTCCTCTCATTCCATAGTCATACCCCCTATCGTGAGGACTAAACAAATGATTGAATCATGAAATTAATAAATTTTTGGTAGTTAAAACCATTATTAAAAAAATATTAAATTAATTGATATTTACCTGAAGCCACCTCTCCCTCGATGCATATAATGTCGATATTCATCACCTTCATAGCCATATTCCTCACTTTCCTCCATCGGCTCTTCTGGATGTTCTTGCTCGTTATTCATTGGTGGCATTTCTTGGGGTGGAACATTTGATTGCTCACTTGCCGCTTCCATTGTTTTAAATTTTTAATAATCTATATACTCGTAATGTATATATTATTTGTTTATGCTTAATTTTATCTCATAGATGATTAAATTGTAAGTTACTGAATGAAGTTTTACTCTTACAACAAGAACACGTAAACATATCGCTGCCAAGCAATGAAAAATAACACTATCTGTTTTTTTGGATACGATTATTTCATACTGACTAGTCACTATGTATGGAAATTATAAATATCTTTTGTTTTTTTCTTAAAAAACAATAACTAAGTCTAGTTTGAGAACATTTGTGTTGTTGTAGCTATTTTATAACTTTGGATTCGGAACGATGATTGTTTTTGACGCGACAAAATGCCGGAGAATCCACTGAAAAGGTTAGAGGATGCGAAGAGGTTACTCAACCATAGAATATGTAACAAAATCGACCTGAGTAGTTTGATAAAGCTAGATGGCGTCCATATTCATGTTCTACCATACCGATTATCATGATCACATCAACGTATGGTAAATGTAAAGAATTAAACACGAAGCTTTTAGTTGTTAAATTTCATTTTTTTCTTGAAAAAAATCAATTTCTTTGAAAATTTTATGAAAAACAATTTTTAATTATTAGTATTTTTAAAAGATTTGTTTTTTAGAAACAAAAAATATTGAGTTTGTAAGTAAAGAGTTTGAATACTTTCGACATCAACCATTTTTCCCGCTATATAAATATTCACGAGAGAGCGCTAGTTGTCGTTTCTTTGCTTGTAATTTTATCGTAAGTTCCGATGATGTCACTACTTCAGAATTCTGTATTTACTCTATGCTTTCTAGGGACTCTAGATAAATTGTTTTTCTTAGAGAAAATGTTCAAAGCCATTTTTTAGTCAAATTAAATTATTTAGTGTATATTTTTGCTAGTTCACAATTTCTTGATCATTTGAACTTGAAGTTTATTTTCATAATCAAATTAAAATAGAAAAGGTTTTAATTATTTATATAAAAGTGTTATGTTAACCTTTATAGCTAATTTGCTTGTTAAAATGATTCAAACACATCTGAACGAAATTTAATATCTTATCTTTATCCAATGACAGTATCCCACATCATTCTAATGGTACAGACTAGTAGAAATTAATAACAGTGTGATTGTTTTCAATACCAGTTACATCAGTATTGGAGCTTTTTATTAGCTGTGTTATTGTGAAGTTGCCTATTGTAAGGATGCGATCAGCCAACTATATTGTATTTATTGTGTCAACATCAAAGTTGTCTGTTTCAAGATGTTACCAAAATGGATCATTGATTCTTACATGGTATTCATCAAAAAACTTTCATCCATAAATCATGAAAAAGGTCCACCTAAAACAGTAGAAATGAGAAAAATTGGTCTTTTTTTAATTTTTATTTCTGGTGTGGTTGTTGCTGTTCTAAGTACAGTACTATCATCATATTTCTACCACAGCTATGATGAATTTCCTGGTATTTACATTTATTTTCTTTATTTATCTAATGTAACTATTTTTTAACATCAATTTAAATGCAATATTATATTTTTTAGGGGCGGAAATGCGCCGAGTATTTATTCCTCTTCCTTCCAGTAATTTTTTACATGTTTACGATGATAGTACATTAAGCCTTCCAACCAAAACACATGAAGCACAGCAGTTGCAAGAATTTGAAGATGTAGCGTCTATATCTGAGGCGATTGCATCATTACAATTAGCTTTAGAGATGAAACTGTCAGGAAAACGTCGAAAAGCTGTAAAATTATTCCAGCATGCAGTTGCATTAGCACCTCATCATCCTGATGTTTTAAATCACTATGGAGAATTTTTGGAGCAAAACCAAAATGACATCATTCGTGCAAATGAATTTTATGTGAAAGCTTTAACTTATGAACCGAATCATGAAGGGGCATTAATTAACAGCCAAAGAACAGCAAGGGTTGTTGAAGAATTAGATAAAAGAATGTTACGTAGAATTGATGAAAAAAGAGATGCGTTATCGACAATTCCTGAAAATAATGCAGCTCTAATTCGAGCAAAAAAAGAAGCTTACTTTCAACATATCTATCACACTGTGGGCATTGAAGGCAATACGATGAATCTCGCACAAACTCGAGCTATTGTAGAAACTAGAACTGCTGTAGCTGGAAAAAGTATTGATGAACATAATGAAATCCTGGGTCTAGATGCGGCTATGAAGTATATTAATGCTACGTTAGTTAATAGAGTTGGTTCTATTACTATTAAAGACATATTAGAAATTCACAGACGTGTATTGGGTCATGTAGATCCAATTGAGGGTGGAAATTTCCGTAGAACACAAGTATACGTTGGTGGACATATCCCTCCTGGTCCAGGAGATATTCATTATTTAATGGCAGAGTTCGCTGTATGGCTTAACAGTGAACATGCAATTAGAATGCATCCTATCAAGTTAGTAATCTTTTAAATTTTTTTTTGTTATATAGTTTTAACTCATATTTTACCTGCAACTAACCTATTAAACAAATTTTTATCTAATATTAATAAATATCAAACTTCATTTCAGATATGCTGCATTAGCTCATTATAAATTAGTACATATTCATCCATTCTCAGATGGAAACGGAAGGACCTCAAGGTTATTAATGAATGCTATTTTGATGCAAGCTGGATACCCACCTGTAATTATTCATAAACAATACCGACACAAGTATTACGAGTATTTACAAATAGCAAATAGTGGAGATGTAAGACCTTTTGTTAGGTTCATTGCTGAGTGTACAGAACAAACTCTTGATCTTTTTCTATGGGCTACAAGTGAATTTTCAAAAGAAGTTCCAGCTCTTAGTCAAGAATCTTTGATGAAAGATCGACATAGGACTATAGCACTTGATGATGATGGCAGTGGTGAATTTTTGGATGATTAAATTAGACTGTGTAATCAAAAAAAAGTTTTGATCGAAATAGCAAAGCTTTAATATTTAATAATATTATGATAAATTGTGTAAAAGCATTATTTATAATGACTTGCTGGACAAGTATACAATATTTATAAATTTATTTTTATCTTAATTGACTCACTTCATTAAATAAATGAAATTTTTTACCATAATTGATGTTCTTAGTATTATGGTGTATTTAAATCATGTATATAAAATATATTGATGATGGAAGACGAAACGATTGTAGGATAAAGAAATAAGACAAGTTTCAAGAGCTTAATATTTTTTTAGTTACATGCTTCATTTATGTAAAAATAGAGAATGAAAGACAAAGTGAAAAATAAATTTATTTAAACTTAATTAAAGAATACTCGATATGATGATGTGTCTCACTGTAAAGTCTAAAATGTTAACACTTTTAAATTCAGTCGTTATTTGGTTTTATTATTTTTTATGCAACACAAAAGCTATTACGCATTAATGATAAACTCAATGAGGGATCGGGTACACATCAATTAATAATAAAAAAAATATAAAATAGTATCAACGATAGTATTGTGATTTATAACCACAAAAATTTGCATTAAAATTATAAAAATTATTAATAAATAGCTGCCCCGATACCCTACATAGTAAAAAAAATTATTTATTTCTTCTTTTATTTTTTTGTCTATATAACTATCATCATGCACTCACTCATTCCGATAAAGTTACATTCATAAAAGCTGTGATAACACTTTAATTTTTCTTTTACATAGTTTAATCTTTCTCTTATAGTTTGATAAATATTTCTCGCGAATCGTTTATGGTAAAATGAAGTTTCCGAAAAATACATCAAGATATATTGATAAATTTTGTATATGTCTAATGATCATTAATAAATAACAAAATATCATGATAATTGATCAGTGGTGATGACTTCGTATAGCCATAGAATCTGGTCCAATTCCATATTTAAATATGAACTCGGTGCAAGGCTATTACCACTGATCAAGAGTTGCACAGGCGTAGGCCTTTAACACCAAGATCAGTTCTCCGGGTTTCCTGATCTTTTAGCAAATTCGAAGCATAGATATGAAAAGGTTGGCCTTCTCGGTGACCATGATAAGAAGAATGGGAAGGAAATGGTGTTGAGGATGATGGAATAAGTGAGAAGAATTTAGTATAAAGAAATGGGTGGGCTCTAAACATCAAAGAGTGTTACAAAAACAAATCATAAATAATAATAAGATTATGATGACATTATTAGTCAGGCCGTTTTTTCGCATGAATTAACTATGCATTATTTATTTATTATATCAGAAAATAAAAAAAGTACGCGAGATTATAAATTTAAAAGTAATAATATCAATTGCTGATTGAATACAAACCAATGAGCAAATGAGAAAAATTATTTAAAGTTATTAGAATGAAAATTTTCTTCTGTATGGTATTATCGTTAAAAATTAATTTAAAAATACAAATGGTTTATTTATCGACGAGTTATTGCTTCAGAGTGTTCTAAAGTTCACAAGATCACACTAACTACTAATCATTATCGAAAAGAATCTACTAATCATGTCTGGTCGATAATCTCGATCAAACGGATTAGGTAAAAGTTGTGCAAAAATTTTTCTTCATTATTTTTCTACTAATTACTTACATTTTGATCATACATAAATTTGATATATTATTATTTTCGAGTGCCAGCGAATATCTGATAGTAGTAAATAAAATAAAAAAACTTTAGAATACACATCTGATAACATTATGTCGTCAGTACGATAAAATAATACGAATTTTTTTTTTTTTAGTGTTACAGAAATAATAACAGTAACATTAATATATATTTTTCCATCTTGTTTTTGTTCTTTTTTGAAATTTATTTTTGTTGATTCCTTATTAGTTGTACCGTGGATTAACTAAGCGTGTTATCTGCTGGCTCATCTGTTCCTCTTGCATGAGTTTAACACGAAACTGGCTGACTTGGTCCAATGCTTCAGTGATAGTGTCTCGTTGTTGCAACAGCAATTCTTCCCATTTTTTGGCGTACGCTGAAACACATAATATTTATTCCCGTAAACCTAAGACGCGTTAATCCATTATAAAGCAGATAACTCCATTATGAAAAGTGAAAACCACTGATTTATGATTCTTAAATTATTAAAGTGAAAAAAAAACAACAAGAATTATATAAGTTTTATATTTTAAAATAATATTATGCTAAATAGCATTATTTATTTTTAATAAAAAACAATCTTTCAAGTAAATTGTTGAATACGTTTCAGAAGAATTGGTTTCGCACATTAAATTTTATATAAGTTAGATGATTAAATTGATTAGCAACTCTGGACCATGTTGATTAAAATGATACATCTTTAAATTGATTAATAACAATGTTAGTTAAGATTTCACAATAATTATTGTTAGAAATAACATCAATTAATTGAATGATTATTTTAATAATTATGAACAATAAAATTGATATTTTTATAGACATGAAAAAGCATGAGGTAGTTTATCGAGTGAAGTAATGGACTAGCAGTTTAATAACAATATTTTGTCGTTGATATTCAACAACAATGCACCAGACCTTGTTCACTGATTGAGATGCGAAAAAGAATAAAGTCAAGTTACGGTTGATTTAAATCTAATATTTTTATAAAATAAATAAAGCTGTATCCAATATAGATATTAAGTTTGAAGAGTTCTATATGACCAATGAATGAAAAAATGAATTAATTTGGCCGTGATTAGTAAGCATATAAATTTTCTAATTATTTAAAATTTTGATGGTTGAAAAAAAAAAGATCATATCGTACCATCCGAAAATTGTATTCGCTCAATCAGACGCCTAGACAATGAAAACTTCTTCATCAGGTAGGACGATTCAAACTTAGTTCTTTTCCGTCTCAAATCTGCGAAGGTTTACTGGCGTTACATTAAATTTTTAAAAATAAAAAAAAAAGAGTCGAAATCAACTTTGTTAGAATTTAATTGTACTATAAAAGAACACAATTTCAAAAATTTTTTTATCAATTGATTACAGTAAAAATTGGCCAATAATCTTATATAATGATTAGTAATTTTCATGAATCAACAAATGCTTTCATCTCATGCTAATGTACTTAGTAAAAAAACAATGATAGAATTTATACACGCCATTTAAAAAAAAACAATTTCATTATTTAATAAACAATCAATAAATGTAAAAAAATTTCATTAACATAAATGAATGCTTTACATGCTTAATTCTGGTAATTATAAATGTAAAGAAAGATCGAAATATAAACAGTTGGAAAGATAGCAAACAAAATGAAATTCTTTAATACTATTAAACTCAAATTAATGAATTTATGTCGAAAGGATTTTATTTCAATAACAGTATCATTATTAGATTTATCACATATAGCATGACTATTTTCAAAATAATAACGGGAAGACTTATCATTATTCCAAAATGCATTTTCAAGTAAATTAGCATCAGAATTAGAATTAGAATTAATCCAACTCTGATCATTTAAACAACTAGAATATCTATAACGTAATGTAGTATCGCTCTTGGAATCTTCGTTAAATTGGAATGGTACAACAGAATCACAATCATTATTTTCAATACGATAGCTGACATTGAGAACATTGGATTCACTATCATCACAAGAAGACACAGAATAAGTTTTAGCGGAAGACTCTGATGTCAAGCCAAAAACTTTAGCTTGAATTTCCGAATTTTTCCCATAATACAAATCAACATTAACAGGACTTGGAGTTCTAGTAATTGATCCACGTCCAGATTCCGATTCATTTTGAAGTACTAAAGAACTTTTAAATATTGATTTCTTAGCTCGATTGTCGATGACTCTGCCAGTCCAGCTATACTTGGAGCAACTTTTTCTTGCAGTACTTGCCCACTTTCCTCTACTAGTTCTTTTCTGAACTGTTGATAATCTGGATAAACCATTTCTATCAGTTACCATTTTTTTAGCACTCACACAAATAAATGATCCAGTTTTTTTTAACTTTGGTGTGTGATTTTTGATTCCTCGATTACTATTATTACTAGAACTAGAGCTGGCTCTACGTTCATATTTCCAAGGCGACATTTTCTTTACATATTGGGATAATCGAGCTCTTGGATTGTAAATATTTTCATAATCCATTTCTTCTTCAATCGTAAACGATGCATCTGATGATTCTTTGCCATCTTCGTCACCATTATACGTGCAGAGTGAATTATCCTTAGGATTAGCACGCAAATCTGTCATGAAACGCGAGGCACAGTGATAGAAGTGGATTCAGATGTCACTTGATATCGTTGGTATCATTTAATTTTATATTTATAATAAAATAATTGTAAAGTCTAAGGTTACCGAACTTAATTAGAACTTTGCTTAATTATAACAGCAAATCGTACGATAATCTTATATATTTATCATAACATAATAATAAATCGTTACTTTGTTATAATAATTGCATCAAAAATTAAATGAATTATGATGAACTGAAGAGTATAACTGAATAAAACCATTATTTATTTTCTAGTGAATCATTGAAGAATGAAAATAAATGAATTCAATTGGAATCATTCAGTTTTTTTAATCAGCTCGTCATTTGACTACTACTATGGCAACTATTAAAATACAAATAGCTAATAATATAACAATAATAAAACTCACCTTCTTGATCGTAGTCTACTTCATAGGTTGCACTAAAAACTTGATGGGCTTCATTCAAGAATTTGTTTGTATTGTCAATAACGAGTTTGTGCGTATCCAGTACTTCTTCTTCCATTGTTTGTAATGCTGTTACAGCCTCATGGAAAGTATATAAATCTTCTGAAAGTTCTCCCTCCTATGAAGAAATATCTCATTACTTGGATAATCGATTTTTTTATGAGTAAAAAAACGGGTTACTATTGTTATTAGGCATTTTTACTGACATTCAATGATCTAAGCTGTGCTAAATCACTATCAGACAGTACGCTATCATTTGCCTGTTCATCGATTTGAGCTAGACGTTCTTCACCAGTAGGCGATGCCCTTAATTCGGTTGGATCTGTTGCAGCCAACTCCTTCACTCGATCGGCGTATCTTAGAGTATTCAAAGAATGTTCGCAAGAACTCATTCCCGGACTGATCATAGCAATCTGAAAACAACAATTATAATTTAATTTTTCATTCTACAAATTTAACTTTACTATTAATTGATAATTATTCTTTTATCAAAATATTTTTCATTTTTTATGAATAAATGATAATCGTACCATACAAGTTTTTGATTTTTCACCAATAAAGCTATCCCTGAGTACTTGAGTAAGTTTACTAGCTCTGAATGGTAGATGAGTTCCTCGATCTTTTCGTCCTAAAGCACGTATACATTCTTTTAGGGCAAGTAATGATTTATTTATCTCTGCTCCTTCCATTCCTATAAAAAAATAATTTTTAATTAATTTGAAATGTTCTTCTTTACAATAAAAAATATATTTTCAGAAATGCTTACTGGTTTGTCTATTAGCAGAAGATGTATCAGCACCTCTTTCATTTCCAGCAAGATCAATAAGCGAAAATTTTCCGTGAACTTTATGAGTACCTGGCGTTCGTGCAATAATTTGAAAAACTGCATGTGATCTTGAAGAATTAGTATTAGCACTAGTTTGCCCACTAGTTCTGGCGCTATTCCCATGTTGAATTAACTTTAAAACTTCGTCTACACTTTCAACCACTTTTTCCGTCAATCCAACAATCTGAACTTGTTGCTTGCCATCTTCTAAAACTCGAAGTTTTTCTTTGTCAGCTAACAAATCAAATACTTTCCCAGAATAAATTTCAAAAAAGCTTGCAGATATGACGAGATTCAATACTCTATATTTAGCAGATTTAAGAAGCTTGAAAACATCTTTAGCAGCCATAGCATAAATTCCCTTCTTACAATCCTGAGTTTTTCCATTAAAATCACCACCCATTGTATGTGTTTTACCACTTCCTGTCTGACCATAAGCAAAACAAGTTGCCATTCCTCCCTCGAAAATAGTCTGAACCAGAGGTTTAGCAGTATATTTATAAACAATCTCATTATTACACGTCTCATCGAAAGCATAATCAAATCTAAAGTGTTGATTTTCCAAATATTTCGTTAAATCAACTTTGAGCTTTGGCTCATGAACGATCATTTGATCTTTACTTGGTACACTTATAACATCAACTTCTTTCCTATTCTGTTCTTTGCGGTTCAATGGACGCTTTCTCACACAGACTGTAATTTGATGATCTTCCACAGCATCAGATTCTCGAAGAGGCCTAAATTCTATGCTATTTTGATATTCTCTAATCATCGCCAAAAATTCCCAATTAGGATTACCAGGATCCATATTCATCAAAGCTTCTTTCTCTTCTTTCAGTTCTGCTTGACGTTGTCGCCTTTCCTCTCTATTTTTTTTAAGTCTTTCAACTTCCTTGACAACATTTGATCGTCTACCTCTTCCATTCTCTACCGTTGTCGGGGGTTGAATTGGTTGTTGTTGCTGCGGTTGTGAGGACTGATTTTGCTTCGTTTTATTTGTTGATGTTGTACTAATGTTTGTAAATGCTGGTATTGTTGGTGTTGGTGGTATATTTTCGACTTCACGCCGGCTTGTAAGAGCTGTCATTGTTTCATTCTGACCATTTACTGATGTCACTGATGGTGGTAATATGCTTGTTGGTCGTCCTGGCTGATTTCGTTGTCTATTTGAACTCGCTAAAAATGAATCAAAAATATTAGTTAATTAAAATTTATCATCTTGAAATTTGTTATAATCAATTAAAATGTTAAAATCTACTATTATATTTTCCTGGGTCTTTATAAACTTGTTCTACAATTGTTGGAGCTTCGATAGCTATAACAGCGGCTTTTTCATCGACTATTTGATTTCTGCGTTTAAAAAAATGAGCCCACGGAATAAATTTCATTTTCAGAAAATTTTTTTAATGATAAATATTCTCTTTTAATAAAAATAGAAGCTTATTCCAAGTGAATAAATTTTTGTAAATGATTAATTGATAGTTAAAAGAGCCGCCTATTGTGTTAAAAAATTATGTGACCAAAAGAACAACCAACTCGTGCTAGCGTACAAACTGCACTGTCCAAGCGGGGTCCTTGCCCTTGTGCGTTAGCTATAGCCTAGACACCTGACAGTGTTATACATATAGCGACGAATATCGATAGTCACACAATGTTTAACTACTACGAGGCTACTCTATGTTGGTCATAGACCCCAGAACGTAGTGAAATAATTCACCCTTGTCATGAAGAGCTAATTCTACCTAGCATGGATAGTTTGAATATTCGTTGAGAAATTTTCTTATCGTTTGATCTAATTAGATTAGCCTACAAGACGTACAATATTATTAAGTCCGAAAATTCATTTACAACCGGCAATGTTTTTTTTTCTGTAGGAACTAAACTAAAAGCAATTATAAAAATAAGTTTTCTGATAAAACAAGTAATTTTTGTAGGCTTTAACTTCCTAGTTTCAAAACTACTTCATTGATTTTCGCTATCATTCACCATCATAGTGTAAAAAAGTTATCAAGAAAGTTTCCGCAAATAAAAAATTTTTGTATACAAAATCAACTGTTTTTAAAAATTCTTATTTTGAGTAAACAATATATTTTCTCTACATAAAATGACAATCTACACTTTTTTATCTGATATTACTTATTATCTTCCCTTTAGGTGAATGACTAGTAAAAATCTACCTTTATTATTTCCTGTCCAAAATACACAAAACTTCACTTAGGAAATAAATTTAAAAGATCTAAAAAGAATGAATACAAAATAAAATTTACCTTTAACTGGGATAGACTGCCTGGGAGCATGCTGAAAATGAAAAAAAATCACTTTGAGTAATCAAATGAATAACCACTAAACTCTAACCATGTGTGCATTGAAGCCAAGGAGAAATTAAACGAGAATTGTGAAAGAAAAATTATAAAAATAAATCATGATGTCCTAAAAAGCCATTTGTATTATACAGCGTGAACATGTCAAATAATTGGGCTAATTTTTACAATTCATTAATTAATGTGCTTCAAGTATTATTATATCGATCCTTTACACAACATTACACATTTCTTACATGATTTGATCATTCCCCCAGGGAAATGTGAATTTTCTTTCACCTTGTTGTTGTGAAAAATATAACCTGTGTCCATGTGCTTATGTTATATTACATGATAAAAAGATAAATAACTATTTCCAATAATCTACACAGTATTCTAATGAATTTATTTAACATACTCTTTACTTTACATGTTAATAAACAAATTCTTTAATTACTAATAATTTTAATTATGAGGTAAAATTATTATCGTGAGGAGAAGAAAGATATAAGATCTAGATGATCCAGGAAATGTGATAGTGTGTTGATGACGATGAAGGTGATGGAAGATCAAGGAAAAATGAAGAGGAATCAGCAAGGAGTGCGCGTTACCAAAATACGTGATGTAACTCGTACAGAAAGTGTTGCCGAAGTGAGTCCATTCCTCGTGGTGTGTCCACCATGACGTCCAAGAGAGCCATCCTCTTGGTTATCCAAATCATCAGCAGCATCATCCTCCTCATCAGAAGAATCCTGGGACGTTTGAATTTTGGATCCCACGTTTATTTTTACGAATAACAAATAATTGGCAAGAAGGAAATGACGAAATAAATGAAACCCCATTTTTATTTAATTTCAAAAGAATATCATAAATTAAATCAACAAAAATGAAAATTACCAAATTAATGAATAGAAGAAGAGGATTGTCAACACAAAGAAGAAGGAATATTTTGAAATAATCCAAGTGTTGAAGTACGTTTGATATTTTTTTTTTTCATTCCAGTTGAGTTCCATGTTATGAGTCCAAAGTGTTCCAGGGCAGCGTCCATAGAGGAGCAAAAAGACGTTACCACATTAGTTGTGTTGAGTGATCATGTACTTTACATCCTTGGGATTCGATTTAGATGGTTAAACGGATCGAATGAAATGATCGCCGGCGATCGAAAGGTCGTTATGAGTCAGGTCAAGTGATAGAAATGATTTAATAAGAAACATAAAAAGCTCAGCTATCTTGACTTGTGAGATCATTCTGCTATTTTTCTTGATCAATCAAACGAACGTTCTCATTTTCAATTAATGTATAATTCACTACTGGTGAATTTAATAATTGAATATTTAGAAAAACACTAAATTGATCAGCTAATTATTGAAAGCACAACAATACTGATTTTATGAAGAATTTTTACCGAGATAAATTACAATACCTGAAAGACTATCATATATTGAAACATTTTGAAAGAAACACTTGTCTCTAGGGACCGGCGCATTATTTCATAACACTCTGGAGAATAGGTTAGAGAAATAGCAGCGTAGTCCCAGCAACGCGTCAACAAATTTCGATTATACTAGTCGATAAAGTATATGAGAAAATTGTGCTTCTGCGCAAATTTTTCTAGGAATATGTTAAACATAAAAAAATTTTCCTACTCTTACAATAAAATTCAACTACAGACCTAACTGTTTATCAATAATGTCCAAGTCATAAATGGTCACGAACAGATGTCATTTAATAGCATTTTTTGTAAGGGAAGTAACTGTCATTACCGTAATTAATTAATAATGATAGCAATCTTCATGATGTCTTCAAGATGTTGCTGTAAGGCGGGTTGTGATATCATGGACAAAATGTAAATAAAATAACTTACCCTTGATCTAGTTACTGACATGTTGATCTGTGGTGGTGGAGGCATGCTTTTTGATGTTAGCTCGGGATTTAATGCAAGGATGGCGTCGATTTCCACCTATAATTTAATTTAAAAAACTCAAATTAATCATAACAAATCTGAAAGAGCAGTAAATATTCATTTTATATTCAACAGAAAAAAATTTCCATTATCAAACTTTGGATATATTGAGAAACCAACCTTTCTACGTGGGATCAAACTTTGAGGCATCGTTAATGATAATTTAAACTTGAGTAATTAACTATTCAACTTTAAAGACTGACTTGATTTATTTATATAATAAAATTTTATTAAACTGATTTATTTATCAAGATATTTTTCTCACAATTTTTGGACAAATTAAAGACTGGTGTTTATCGAGCAGTCATTAAACGCAAAGTCATTTTAGATCTCCAACAAACTGCTTAGCTTGTCGGAAATAGACTAGTGATCTCAATAGCTTCGCAGGTTGCTGGTTTGGCATTGCATAAGCAATGGATAGTGAAAATAGCTCAATAACCATGACCTAAGATTGGAGAAAATTGAATAATATTCCATGTTTTGTGTAAGTTGTTTTTCTTTTTTATATTCTTTGAAGAATCATTGCTATTTATATTCATGCTATTCATAGAGTTATTAGTTAGAAAATAAAAACTCATTAATCTTGATAAAGAACTTGGCCCAGACAATGAAATAATAACCTTAGAGATGTTTTTTTTAACTTGAGATGATTTGGTTTTAAAAGAATTGAAAATTACAATTGAATAAAAAAAAATGTCAACTATTTATTCAGATAGACTTGTTAATAAATCTACAATATCAAAAAAAATATTGCTATAAATCATTTCTCTACTTTCAAATCACTTCCTCAATGATTTTTATGTCAATAAAAAATATATGTAAAAGTAAAAAGTGATTTGGAAATGAATTAAGTAATTCTGTACCTCTTTTCCTTTGGTTTCACCTTTCTCGAACCATTCTACCGTGACGCTTCGCTGATCCCAGTTGACACCGGAGACAATTGCTCCATGGACACGACCTGGAAGTGAAAAAAGAGAGCATTCAGTGTTATCAAAAAATAGATAAATATATGTACCGCTAATGATTGACATATTAACGGATTTCATGACGAATAATGCCGGTATAAAAGTAGTTATTTCATGATGAGGATATGATAAAAAGAAAATAAATTATGGGGGTAAAAGAGAAGTCATAGAATACTGTTACTCTGAATAGCTATTAGTATCTTTCGTGTACAAAATTACAATCTAATTTTAGAGAGGGTACCACCGGAATTAACCGCCAAGTGGTTATTCCATGGGCACGGCCACGTTACACACAATGATTCTGCGTCAGCTTTATTGCTTCCAATTGTATCAAATCACTAGTGCTTTTTATTTATTACTTTATACTAATAAAACATGTGACATTTGCATGTGAATTCTGTTCCCTAAATATGAAGTTTCATACAAAAGATTTCAATTATTTGTATTAAAACTATTGTAGTTTCGAATTATTCTTATACTCAAATTAATGCAATGATTAATAATGTTAATTAATGATATTATTAAATAAACAATACCATTTTTATTATTCCTATTAGAACTGTCATTATAACTCTGATTATTCTGCCTTTGTTTCTCAGGTGATGCTTTAGGAATTAACGACTTAACTTTCCTATTTTGGATTTTTTTCCTTTTGCAACGATCATCATCATCATCAAATATTGGCACTGAGAAACTACATGATTTTGAATTCGCATAAAAATTATTATTCTCACTACTAGACTTTACAATCTTAGAGCTCCAGCTTCTAAAACTCTTCTCCTCTTCTTTCTCACAATTTTCCACAACTTGGTTAAATTCAAAATCCTTATTTTTATTACAGCTATAACTGCTTTTACATTCTTTTAAACTGTTCTTCCTCAAGCTATCTTCAGGGGTGGTATCAGAAAGTGAATCATAAAATTCTAAGTCATCATTTTCAGTGATATGAATCACAGAAAGATTAACATCAGCTTCAGAAGCTCCACCATAATTCAGTCCAGAAAACTGAATTTGTTGATCAACTTGATTTGTTGTATCTTGAAACACTTGCTTTTGATCATTATTCTCAACATTAGTAATTACCTGAAGACCTTCATCATTCTGATATGCATTGACGCATGACAAAGTACTTTTCTTCTCATTATTAATAACATCTTTATCATCACTAATAACATATTTATCTTCATTTTTTTTCAGCTCTCCAACTTTATCTTTCCGTCGTTTCTTCTTCTTCTTATTTTTTTCAAAATTTCCTGACTCCTTGGAGCCACAGACACACCGACTGAGCCAGTCCATTAAGTCTTGAGAATGTTCCCAGGATCTTGAGTTTGTAGGCGAGGTTCAAAGCACTTCAAGTCAGTGGGCGAGTCATGGTTGATCTTGTTTGCCAAAAGTAGTATTCATCAGGTGCATACAAAAACCTTAAGGTTCACTAAAGGCCATTGACACCTGGACAAGTTGTTATGATGATCATTATTACAGATATTATTATTGTTGGTGCTGATTATCATGCAGAGTATCATACATTAGAATGCGACAACTCAACACAATAATAATGAAAGACGAGTAACTGGTATAGTAATCGATCCGCGATCATACGTTCGAATGAAGATTGACATCGATCTAGAAGGTCAGGCAGTGGAAAGAAAATTGTAACATGATATTAAATTTATCATATTAATTTTACTATTAAATTACAGGAAAACTTGTTCTTGATTTCAATCCATTTGTTCACAATTAATAAAACAAAATAATCCATCAGACACTTTCTAACTTTTTAAAATCATTTATTTTGAAGAAGAATCAATAGTTGATGATTCTCGAAAAAACTTTCAACTACTGACTTTCAAACTGACAAAGACTTTGTCGTTCACCAACTAAAATAGCAGTCAACTCTTTCTTTCTTTCCCGTTAAATCCGCTTGCATGTCTTGTGAAGAATTTCCAGAAAAACGTGACACTGAATAAAAAAGCTAAGATAAAAAATTCTTCAATATACGTGTGCTTGCAATGATTTTAAAATATTCACGTGGTTCTTAAACTTCGTTCATAAGGTTGCACTTTCACAAGCACCACCAAGTAAGGGTTGAAAGTTCCAAAGGGTTATCTTCACAAAGAAACTAAACAGTAAGGTTGTCTTGAATATTAAATACAATGAAAACATGCTGGTGTTATTGATGTTGTTGTTGATGATGATTGTGATAGTGGTGATGATGATCCGGTGACTCTTTATGATCAACTGGCAGTGTCTATCGTCCAAGCGTCGATTCATAAACGCATTTATTATAACGCCCAGAGTAATTCGATGTCGTTGTCGGGTGTGTACACGATAATATCCGAGACTACTCGACGAGTTCGATCAACCGTCAAGTGTAATCTCCACTGCGACATACATCTAGTTCATCTTAATGCAATAATTCATATTGTTTCATGTAATTCAGCATTTTAAAAGTCCAAGGAATTTATCAATACATCCGAAAGGATTAACGAAGGTTAGGTTGATAATTTAATGTCACTTACGTTGCCAACAACTTCTGTTTCGTTGAATCGATTATCATTTTTATCATAAAATTTTTTAGGTTTATTATTATGTCAAAGAGAATGATTCAAAACTTTTCATTTAGTATTTAAAATTTTTTTTAATTTGTGCTTATTTGAATGATAAAATTTTAAAAGAGACACGTTAAGAAGTGAGAACAGCTGAAGACTGAAGTCTATAAGAGACCTTAAATCCATTACTAAACTGTTGCAGCAGTTAGATAAGTCCTGTTAATAGCAAGAAAAATTATCAGAACTCTGTTAACGTCAGTCAAGCGTATCTAAAAGTAAAAAGAAAGATTAAAAAATTATTAAATTGCTTTGTGTAGTTTTGTAAAAATAATAAATACTAGTGTGTTGATTGAATAATGAATAATAATAATAATTACGTGGGATTTAGATAAATAAATTCATTTATTTTAATTCATTAATTTGTTATTTATAATGAGAAAGTGGGAAATGAAGTATTTTTTAATCCAAGTTGACTTGAAGTGTAGGTATACTAAACAAGTTACTCGATAGTAGGAAATTGTCAGTAATAACGTATTACATTGTGACGTTATCTGCAAAATTACGTAAGAGTTAATTCACTTATGGTTTAATTATTTCCTTGTTCATTGAAAAAAGGTATTGGCAAAATACTAAAACATCAAATAATTTTGTTCAATTTTTTTAAAAATATTGACTGAATCTTTTTTTTTTAAATACCAATTTATTATGACTAATTATTAAAAATAATTGATTTATTTAATTAATTCTATTAGTGATGGTTATGATGATGATGGTGGTAATGAAAATTTAAGTTATAATTAACTCATTGGTTTAGAAAAAGCAATTCTATTACATTGTAACTGCTACTATTATCAAATTAGAACGATGAAACCCACTCAAACATATAATTTATCCCATTCTATTGAAAATATTCAATAATTTATTTCTGAAGAGCCTATTTAGTATTTAAAAAACTAAATAACCAATCAAAATCTAATTCATTGAAAAATATTAATTTTATGTAAATTTATTGATCAGCTGTTAAATTATAGACAACTGAAATTCTTCAAGGTGATGACTTTTTATAAATTCTGTACATGAGAAAAAAAAAACCAAAGATAATTTCAAGTGGAAACTTTCGATAATAAAAAATGTATCCTCTAGTCCACGTATGTTTGGACCTATCATCTGGGTCTATTACACATCCAGGGGTCACAATCTATCAAGCATTACATTTAAGCGACTGCATCCTGTCCTACCATTCTCATTATATTACTTCACAATGTTATTATAAACAAGCAGTCAAGTACTACAAGTTTTTGCCCTTGATTTATTTCTCTAAGGCAATGGAATCTTTCCTTATTCTCAGAGTCACTTCTCTTGACATTTATTCCAAAATGTGGCTCTGTCTCATGATGACTCTGTTCAAGTATAATCAATTGAACTAGCTCAAGTTAAAAATTACTATGAAAATTATCATTAGTGATGGATTAGTTTGTTAATTAAGTACTTCAAGTATCAATTATTTAACCAAGTATCTTATTTCAAGCTGATTGCATAACACAGTCTTCAGTCTGAACTACTGCAGCAGGAATAGATATAAAACTACGATGAGACTGACGATTATAGTTCGAAAAATATACAACCAGGGCGCCAGTTCCTAGCTGCAGTTGCTACCGACTTTACCATCCTGCATGTTGTTGATGATAAAACATGTGGTATGATATTTTATTCACGAGACTGAGAATTAATCATTCCTACTTCACCAGTATGCATTAAGTAAACATATGTCTATGAAATAATATTCTTCAAATGCTCATATTTCATACTAGAAAAAATTAGAGCTAGATAATTAATCAAGTTCCAGTTTATGAATGTACTTTGATTACGTAAATGGTTGAAATAAATTTAAATCTTAGAGTAGAATAAAATTTTTGCTTCCTTGTGTGTTATGAATTGGCTTGTTATATTCTTGAGTTTATGAATATCTTTAGAAAAAAAAAATCACTCTGCCAAGTTATTATTGATTCATTGTTCTGATCATGGCTAACAAAAATTGTCTTTCAAGTTTTCATGAGTAGTCATAGTATAAATGAGATTATAACGTGACTTTACTCTAGTTGTATGTATTCTTCAGTTGTCTAGAATTAATAATGTATCTGTTGATGGTGCAATTTGCTTGAGGTTTCTAATTAGTATTGATGATCTGTAGATAAACTTGACGTCATATTTAAGCATAAATAAACAAATTATTCATTTTATTTTTTAATGTGAAATACTTTTTTTATTAATAAAATTTAAACTGTTTAACTTTTCAAAGTCACTAAACATGAAAGTAAAACAAGAATAAGCTTTATTGTTTTAAAATAGCCTTCCATCATTTCCATTAACTTCGATTATAAATTAAAATAAAAATACTGTCATATTGACATGATGTTCTGCAGCTAATCCTTTAATGTACACGAGTAAGTTTAGGATTTAACATACAATTCATCAGACATTGCAAAAAAGGCTTAATGCATTTATGCGGAGGATGTAACTAGGAAGATACATAATTCTCTATTGGTGTAGGCGACATCAGTCAATAAAAAAAAGATTTGAAAAAATAGCGAGACCAAGCTCCAAGTAACTGGAACATGCCCTGACGCTATTTCTTTTCAAGAGCATCTCGAAGACAATGTGAGTGTAGGTGAATGGAGATTTCATCGCACAATGACTCGACATCAGCAAAAGAAGGCCAGGAAATAATACTTTGATACCACACTAAAACACCAAGTTTGTTAGAAGATTCAACTTATCAACAGATTCAATTGATAGATTAAAAAAACTCATACTGAAAATAGCTTTTGAACTTCATTTTATATGGACTATACACATCAAGGTGAGACACTTCCTACTCCAATAATGAAGCTACAGTCGATTAAAAAATTTTTTATAAATTATTCAAAAAAAGTCGTGATCAATTTAGCAACAAGTTATGTGTAAATGTTCTTCTTATAAAAAAAAAAACTAAAATTATCCAAGTTTTACATTTGTTGCTATAAACTAAATAGCCAGAGCACTTTTTATCGTTAATTATTCAAATGTATTCTTCATCTTTTTGAAGTTGGAATATTTTCGTAGTAAAAATAAAGGAAATATGCTGTAAATCTTAGGTGGAAATTTATTTTCTTTAGGAAAAGAGCTAGAAATATTTTGTTGATGATTTAAATATACTTCTGAAAGATTTAAAAAATTTTACTCTCTAGTTCTTGGTAGAAATTTTTGACATTATTTATATGTTTTCTATCGAGACGAATAGTGGCATTTCAAATACTAGAGTATCTTTTTTCAGTCTCCAGAGGACTTTCACGACTGAATTATTCAATAAATATATTCATCTGAATGATAAATTTTTTAAGACTTGAAAAATATTTTTTTGAATATCTGAGCTAATTCATTAAATACTATCTACATGAATAAGCTCCCAAGCATGAAAAAAAAACATAAATAACCGGAAGTCAATCTCCAACTCCAACAATCAACAGCAAAAAGATTTGCTTCAGAAATCATGTGTTTCTAGAGACAGAATATTAGTGTCCCTGAAAAAATCGGAAAAATAATGTTTGACGCAGATAATCAACTCTCACAGTATCATGATCCTTATTAGGTTAGATCGCCCACACGACCACTGGCTGTTAGCTTTCGGGCAAGGACTATATACACGTCATCTTTTTATTTGTAAGTGTATATTATATCTCGTGAGATCTAAATGCTCTTAAAGAACTGCATCTACCCATATGTGCTGCTCAGGCAAACTTGTTAATTGAACAATCTGTTCCACTTGTAACACTTATTGAAAGTGCATGACAATCCAGTTGGCTACACTGAAGATCAGCATCTTCTGTATCTCTTGATATCTATTTTTAGGCACATGCCGACCAGCTATCTGTCTACTGAGATCTAAATACTTCAGTTGAAATAACCTATGATGAACTCAAATAGACCTGCATCTCGTGAGAATTCTGCTTCTCATATCTTATTTGAACTCACTGACTATTGTATGAAAAAACAATAGTTTAACGTGGATAAGACTTCGATAAAGTCAAAGAAATATATTTCATGCTGATCCTTATTGGGTTTGGGTAATAAAATCCAAATTGAAATAAATTCCCCATAAATTTGAAGATTGGATTTATCACTGGAAAACAGTGATTCTTGAATACATTTGCAGCTTAAATCTCAACTCTAGCTTTTACATCTGCTATTTCAACTGGTTTGAAATATCAAGCTTTCTGAGGAATCCATCAATGTTCATTCACAATGTTAAACAGTATATTTCCACTGGAGAATAATGAAATATTAATGCGAAACAGTGAATTTCCACAATGTCATATTCGCATGGTAGAAGTATTTTTTAAAATCAATATCCAGGGTTAAGTTTAGTTCTATCAACGAATATAGCAAACAACTCAATACTTAATGTCTTTTTTTTTTCATTTTATGAATTACCTCGAGAACCATATCAATTTCATCAGTTTGTCGTTGACAATACGTGAATGGTCATCAAGGTCATGGTGAAACGAAAGGCACAGAATGTTTGCATTGACATTACAAAGCGGAAGTAAACATGTAGAAAATCTATTTGGTAAAATATAATTATTCAAATGAATATAAGCAGAAATTTATTTGCATCATGAACTATCAAGTTATTGAAATTAAATGACAACACCTACGTGCTCGTCTTTTTTTTATTGAATTGGTATTTTTCAAGAGGTGAATTCTATCCAATGCATTGTTGAATGCTCTTTGTTAACAAAGAATTGATTCTAGCTATTTTTAGTTGATTCAAGTTGAATAGTTGACAAGCTTTAACAATACTCATTTAGATAAATTATACTAATCACATGAGAAAAATATTCTGATGCTGTAATAGATCAATACTTTTTTCTTCAATTTACATTTTGAATTCAGGTGGGACTGAACAAAATCTCTTGATAAAAATTATTAGATTTATAGTAACAATAGGAATATATGATTACAATTGATTAAAGAAGCTTTCTTTTTGAAAGCAAAAAAAACTGGCATTATTTCTAACGGAAATAATTTTTTTTTTAGTATTCTTTGAAGCCAAAAAATAATAAAGCAATCAAAATCTACCACCTACATAATAAATATTAATCATCTAACCTTTTCAATCACTGTCTTAGCAATAGCTAATGTGGTCTCGACAACTTTTCCTTTCATCCTACTAGATTGCTTCATCTCTATATAGAATTTTTGTCTCGGTAAGTTGCTAGACTGTTTTTTTTTCAATGTCACATGTACTTGAATTATACAAAGTATTCATAATTTAAATGAAACAACTGATATGTTATCAATTCAAGTCTGTTTAAATGATGTAGTTCACTGAACCATTCCATAAGTTAGCTAATCAGCAGCTATTATTGAATAATAAAGAAAATTATATCAACAAGTTTCATTTCATTCATACTGATTATGTAATCAAATAAACATTTCACGAATACTAACTAAGTTCAAAAGATTTAAATTAACTGATTAAATTTAGTGAAGCTTCATTGATTGAAAAAATGATCAAAAGAGTATCGAAGGGAAGCCACTGGCACCCATCCAATCATTTTGGATAGATATTAGACACGTGTAAGTCTGGGGTAATTTCACACTCTCATCAATACATTAAATGAGAAAGAGGGAAATGTACATGTAAATGTGGCGTTTGTTTTAAAGGTGTGAGAGAATAGTAGTAAGGGGTCCGTGAGGAAACCCGCTCCTTTCTTGGTGAACATGTTGACTCATTCGTCGATGAACGCGTAAATAAAATGAACACGATTATCTTGCGAAGGGAAACTTGCATTCTAGAGTTTCTCATTTAATTATTACTTTTAATTGGTTTAGTAATTTTAAAAAAAATATCAAATAATAATATTCATCATATTTTTCAGAAAAATATTTGAAAAATAAATTAAAAATTCAATGTTTATTACCCTGTTTATTATTTTTGTAATAATCGAATTAATTTTCATTATTGCTGTAAAAAGCAATAGTAATTCATATTTTGAATAATAATAAGTAAGTAATAACATCAATGTGAAGTATATAAACAATTAAATTCATTTTATAATCATTGTTTTTTTTTTATTTAATTATTTTATGTGAAGATTTTTAAGATCATAGATAATTAGAGAAATAAATATTATTATTGATATTTTTTTGTGTAATTAAAACAAAATAACCGCAAAATTGGATTTATTGTTTGGTCAACTCTCGTAACTCCAGAAATCGATCGTATGTGAGTAATGCGGTTTCCAAAGTATCAAGTGTGTCTACTGTTGGAATAAAATTTTCACAGCTTTAGTCTACACTATTTATACAGCTGAACAAGCACGCAATTGATTGTAATTTTAAAAGAACTGATTAGAGTACAATCTAATGATGGTGTTAACCATCGAAAACAATAAACAATTGCTGTCATGCATGCATAAATATATATTGACAGTATAATAGATGCAAGTTATTGCAGTTTGCGTTATATTGATCGTGTCGTTTTTACTAAGTGACCCGCTTCACATTCATCCTTCTCTAGGTCAGAACAATTACTAAACACATTATTGTAATGATTAATTTACAATGTGTTTTAAAGTTTACAAAAATAAAATTCATTGTCTCAATATATTTTATGACCACATGTACGCACAAAGTGGAATAAATAAATTCAATTAAAGGTTAATAAAAGTCAATTTGTTTTATGGTATGTCACTTTAACTTCTTTACGGTTAAACAACTGTAAACTTGTTCAACTTATTTATTTTTGTTTAAATATATTTTTTGATCACTCCAAAATACTGACTGATATTCGTTGCATATTCATGAAGGCTTTTCACTTCCAATTAAAAAAAATTATTTTCCATCAAATGAATGAACCGAAAAAAATGAATTTCAATATTTATATGGATTTATAAATATTGTGAAACGTAAAAATCAAATAGTAATAAAAGCCTTTTATCCAATTGTCTATTATTAACAACAATACTGGCACGAAGATAATCAATCAATCAATCAGTACGTATTGTCTCTTATCATATTAAAGAGCTTAAAATAAATTGTTCAGGTGTTCTGTAACAAAGTAACAATGAATTAGAATTTTATAAAAATACCTGGTAATGATGGATGTCAAAATTGGATAACAATAATATTACAAAAAAAAAAAGAAAGAAATGATAGTTAAACTTAATAATTCGTGAGAATAAGTAGTAGCTAAGAATTTTATGCACTCCAGCTGATTGTTTGAATTCACAGAGTAACGGTTTTACGTTAAACCACAAGTAGCAGCAAGCGTTGCGGATAAAAACTAGTATACACGAGGAGTTTTTACACGATTATAACACGCATTTAAACAGAACAGGAAAATTTTTATGAATTTATTTACATTAGAAAATATCATTAATGAAGAGAAATTCCAAATTCCACTCTTTAGTAACAACTATCCATTGATAACACTCATCATTATTTTTTGTTATTTAATTAACCACACGCCAATTTTAAATAAATCACCACCAATTTCAATAACTTGACTTTAAAAAACCATATTTATTTTGTTCCATTAATCAACTAGATCGCTTGGAGACAATCATTGGCATAGATACAAAGATAGTGAAAGGGAATCCAATTATTTGATTGGTTTAAAATAGGTAAATTTCATGTCAATTTTGAGAGATGTATTAATTAAAATAATGCAACTCTAGATTCTATTTAAAGATTATTTGGAAGGATAGTTGGTAAATCGGTTAACAAGATGCTAGCCGAGAAAACCTTAAAAGTCAATGGATTGAAAGTCTAGTGGTTCAAGCATCAAAGAGTGACCATGAGAATTGCGGCAAGAAGATATAGAAGGGGAAATTTCCCCAATATGGGAATGTTGATGGGTGCACAAATCGTATGAAAAACCGGTTAAAGCCGGTCATGGCGTTTGGATGATGGCCCACGCATGGGTGCATGTGAATAATATTCAAAAATGTTATTTTTGTCAGTCGAAGGGTTGATGGCAATCGAATTCAGCAAGTCTTTTCGCACGTATATGCATAGGTGTTTATTGTATTACTAAGGTTAGAAAAAATGTTTGGCGGGATTCACTCACCATCCGTTCGTTTGATGTTTATGCTGGTTCCTGTGGCGAGGTCGTACATCGTGCTGTGGTCCATGGTCATTCAATCAATTTCGTGGTGTATACTTGGACAACATAAAAATCTCGTGGTTTTGACGCTGGATTCACGATGATTTGGAATGTTATCGTAACGTTGTACGAATTCAAAGTACGTTACGTTGCCGTGTTTAACCGGCAATTCGAAAGACTATGGTTGACAGTTACAAATGCATTCAAAATCTCATGAGGTGATTGTGTATCCACTACCTCGAGAATGTCTGAATAGACAAGGCACGCCCGCACCACTTTCTGACGTCCGACACAATACTACAATGCACCGTGAAACTGCTCCTGTATAACTTGTTAATTCTGATACTCGATCTATTCGTTTTAATAATTATTACATCGAGTTTTCGGTTAATTTTTACTATAAAACTTTTCGTTTTAAGCCGGGAGTCTTTTGGTGTCCGTTATTGACAACGGAAAGGTTGCGAGCGCCAGCTTTCGATTGGCAATTTTTGCCGCGACATCTCGCGAATGTTATCAAGACTTTGCCATTTTGAATTTAAGAATAAATCATGAATCAAACAATTTATAGAAAGGAAAACTTTATTTTTAAATATTCGAAATAATTAATCGATTAATTAATAAAAAACTTTTCTTCATAAAGAATAAATTAATAATTTATACTAATTAATTATTCCAATTAATTTCAATCAAAATTATAAATTTTTATTGTAATAAAACGAGAAATTTAATTGGTGTTTATTTTCTTTGCTCGATCGATAAAGTTACGCAAAGTTAGTTCTAAAAGAAAATATAGATAGCGGTAGTTATAAATGCCTTTTGTTTGCTTGTCGATAAAAAAACTAGAACACAAATTTGGCAGCGAGTGGTGCATCTTCTACCATTTTGTGCGACAAAATTCTATCTAAGAGCTTGCTTTCGGAGTGACTGGTGGTGTGGCGGAATCTTATTTATTTTTTTCCATTTACAAGCGCATATTCTCTTAACCAAAATATTTAAAAATATAACAAATAAATCGGTAAAAAATGGGTGAAGATTATAATGGAGGTAATAATTAAATATTATTTATAACATTTTCGAAAATAAGCAAGACGCTCCGGATTTTATCATGTCGCCAGAAATGATTTAATGTCTATTACAAAATCGTTACAGACATAAGTTAATCATGTTATATATTGTAAATTAATCTTGAAATCAATATAAACACTATCGATTAAAACTTGAGAAAAAATTTCCAGTCGACTAAGTAATTAGTTTACGACCCTACCTTGATCACTTTAATTATTAATTGTGCTTGTGCAGCATTGGTCAATCATTCATTTTTATTTTGGAATTTTCCAGACAGAGATCGACAAGATCGAGACAAAGACAGGGATCGCGAAAGAGATCGTGACAGGGATAGGAGGCACAAATCTCGTAGCAGGGATCGTAGAAAGAGATCTCGGTCCCGATCTAAAGATCGCAGAGATAGAAAACGAAGTTCTTCACCGAAAAAAAGTCGAAGCTCACGAAGAAGAAAACCTTCACTTTATTGGGACGTTCCACCACCTGGTTTTGAGCACATTACACCACTGCAGGTAATCTAATTATTAGTATAATTAATCTTTAGAAAAATTAAATTACTAATTAACTTTAATTTTACTTGTGAATTAAAATTGAATTTGAAATTTTTAGTATAAGGCAATGCAAGCCGCTGGTCAAATTCCAGCAAATATCGTAGCAGATACTCCACAGGCAGCAGTTCCAGTCGTAGGCAGTACAATTACTCGACAAGCCAGAAGGCTTTATGTAGGAAACATTCCTTTCGGAGTAACAGAAGAAGAAATGATGGAATTCTTCAATCAACAGATGCACCTATCTGGTCTAGCACAAGCTGCTGGCAATCCCGTGCTTGCTTGTCAAATTAATTTAGACAAAAATTTCGCTTTTCTTGAGGTATTTATTTTTTGTCTAATCAATAAGTATTTTTCATGTGACAATGGATACAATATTGATGAAAACTACTGTTTTAGTTCCGCTCGATAGATGAAACGACACAAGCAATGGCATTCGATGGTATCAACTTCAAAGGACAGAGCTTGAAAATTAGAAGACCACATGATTATCAACCAATGCCCGGAATGACAGACAATCCAAGCATGAACGTGCCAGGTACGGTTCCGGGTATGTTTCGCACATACTTTCGAATTAATTTTTATCTATCCTTATATCAACAGCACGTTGGAATAGATGTTGCTAGTTAATTAAAAAATTTTTATTTAAATATTCACCTCTTTCCACAGATTCACCGCATAAGATCTTCATTGGTGGATTACCCAACTACTTAAACGAGGAACAGGTATGCAAGACAAGTAATTTATCTTCCTATTTTCATCATCCTTCAGCCTCAAACTCCTCGTTCAGTATTGCGACAACTAAATTCTATGATGCTTTAATGTCGTTATACATTTTTCTATTTTTTATTTCTTATCATTTTTTATTTTTCATTTAAAGACGACATTCAAAGCTCGTGATTCACTCATGAAATAGTATTTAGCATTTAGCGGACTCTCCAAGGCCTCTTAGACTATTTTTTTTATCAAAAACAAATCAATTCAACATCGCAAGGTACGTATATCTTCCGTCCTTTGTCATCTTCCGCATTGGCTAGGGCCCACGTGATTTAGAAAAAAGTTTAGGTATTTTACACATTTTTTTTTCTCTTTCGCATGCTCTATCGCGGTTGATTCGATCGTATTTACTTTTAGCTCAGGGATTAGGGTAAAAAAAATCAAAAAAATTTAAATAGTTAAAAAAAAGTCAAATCAAAGATATATAAAATCGTTAGAGGCGTTGCAGCTTTTAGGTGGCAGCGGCACAACGGTTTCTTTTTTTTTCTTTTGCAGCCTTTTTAGGCACAGCAATTGGAGTTACGACGGCTCTCTGTCATCCCCCGAAGTATAATGATATAAAAAAGCAATTTAGGATTTCATTGGAAGTTCAAATAAAAAAGAAGAAGGTCGGGTTAAAAAATATATTTTCAGAGGGGAAATGTGGGTGGACTTTTCAGGTTTTTTTACTCTCAGGTGGCATATTTTTTATAGGATACTTCGATGCCGTTATTTCTTTCTAGGTTTATCAAGAATACATCGAATTTTTTTTCTTGAAAAGCAAAAAAAAAAATGATTAAAAATCAGAACAGAACAAAAATTTTTCTCCTTGCAGCTATTTTCTTTTCAGGCTTTTCAGGCTTGACTGCTGATGAAAGTAAGATCTTAAAAAATATGTACAGGAAAAATTTTCAGGATTCGCGTATCAGAACTTCTTCAGGGTATTTTTCAGATTCAAATACATGGAAAAAATAATGAAATGAAGTAAAAAAATACAAAAAAAAAAAAATGTGGACTGATACCACTGCCCTTTCTCCCTATTTTTCTTAGCTTAGGGTCGCGCCGGTCGAAAGCATTCGCTTACTTCTACCACTACTACTACCACTACTACCGAACATGACAAAAAACCACACTGCTCGGAGAGAATGGCTAAGCCCGGCTTTTCGAGGCAAGTACCTGTCCAAAATCTAATGTCTCTCGATCACATTTTATTTATTGGATCGTGCCAAAATATATCTAAATCCTCTTTTCCTTATCTCTTTTATCCATTATTTTATTTATCATTTTTTAAATCTCTTATTCCTTGGCACTGGATGAAGTCTCATCTTTTAGGCTACTTGAACACTAAGCATAACTATGTTATATTTTTCGCGACATTTCATTCAAATTAAAGTTTATAACAATTAAAGAATTTTTAAAGAAGCTAAAAAAAAGATTTTAAACTAAAAATATCTAATGATGACTAAACAATGAACAAACAAATATTTTAGTTGGTTTTCGAAGAATAATAATATTAACAAAATCATTTTTGAGCTTTCTTGGTTTAGTTGAATTATTTGTTGATAAACACTATTAAAAAATATCAAGTAATTTTAAAAATATATTTTTACTGATATAAAAGCAAGTTATTCAAAGTAGGTAAGTGTTTTTGAACGAGGAGAGAACGATACTAAAAGGAAAAATAACTAGGATAGTTTGGGTTTTAATGTAAGATTCAGCAACAGAATGATTCCGTTTCCAAAGATTTAAAAAGTCAAAATTATGGGAATCTTAGCAGTTTATTAACTACTGAAATGATGACGTAGGTGAAAGAGCTGCTGATGAGCTTTGGTCAACTTCGAGCATTCAATTTGGTGAAAGATTCAGCGACAGGACTTTCGAAGGGTTACGCATTTTGCGAGTACATTGATGTATCAATGACTGATCAAGCAATAGCTGGACTCAACGGTATGCAACTAGGTGATAAAAAATTAATTGTTCAACGAGCTAGTGTAGGAGCAAAGAACCCAATGATTGGAACACAGGCTCCTGTACAAATTCAAGTTCCTGGATTGTCCATGGTTGGTACCAGTGGGCCTCCAACAGAGGTAAGTAAATCAATTATTAGAGTAAAGAAACTTTTTATTCGAAACTTTTAATATAAATATATTGTTTTGTAGGTATTATGTCTTCTTAACATGGTAACACCAGAAGAATTGATGGAAGAGGAAGAATATGAAGATATTCTGGAAGACATTAAAGAAGAGTGTAATAAATATGGAGTGGTACGATCAGTAGAAATTCCTAGACCAATCGAAGGTGTTGATGTTCCAGGATGTGGTAAAGTAAGTAGATTTTTTCAATTATAAAAACTGATATCTCAAGTATGATTTATGTTTATATTGTATCATAAAAAAATGTTTATAATTTTTTTCTAGGTATTTGTTGAATTCAACAGCGTAATTGACTGTCAAAAAGCTCAACAAACACTTACTGGTCGTAAATTTAATAATCGAGTAGTGGTAACTTCATATTTTGATCCTGACAAATACCACCGACGAGAATTTTAAAATGTTCAATAATATTTACAATAGAATACAATAATTTTTTCAACGAATACAATCTACAATTGATATTACAACTGTCGAATTAAATTGTATAATGTATATGAGTGATCATTTTTTACAGATGTGAGAGTCATTGAGTGTATAAATCACACATTGACAATTTCTTTAATATATATTATCAATTCTTAAATTTGATCATTACTCTACGAATGTGTATTTTTATTCAGTAAATGTATTACATATGTATAGAACTCTACCGAAATTAGTTCTCAAAATCGTATCATGTATACATGATCAAAAAAAAAATGTGGCCAAGAGTTGCTCATTTTCATTGAAGGAATTTTACTTGTTAGCTTTGACAAAACATCGGCAATTATTCCTTCCATCAATACCAATCGTTGATATATATGAATTCTTTCGTGGTAAACGAAGTAGTACAATTTGTTCAGTAATAAGAGAAATTTCAGAACTCTGCTTAATTGAAGCTCTAGCAGCAATCTTTTCTCGGTGTTCAAAAAAAATCCAAATTTTGGCGGCAGCTAGTATTGTTGAAGACTGATAATGTTCAACATTATTCACTTCAGCTTCAGAAGTAGAAGCATGAAGAGATTTTTCAGAAGTTGAAGAAGTATTCTCCGATGTTTTATTTTTCTTTCATTCTTGCAATGATGAATGATACTTCTTCCCACATTTTTTACACCTTAGTGACCAACAAGATGACGATTCATGTGGTTTAAGACTTTCGTTAGGTAGAATTATCAGTGCCTGTTTGTCTGAGTCACATAAATTTGTTTAAAATATGATGTAGGATATACTATGTTTCATATAAATTAAAGTATCTTTGTTTATGTAGTCAATATTATACTTTTTATTATAAAATGTTTTGTACATTTTTCATAATCATCAATACTGGGTAATTATACTTCATCTTGCATTGCTTGATGATATGTATTCGACGTGGTATCGTCAGCCTTACTAATTATTGCTCTCCTGAGAACTAAGTATAATCCTCCACCAGCCACTAGCATTCCTAAGCCACAAAGCAAAACGATAGACCATGCAGGAATACCGAGTCTTCCTAAATAAATTTTTTTAATCACAAAATTAATTGAATTTACTTAAAAAAAAATTAGAAATCAAAATAATTGAACGAAAACTCACGGAAATATTGTCGATTTATGGTTTTTCTTCCTCGAAGAATTTTACGACGAGCTTCAACCTCACCCATAAACATTCCCAGGATTACTGTAGACAGTATTAAATGTAAAAAAAATTATTTCAAAGTTTTTTATGGAAAATATTTAAAGAGAACTTACAGAAACCAATAGCCAAATAGTATAAAGCACTTTTAAATTTCATTTTGAAAATTATTTTAAATATTCTTGTAACAATTCACAGCTAAAAATGTTGGTTGTTGAAACTGTATCTTATACTGAACCCCGTACATGATTCAGACCAGATAAGACTGTTTGAGAAGGTGTTATCTTCTCTGACACATCAAGATAATTCCCACTGTTTTAGGTACTAATTTTCTACACCTGTAAAAGCGGAAATAGCTTTTTCTGATTACGGAAAGTGGAATTTAAATAGAGATAAATAAAAACATTGAATTAAAAAATGAACATCAGGAACTATACAATTAATTAATCATTAGGATAATTTAATTTAAGGTAAGATTAAGAAAAAAATAACGATTCCATCGTAAAATGACTTTTATTCATGTATAATCGAAGAAACAAGATTACAGTCTATGTAAAATTTTCCAACGTTCCTTCAATGTTAATATTATGAAATAAATACTTTTCTTATGAAATTTAATAATAAAAAAATTAAAGATTTCTTTTTCAAATCAATCAACTTTTTAACATTTCAGGAACTAGGAAATGACCATTTCGTTTGCCTCAACTTTCATATTATTACTTTTGTCTTATGACTTACAAAGTTGGCAAAGAAAAAAAATTTAGCAACAAATCCAAAGCTATCAGTGCTCAATTTTATCAATTGAATAATTCTTTAAAGTACAATTATAAGTGTACATGCTGGCACAATATCACAAGGCATCCCAAACATCACAATCCATCAGTTCATTAAAAGAAAAAAGAATCAATAAACTAAAAAGAATATTTATTACAATAAAAATGATAATGATAAATATGATTAACTTTAATATATATTATTTTGAATTTTACTATCTGTTCCCGTTTCATCACTTGAGTTATTAGCTTTTATTTTTCTATCTATTCAGCACCAAATACTTATTTATTAGAATAATCTTGCCTATCAATCCCAAAAAAAACAATTATGTGGAAGAAAAATAGAAATAATTTATTGGCGTTATAATGAATTTGGTCGAACCCATTTGTGCTTATTCACTCGACAAGAAAAGTAGCAGCAACAAACGGTTTTGATTCAAAGAAGCAATATAATATTGCAAATTTTTGTCTTACTAAATAAAATAAAGACAAAAGATATTTAATAGAAAAGAGTTTACATAACAGTGCTTTGATATTTAAAAGATATAATAACATTTGATTAACATTAATATCTGGATCTTAGGTCACTATGACTAGTTTTCCTTTCCAAAATCTAGATCATATTTACTTTTATAATTTTTCTTTTATGAACGAAACTAACTATATATGGTAACTCAATAAAATATAAATGTTATGAATAAACAGTAAAAAAAATATACTCATAATAAAAATAAAGCAAATGTAAGAGAAACAATAGTTTTAAAAAAAATTTTTTAGTTTAAATTATTATTATATTTACTTAATTACTGCTATGTAAAGCTATTTTTATTGACAATAATTATTAATTTTATTGACAATAATTATTTCGATAAGAAAAGAATGAAATACGCCAAATATATGCAAATATGAAATTTTTTCAATGGCCATTTTGAAAAAATTCAACATTATTTTTCATAATTATTTCTCTGACGCGATTAATTAAAATTCAATTTTTTAACGTTTTATAAACATATTTACGTATACTCGCGTATAATAATTTATTTGTCTAAAGCTATGCCCTACGCACCCTAGAAACTCCACTTGGAATAAATTTTTAATAAATATGTTTCTTATTGGATGGCATATAATGACTTCGGTGTTTTTAACGGTGTTATTTTTGTAAATTTATCTCTTCAACTCGAAAAAATAAAAAATAGTTAAAGAGATTCAGCCTACTACAGTTTTTATTTATTTATTTATTATTGCAAATATGCCTTTTAGTGTTTTAATAATACCTCTTTTTTCTATTTTTTGGTTAATTCATTTCCTTGCTAAAACTTATCACGAGAAATATTTGAGCCACTGGACTCAAACGTATTGCTAAAGAGATTATTTATTTTTCCCACTTTCCTCTCTCTCTCTCTCTCTCTCCCTCTTTCTCTTCAGAACACAAAATTCTATTACATTGTAACTTTTATCATCATTTATTATAATTTGTTGTTTATGATTAATAATTAATATTCCCTAGTTGAAGTATCAATATCTAAAAAGCTTAGCGATTTTTTTTTCATGTTTAATCGTAGACTAGTGCTACGTGTGCACGAACTCTCTATCTATTTGAAGATGGTTGAGTATTTTCTTATTAATAATTAATAATTATTATCAATATTTTGTTCTTCATAAATTATTATCTATTTATACTACGTAATTAAAATTTTACGGCCTAACTAGAGTTATGTGTATATGAATCAGAGGAAGAAAGAAAGAGAGCAGAAAAGAAAAAGGGAGAGAAAAAGCAAGAGAGCTTTTTTAGTTTTTTTTTGTCAGTAAAGTCCGATAATTTTACAATTTTTTATTTTATTGAATAATTAATGCAAGAAGTTACGTTTTTTTTTTGTTCTCTCTCATTTGTTCTACTTATGTATTATGTTAGTTATTTTAATTATTACCGAATAGCCGCATGATTTTTATAAGCTAAACGTTTAAATTTACCTTGTGGCTAGCTGGAATTCTTCTCAACAATATTATTTTTCGTTTCGCTTGCATTAACTAACTCATGACTCGTTGAATCATGATAAATTTCTGTGTGAGATGAATTGATAAAATTTTCTTTCAACTCTAAATCCTTTGAAGTCTCACCCTTTGAGTCTGGAGATTTAATATTGCTCTCTGATACACTTTCTGAAAATTGTAGTCCTTCCAGAATTCCTTCTTTGATGAGAACTTGCTTGAATGTTGCTAGAGTTTTCCTTAAAGTTATACAGAAGCCTCGTGATGCAGGAACTAGAGGAAACTCTGGCAGAAGTTTTTTATCTATAAAAATTTTAATTATCAATCATATGATAAACATCATCAATTTCTAAATAATTAAATTCCATACTCACCAATTTGTGCAAAGTCTTTAAATGATGTTGGAGATAATGGTGACAAAGGATGTTGATTATTATGTATTTCCGATATTTCCATCCACATATCAAGTCTTGTTAATAATTTTTGCGCATTCTTTTTGAAGTGCCTAATAATTGCGTCTTTAAATACTGATGGTGGATATTGAAGAAGTTTAGTCTGAGCTTGAACAAGCTTTAAAACAACCATTTCATTATACATGCGTGAATTTTCTCTTCCTTGCTGAGATCCTTTTTGCTTTTCAAATCCTGCCTCATTAAAATACGGTTCAGCAACGAGAATAAGACCTTGGATTGAGACAATAACTTGTAGTAATGTTGAAGAACTTGTCCACACTTCAGTACCTCGTCCTGACCAAGTACCTAAAAGACTCACACAGACTTTACCATCTTCATAGAGATTAGGATTCAACCTATCACTACAATAAGAAATGTAATGACATAATGGCGGAGCAGCAGGATAATCTGCAGACAATTGGAAGTCGAATAAAAACAATCCATCTTCGTAAGGAGTTTTTTCTGGACCACAAAACATCACAGAGTATAAATCTATCCTGTCTTCGTAACCTTTCACCCATACTCCTGGTGGTAAAGAACTTCGAAGTAGTTTTAATTCTTTAGAAACTGTTCTAAAGAAATTAGCAGGATCAGTAGGTTGGAACATAGTTAACTTGAATTTGTGATTATCAGGTGCACTTTCTTCTATTGAAAAACCTTCTCCATCATTATAAACAGGTGGAGGAATTTCTATATTACTCTCGGATGAAGAGTCGAGAAGAGGTTCAACACGTTTTTCCTCCTCTTTCTTCTTTTTCATTGGAGATCCATTTTTCGCTGCATCTGACAATGACATACGTGCTAGTCCATATCTTTTAGACACTTCAGCATGAGCTAACAATAATTGAGCTTTCATTAAAGTACATAATTTCACACAGACATGAGAGTTGGCTACATGGGAATTGGAAAATACTTCTTGAGATTTCTTATTGACATTATCATGTTCGAGGCTTTCTATTGTAAATAAACGATCGGGATTTGCATCATCTGACAGTGGAAATTCACCACTAGATTCACTAGAGCCAGATTCTTTTTTAGAATTTTCAGCAGAAAACAATCCTGAATCTTCGGGGTGAGGATTGACATTAATGAAAAGATTTTCTTCTTTTTTCACCTTCACTTTTTCAACGGGATTACTTTCAGCAGATTCGACCGTATCTGAAATCTTTGTCGCAATTTTTTCTAGCGTTCCAACAGCAGTTTGAATATTAGTATTGTCTGCGACTTCTTCACCAGATTCTGAGCCACCTGATTGATGAGTAAATAATCTATTAACTTGATCAGCCATTCTTTGAGCTACATTAGCTCTTCCTCGTTCTCTCACACGTTCTAGAAGTCCTTGGAAATTGCTCTCATGGAAAAAAGACGTTCCCATTAATTTATCCATATACCTACAGTCTTTATAGACTTCTAGAAGTTTCCGCATCACTTCGGTAGTTTGTAGAGATGGATTTTGAGTAAAAATTTCTTCTAATCTTGACATTGCTATTCTAGCTCTTTCAATATGAGCAGCAAGCTTTGGCTTAATATTTTCGGTTTGTTCACTCCCATCATTATCAGCAATAAAACAGTCTTCTAATTCAGTTTCCCACGATGCATCTGATGACACTTCATCCCACAATTCTCCTTCATCACTATCATATTCACCAACTTTATATAAATCTTGGGGCCAACACATACTTATATGACCATCAACCCACCAAACTTTCACTCTACCTTCTGGATAGTTATCTAGTACTTGTCCAGCAGTGCAACCAGAATCTTCTCCTTCGAAATTAGCAATCCGAATCACTAATGTTCCTGGGCGATATTGGAAATCAGGATGATCCTTCAAATCATATACTGAAACTTCTCGTTCTTCTAATAATGTAGGCTGAGGGCTTTGACTAGACGTATACGTCTTGAACCATTTTATTTTAGCAGTTCTTCCTTGATGATCTACACTTTGAACTACTCCATACATTCTTGACTCCTCTTTTTGATCAACAACGAAGTCTCCGGGGAAAAATTCTTTATCATCTAAGTGATGAATGGGATATAATTGTGTTGACGGAATCCCCAACTCTACAGATCCATCCTGCCAGACTACATTAGCTTTGGTATTTGTTGATAATGTTTCTACGACAAGAGTTGATCCAGCAACTAAAGGAGGTGGTGGAATTTTCCTTTTAGCTTTGACTAATTTTTTTTTCTTCAATACTTTAGTCATTAAAGCCGGTCCTTTCTTTTTTTTTCCAACTGAAGACATACTAGAGCCTCCACTGGACATTGATGCACTGTCACTTTGAGATCCAGTATCTTCTGTATCCCAATCATCTGAGCTATCAGTATTAGTTGCTTGACTTGGTGGTACTAAATTATTGCCATTCACATTTTGAGTACTCGAATCACGAGATTTTTCACCATCTTTTTCCTTTTCTTTTTTTACTTTTTCTTCAGGTTTAACATTGGATCGTGATTTTCTAGGACTTGGTTTAGGAACTTGAAATAATTCTCGTTGTTGTTTACGCCATTGTTCTCGAGTTATCACATTTTCAGTCCCTTTATAAACATAAAAATCTCGATCACCAACTTGTAAAGTTGAAGGTTCGAAAACATTTAGAAGTTTAAGTTTTTTCAAATCTGAACCTTCAACCAAGAATTTAGGCTGGGCTTGATCTGACCAAGCACCATCTTTGCTATAAGCTCGACATTGCCAGTGAACTCCAACCCAATCTGCTTCAATTTCTTGTACTATCACTTTTGTTATTTTTTGTGGTTTAAATTTACGTTTAGCCATCATCTCTTTAGTACACGTAATCCATTCGGCATCTTCTAAACACTGAACTGGACCCCAGAGACATTGACCTGGATAGAACTCGGAAGAATGAGGAAAATCATTGTCATGATCACGTTTTTCTTCGAAATGAGCAAGCCCCTGAGCATCCATTTCATTAATCACACATCGAGAACCATCCGGAGTGGCTAACCAAAGCTTGAAATGAACCATCCTTATTGCTCCAACCCAAGAATCCATACAAACTGCAATGTCAGCCCCGAATTCCTAAAAAAAGATTTTTATATTAAATATTGAAGATAAAGTACATAGTAATTTACTTGGCCGAAGAATGTTAAATTTTAGACTCTTAGAACAGTTCTGTAAAAAATCAATATAATCTAGTAATTATTATTGATTGTAATATGAAAAACGTTTTCTAAAATTTCATCATATTTCGCTAATACTTCGGATAACGTTTATACTTTATACAAATTTGTAAAATTATTCAAGATTCCATCAAGCATTCTCTGCATTACAAAGTCTAGTGTACTACCGTACTTTAAAGTTAATGACGTTCTTCAATCAATTTCCATATTTCTTTTCCAAATATTTGAAAAATGGGAATAACACAGTTGACCCTGTTTAATTAAAATTTTCCGCCAAGTATTAGCGTGTTTATTGATTGCTATCAATAAATTATTGAAGGACAGAAATACTTCACTTCTAATGGAGTCAGATCTTCACTTTTGATGTTTGTCAAGACTTGTTTTGTCCCGATTACTTGAACACAAGCTGTCAACTCGATGTCACGACAATATCCCCTTTGAGTATCTTTTCCTTTGATCATTCTTCGAACTACGTCTCCAGGCATCAGAGATCTATCTGCCAAATGAACCTGAAATAATTTTTAATTAATAATTGTTATAAAAAAATTATCGAAGGATGAGTACAGTAATTCTAGTAACCTTCTTTGAATTAATGAGCTCCTTGATGCCAGAAGGATGCCAGACCACGCGGATCTCGCCTTTCTTCCTTTTTGGTCCACCTTCGCTGTCTTCACTCTCCTCTGACATATCTTGGTCATCATTTTCCATAACAATCCCAAATTCGACATTGCCTTTTTTATCTACCCGGTAGACTATGTCTTCATGAAAGTACTGACATTCAGTGGTGCTATTCGTGGCCATCTTTTACAACCAACCACTGCGGAGACAAGCTCTCGCACATTCACAAGCACCCTCGTCAGCTCCGCCACGTCGTCTCGGTATACTAAGTGAGGAACTTTTTTATTTATTATCTCTATATTTTTCTAATATTTTGATTATTTTATAACGATTATGATTGACACTGTCGTTTTTCGTGGCTTTTACGATTTTTTCTTTTTTTTCTTATTGCTTAACTTCTTATCACTAGGATCGGCCGACGACGACGACTTGTGTGTCGAGCTGAATAGAGGTTAGTGCGCACTGCCTCATGCGCAGATGCCGATATGAATTTAAAACCGCCAAAGAATTAAAAATTTTTTTGACAACTCACAGAACATTTTTTTTTAATCTTTTAGAGATTTTTTAATTTTTTTTTGTTAATAACTCACTAAAAATTTTGATGGGAATGAAAACAAAAAGATGGAAAAATTAAAAAGGAAATGGCTCGTAATGAGTGTCAATTGTTATAATAAATATTTTCCATAATCTTAAAATGAATAATCAGGTTTTATTTATATCGTTTCATAATTTATTATTCAATAAATAGTTAATAACAATTTTCTATAATTTTAATGACAACAATGATATATATTTACCATAGGCCTTTGATATGATATATTATACAGCATAATGGGTTCTATGAAATCCTTGGGCCAAACTTTGCAGTATTGTTTGTGTTTCATAGTCATTTCGATGGTGAAAAATAAATGCAGTGAAATTCGTTGCTACATTGCAATTGTTATCCCTGTAAAATAAAAAAAATAAGTTTGGTTATTTACACTTTGTTATATGTTTGTCTTCAATATTAAAAACTATTGTAATTATTGACTATTTATATTACCCAGCAATGAAAGCATAATAGTCAGGAAAATTTCCAGTTCGACCACAAGAGGATATCTCCATATAACTTTGATTCAATAACACCTTTAAAACAAAATTTTTTATCAATAAATTTCATGGTAAACTGAATGGTTTATTTTTACCTCTTCATTTGATTTCTGAGTAACTTTAACTCCTATTTCCAAGCACTCAAATCGAACGTGAATGGATTTAATATCATCAGTCTTTAAAAGTTTGCGAATTGCAGGCTCAATTTGTTTTACGTCACCTTCCGTTCCAGTGGAGATTGATCCGCAATATGTCACTTGATAACCAATGTTCGGATCTGTATCAGCAGACCTGTTTACCTCTTCAGACTTTTCCAATACTTTGTCAGTTGTATTTTTGGGTGATTTCAATACTTTTTGAGCTCGTTCAATACCAGATTGTTTTATTAACGATATAATTGGTCCATAAAAATCACCACTTTGTTTAAATCGGCCCTAAAAATGCAGTTACATTTATTTTTCAATACTCCACAAATATTTTCATGAATTCATGTACATACTTTTATAACATAAAGGTCTACTGGTAGACCTGATGATTTTTTTATTATTCTTCCAAGATTCCCTCGGTTATTTGATGTTAAAACTTCTCGATTTATTTCATCTAAAACGTCCCCAATTTCTACTTTATCCTGAAAACATATAAATGAGACTAAATAAGTACTTTAATAAATAACTTTGAAGAGCAATGAAAAATTAAATACTCACATCTTCTGCTGCAACCGAATTTTCTTGGACATTGACTACTAAAGCCTTTCCGTTTGTGAAACTGGAAAATGAAATATATTGATAAAAATAGAGAATAAAAGTAATAAAGTTAAATTGAATTTAATTACCAAACAGAGACTCCTAGGCTTTTACAAGGCACTAATTCCATAAAATGACATTCAGGGAGTTGCCAGGATTCATCCAAAAATCGTGCATTTCTAAGATTTAGATTAAATTGTAATTTACTAATTTGTAACAGGGCAGATAGAAAAATCTCTCCTAATATTTCATCGCCTAAAATACTGTTAGGCTCGTAATAATCTAGAGCCATTCCCGGTGTTCTGACCAACAGTTCTACAGGTGTATGAAGGCATTTCTTGGTCAAACATGTACGAATGAGAAGTCTAAGTTTTCCAGTGGACGTTTGAACTTTTTGATTTTGTGATACATTTTCAACAGCTAAAGTAAATGTGTATAAAAATTTTATATGTTTGTCAGCTATATCTTTCATCCAATGCCAGACTTCGAATATTTTGAAGAATTGGATAGAATTCATGCGAAGTAAGATTCCTTTTCGTAGACATTTTTCTAAACATTCACAGAAAAATCTTAGATCGGAATTATCGTCTTTTATCACAGTTTTAGCTTCTGTTAATTTCCTTATCCATCCTGAAAAATACACAATTTTTGAATTATTAAAAAATTACCGCCATAAAATTTACCGACAGTCAGTGACGCGCGAAAATATTTTTAAATTAAATGTCAAAAAAAAATTCCAAGCATGCGCAATATTTTGATTTATTAAATTAATATTTATTACATCAAATATGATTACTTTAAACTTTTGTAATGATTCGTATAATTAATTGTTTAATGTAAATATCAAATTGGTCGATGACGTCAGAGTAATTGCGCATCCAGGTTATGACCTTTGCGACATTTCAAAAATCAATAAGTGTTAATATGTGTATGCATATATAGAATTTATTCATGAAATAATTTCGGTGAATTTTTTTTTCCAAAAATAAGCGTATGTATTTAATTATCAAAAGTCAATAAATAAATATATTAATACAATTATTTTAGTTGACATAACGATAAAACAATAGTTCTAACCTTAAAAGTAAATATTTGCAAAAAGACAATACCTTTTAAATCTTTGATAAGTGGATCCGACACCGACATTGCATGACACTTTTTGTTATTGTTCTTTTATCATTCACTATTTTTCATTGTTATTTATTACAATTTGCATCATCTAGTCATTTATTTAATTTCTAAAAGACAAAAATTGCCAAATTTACAAATATCTGTGTATTAAGATCAGCTGCGCGCGCAAAATTGACAAACGCGGAAGAAATGTCGATAATTAAATAAAATTACATGGAATGCTTCTTGACTGATTTCACTTTTATCACAACAAAACATCACCGAGTTTCAAAAAGAAGTATTAGACGTTGAAAGTTATATACTGTATTGGTCAACAATACATGTATTGATTGAATAACAGCTAATAAATAATGTTATTCTTCACGCATATTACGTAGATCATCGTGTGTAGCTTATGAAATGTTGTTAGTTTTATCTCTACATTCAGTGAGAATAGATCGATAATTGCAAGAGATATTCATTCATTAATTTATGTAATTTCAGATGAAAAATATCACCGTTTGAAATAAATAAATTGAGAAGAAGTTCTGTAAGATAATGGCTTCAAATATCAAAAAAGTTGACAATGTTAGAGTTGATGCTCTTAATACTTTTGCTAAAGAATTCGGTGACGAGGCAACTTGTTGTGTTTGCGCACCCGGGAGAGTGAATTTAATTGGAGAACATACTGATTACAATGAAGGATTCGTTTTACCAATGGTAATTATGTAATTTTATTTAGATCATTACGTAAAATGTTTATTAAAAAATATTTATTTTTTATCTTACAGGGTTATTATATTTTCAATAATTCATTATGTCTTAAGAAATTATAAGTTATAGAATACATTGAATTGACATTCAGAGGTCATTAGATAATTGATCTTTAATATTTTTATCAGTTCAATGAATCTATTTTATCAGCGGATCTCTTGATCCAACTCATACACGTACATTCACGATTATATTCTAACTTTATGTCTCGAAACTTCATTTTGATACAATTATCATTACTTCTTTTCTGATAAAATAATTATTAATTATTCTAGGCGCTTCCACTGGTGACTGTTATCGCAGGAAAGCCAAATGGAACAAATAAATGTGTGATAATTTCTACAAATGAATCCATCACCACTGTGAGCAAAATAGAATTTGATGTCAGCAACCGCGAATCAATCAAGCCTGGAGAACCAAAATGGGCAAATTATATGAAAGGTTGCATGGTCAATTTTCCAGGTAAATTTTAACAATTATTTAAAAGTATAAAATTTTATTCTATTACTTATTTATAAACTTTTACAGTTCCTATCCCTGGATTCAATGCTGTGGTTGTATCATCAGTGCCAATGGGGTCAGGATTAAGCAGTTCGGCAGCATTAGAAGTTGCAACATACACTTTTCTTGAAGCACTCACAGGAACTGAAGCAAAAGATCCAAGAGATAAAGCTTTAGCTTGTCAGAAAGCTGAGCATGATTTCGCTAATGTACCTTGTGGAATTATGGATCAATTTATATCTGTCATGGGAAAAGAAGATCATGCATTACTTATTGATTGTAGAGATTTGTCTGTAACTCATGTCCCTATGGATCAATTTCATGATCATGTCTTTCTTATTACAAATTCCAACTCTCCACATAAATTGTCTACTAGTGCATATCGTGAACGTAGAGATGCTTGCTTTGAAGCTGCCCAAAAGTTGGGGAAAAAGAGCTTACGAGATGTGACTCTGGATGAAGTTGAAAGTAATAATACTTTCTTATGATAATAATAATTACATCATAACAAATACTTGATATTATTAATTTTTTAAAAAAATATTATAGCTCTAAAACAGCAAGGTGCTCCACAAATAATGTTAAAACGTGTAACTCATGTTATCAATGAAAATGCTCGAACTTTAGCGGCAACATCAGCTTTTCAATCCGGCGATTATACAAAAGTCGGTCAGTTAATGAATGAAAGTCATGACTCATTACGTGATAATTACAACGTTTCATCGCCAGAGTTAGATGCACTTGTAAATGCAGCGAGAAAGGTTCAAGGTGTTCGAGGAAGTAGATTGACTGGTGCTGGTTTTGGCGGATGTACGATAACTTTCGTTTTGAAAACTGCTGTTGATGAAGTTATCAAGTCTATCAATGAATCGTAAATAATTACTATTAAAGCAGAATTAAATTATTATAATTTACCGCTATACTGACTCCAATTTGATAATAAATATTTTAATTTACAGTTATTCCGGAAAAGCGTCATTTTATATCGCTACACCATCTGGAGGAGCAAGGAAACTCGATTGTAAACGCTAATGATGATAAATAAGGGAATAAAAAATTAATTGAGGTAATAAGTACATAAAATAAATTCATATTTTGTACAAAGAGGTGACATTTGTAATGTACATAACTTCGTTAAACTTAATATATGTATATCAATTTTTTTTTCAAAAATTATTAAAATCTTTATCAAATTTTTTATTTTAACTTTTATTTCTTTTCAAGGTCTTCTTAAGCTACTGTATTTAATACTGTTGCTCCATAAACTTAGAAATAAGTTTACTGTTAAAAACTTATATTTATTCTGGCATTATATGGACGTACTCCTTTGTCTTCAGTACTGTTCTTCCACAGGAAGAATCTTCAACATTATTTTTTTCATTAGTGCCTGGTGATAGTGATGGTTGAAATTGTTGTTAAATCTATTAAATAATAATATTATTAGAATATTTTTACCTATTGAATAAAAAATATAAGAGAATAATTATTGAAATGATTTTACCCTTAAGGCTTTCATGAAGTTCCTGTTCACTTGAACAAATTCTCATTTCCGATGGCTTAACTCCTCTAAAAATAGCTATCACACTAGGTTTAAGATTAAAAAATATCAAGGGTTGTCCTCGCTTAGCAAAATCTTCAATAAGATTTTTAATTCCTCTGGCAGCAGTGAAATCAGCTGCTTGAATATGTGTGGAATCAATAACCACTGGTACTTCAGTACCTTCACGTGTTCCGTGTTTACTTATTATGGATCTCACATATTCAACACTTGGAAATGATAAACTTCTGTCTGGTGTTATCATTAAATATTCATATCCTCCCGGATTCTAAAAATGATATATGTTTTAATGCAATAAATTACTAATCAAAGGTTAATTGATTTGTACAAAGAATAATATTGAATTTTATTTATTTACCACAACTTTGCGGACACGAAGAGATGGTCTGGCGGATGCATATAATAAAAAGAGTAGATTGACGCCAATTCCGATCACCATTCCGAGCTCCAGACCAACAAAAAGGCAGCAGATAAAAGTAACTGTTGCTGGAATGAGGTCTATTTCTGTAAAAAAAAATAATATTGTAACATTTTTAATCCGTAACAGTAATCAATTGTAAATTCAATTATTTAATAAAGATAAAGACTTACTTTTAGTTCTCCACATAGGTTTGACAACATGAAATTCAACCATAAAAATGACAGCTGCAATAATGACAGCAGCAAGTACAGTTTTAGGTATATAATAAAGATAAGGTGTCAAAAATTGTAAAGATAGAATAACTAAAATTCCCGTGTAGACTCCACCAAGCGTTGTTTTAACTCCAGACGAATTATTAACAGCTCCTCTACTTAGACCTCCACTCACTGGCATCGAGGATACAAAAGACGAAACAACATTGCAAATTCCTAATGCCAACATTTCTTGAGTTGCATCTATAGACTTTCCATCAGCTGTAATTTGTTTACACAGTGAGTTATATACTGTTAAAATATTATTTTTTATAATCATTAAGAAAAAAATAAATATTTGAGAACTTACAAAAGACTTTAGCAAGTGCAATGCTTTCTAAAAGACTGAGAAGTGGTACCACAAGACATCCAGAACCCATAACTGATACCATGTCTATAAAATCATAGGTCTGATTGCCGAGTTTTGTATTGAATGGTGGTAACTGGAAATTAGGAAGTCCTTCTTTCACATGACCCGTAAGAATAACAGGAGAAGACCCCAAGTGACTTTCCAATGTCCAAGCAATTACTGCACCTGTGATGACAACCAGTATATTCCTTGACGTTGATATAAACCAAAGAATTGATTGAGCCATTTTCTGAACCATCAATTGCTTCTTCTTGTCTTTTGAGGTCACGGGAATGTCCTTTATTTTCTATAAATAAATTATTTTTATCAATCATCTTTCAATCAATCCGATGAAGACAATATAATCACTATAATAAATACACATACTCGAAGGCAGAGAAGTACAAGAATACATGTGAAACCCATAAGAGCATCCCATAATCTAGTTTCACTGATATGCTCAAAAACATTATGCCAGGTATCAATAAATTTACCACTAGAAATGCGGATACCAAGAACATCTTTAACTTGACTTGTTGCTATTATAATAGCAGCTGCTGAAGTAAAGCCTACAGATACTGGTCCAGAAATAAAATCAATGAGAAATCCTAAAAAATAAATATTAAAATAAAAACAAATGAATTTTAATCAGCATTACAGTAATTTATTTTTAACTTTTTCAATATGTTATTCAAGTAATTTATTGGTAAGTAGTTATAATAATTAATGATACAAAAATATCTGCATGACATAAAAGATTGTAAATAAATAGAAAATAATCCATATCTCTGTGTATTTAAAGAATAAATAAACCTTGAAATTTTTCTAATACTCGTCCTTTCACTATAATATTTTTTCTTGTGATTGGAGACATTTAATAAACATCAAAGCAAGTAATTACCTAATTGCAGGATCCCCATGAGCAATGACACGAGGCCTGCTATGAAGGTCAAGAGAACGGCAAATTCAGGTCCTACTTGAGCTCGGAGAAGTGTTTCTCTAGTTAAAATTGCTCCTATGGCTGTTGGACCAACTGGTACATCTTTAGATGATCCAAAGATTGTATAAACAAAGCATGCCATGAAGGAAGAATATAATCCATACTGAAAAATACTTAATATTAATTTCAGGTTAACCATCTTCATTATAAAATATTTATTATTAATATTTTGATCAGACATATTTTAGTAATTCACCTCACATTGTATGATAATGAATTACATAATTCACTCAATACCTGAGGAGGAAGCCCAGCCACATTAGCGTAAGCAATGGCTTGTGGAATCACCGTAAGTCCAACTGTTATTCCAGCTACTAAGTCACATGCTATAAAGTCTCGTTGATAATTTGGTAGCCAATCTAATATTGGTATCCTTCGGTAAAGTAATTTTTTGGTGAATGATTTTCTCAATCTTTCTGTGAACCATTGGACTCCTGTGGAAGAGGTTGATCTAACTTGACAAGAATCAACGACTGTAACGATAAAAAAAATTTATTAACTTTTCTAGAAGTTTTGTGAAATTGTTAGTAAACATTTGTTAGATTATTGTATTTATTTTCTATAAAACCTATCTAATATAATCAGAAACTTGAGCATTATTATTTATAGAACGGCCTCATGCAAGGTCTTAAACAATTGAATAAAATCGAATTTTTATTTGTCGTTTTTTTACGTATAATAATTTTTATATAACAAATAATATAAAGAGTATGCTTGATCATTTTCTACACATTATAATTGATTATTTTTATATCATTTAATGATTTTATTTTTTTCAGCTCTTGTTTTTTTATCATCTAACATCCTTTAGTTGTAAAAAAACTGTGACGCGATTGTTCACGTGAGTTTAGGTCATTAACCGAGCTTGATCACTGAGAAGAATCATCCGTTCACTCGTCTGAACACGTCATCGATTGGATAATTTATAAATAAAATTTTAATTACTTTTATAGTCCTGGGACATTTTTCACTTTTATTCCAACAAATACTATGCTGTTATGATTAGACCCAGTGTGTTTTGCACTTGATTTCATTTCCTTTTATTTATATATCAATCTCTGCCAATGAAGTTAATCTCTCCAGATTATCAATTTTTGTTACTTGCACCACCAATTAACTAATTAGTCCAATATCAAAGAAAAATATACAAATGTGAAATGATTAAAAAATAATTTTAAAAAATTAATTTCAAATCTTATGATCGATATTGTGATTTCTTACAATCACGTCACATTATTTCGCAACGATAAATAATTGCTGATAAAACGGTGTTCTGAATCACATTGAATGGTATTTTTCCATGGTATTTAATTGTACTTTTTTTTTAAATATAGTCTTCATATTATTTACAATTGCTTTCAATCTACATCTTGAATCATATAATTAGCATTTAAATGATCAAAGACAACAACAATATGATGTTGATTTTTATTTAGATACAGAACCAATTTTTTCCCGAGGATTTGTTTATACGATTTCATTATATTATTGGTATTTAACTATTTTACCTTGACCATTTACTGGTTTTTCATGATTTTCTGAGATACCCAAACGACTTTCGAGGCTATTCATAGGATTTCGTATCGTCATCAAACTTTCGGGTGAATTTGTGAATCCTGTAAGCTGTACTTCGTGTGCTACATCTGGTTCGAATTCGTCCTTGACCTCGTATTTAGACATCTTAGTATAAATTATGATAGACAACTAATTATAATCACTAATAAAATAATCCTTTTTTGATTTCTTGAATTAAGTATAATTATGATCAGCTTTTTCTTCTTCTTCTCCTTTTTGAGGTTTAGAAATTTTTTCACTGATTATTGATGCACCCCTCTCGTTTATGAAACTGAATAAAACACACTTCAGGATGATAGAATGAGTTTACATTGTCACGTAACACCTCCAACACCTGAAGAAAAAAGAGTATTATTGATAAATTACTGTATTTAATAACAAATTAAATTGTGTCAAGAATTATTTCAGCTTTTTTCTTAACGATAAATTGCAAGAATCAAGTATAACACCAACTTAATTATATATTTCTTCTAACGCTTGAACGTTTAATTGATTACAATAATCTCACGTCAAGTTTTTTGTTAGTGAATCACGTGTATATAATGTTAGCACTGTATTGTTTATAAAAAAATTGGCCATTTTACACGGATCAGTATGTGCATGAACGCGAAAGTTAATTAAACGCTTGTTGTAGATATATATATATATATATCTATATAAGTATCATACATACTTGATATATAAACTTCTCGTGCTTTCTCTGATATTTAAATAAATACTTGCAAAAAATCCAGGACAGTGCACGTGATACGTATGAATATTTTAAACCAACAGTTTTTACTATAAATTAATCAACTGACAGGCAAGCATAATAATCATTTTATTGAAATATTTTCTTACCTTATGGATTAAACTTTTTATCAATTATCCTACAATACGTCTTAATCCATAACTTATAAAAATTTTTATTATATTATTTAAAAAAACTTATTGAGCACACTTTAAAAAACTTCAACTTTTTATGTATAGATTTAAAATTGGATAAAAAAAACAGTCAAAGAAAACAACAAACTAAAATGTATTCATATGTTAAAGTAAATGATTATTAGTCAATAATTGATTATTTATTCCGGAGCAAATAACTAATACGTCTGTTCGTTGCAAAAGTCACCGGTGGTTTAATTTCACTGCTTAGCTTGTACAGACTTCTAACTATCAGGTACCATACAGGAAAACCCCCTATGTTGATGTGTGAGGAATTAAGAATAGTATACGTAACATAAGAGAAGGGGCAATCTCACATGCTTTAGAAATCACACTATGATTCCATATTCAAAACAACACCACGTGCTTAACCACTATAGCTTGGGTGGCCATTAGCTAATTTTTTAAGTATTTTATTTGTGGTTTATGTTCATCATATTTCATTACCAAATCAAGCTTCTTTCGTCAATAATTAAATTATCCTGAAACAAATTAACAAAAAACATTTCCAATATACTTTTTGATATTTAAATTATTTAAAAAATTGAAACATTTTTGATAAAAAGCTCAAAATATTGTCATACATAAATTAAAAACCAAAAGTTGGATGATTTTTACCTTTTTTTTTCGAGGAAGTTTTTCAATTAACATTGTTCCGTACAATTAAATTGTTAAATCTCCAATAAATTATTTAACAATGATGAAACTTTGTGTGAAAATTATTAATTCATCTTCAATATGAATTAATAATTGTTATTCCACGAAGAAAATAATTAGACAGATTCAATCAGAAAATAAACTTAAATTTTGTTATCTAATGGAGAATTTTGTTTTCATACTTCATAATGCATATTTATGGGATATAATAAAAATAGAGCAATGCCCATAACTGCATTATTATCAATGATAATAATGAAATTGAAATAGAGAGAGTCTCAAAAAAGAACTGCGAAATACACAAGTTACATCAAACCGGATATTCTGGCGCAGTATTTTACTCCCAATTGGCCTTGAGTGATTTTGAAACACGTCAAAGGACTGCACGTGGACCCATGCATTTTTTTTATTCGTGTATTCCCCATAACCTTGAACTAGAGACGCAAAAACGAGAAGAGAGGTGATACACGAGGCAGTTTACTGGCTTTTAGAGGGTATCTTGAAGCTACGTTGCCAAATTTTTAGGTATATTTATTCTTTTTTTATCTTCTTATCTTTTTTAAATGACACCAAATTCCATCACGATTCATTCTAAGATACTTAACTTCTTTTCCGAAAAATAATTTAAAGTTGACAGTTGCGCAATTACGAAAGGTATAATACGTAACACAACAATTGTATGCATTGTTAACGATTATAAACCCACTAGTGAATTCTTTGCTGATTTTAATCTGTCCCCCTGACTTCCGTTTGTATTACGTCATGTTAAAAAAATCTTAAATTGTCTAATCAGCAAATTATTTTAAATATTATACTTTTCGCACTTACCATTATTTTTTATCAATTATTATTATAATAAAATATACTTCACGTTGAAAAAAATTCCAACTAAATTTCAAAGAACTCTTTACAAAATGGTTTTGAATTACATGTAATTACCTATAATAATGTGTAATATTACTAATTAATTACAGATTATATTATCCAATGTAACAAATACATTATCGAAACTACGTCAAAGTTAATACTTGATAATAAGAAATAGTTCGTTGAATAAATAATGAATTGATACTAATAAATTCATTGAAGAATTATCAAAATAATTGGAATAGTTATTTCTTTCAATGTTTACTTATTCTTATTAATGGATATTACCTTCAAGATAGTAAATGTTTTGAAGATTTCACGCTTGATGCAAAGAGTAGATGAGTAAGCATTAATAAAATTATAGATGAATTTTATAATTATACAATAAAATAAATAGGTAGACTAGATAATTGACTTATCATTTTACGCCATCAGTATTTGTTTACATTAAAAAAATTAGTAAAAAACAAACACTAGGCCCCGGGGGGATTCGAACCCCCGATCTCCTGTTTACTAGACAGGCGCTTTAACCAACTAAGCCACGGCGCCATTTATAAGCATTTTTGATTGTACATTTTTTAATATGATTGCCTTAACTGATGGTTAAAAATTCAAAACAAAATACTTAATAAATGTAATTGTGGTGTGATTATTAAAATAGACATAGAAGAGATTGAGAAATACCACAATAAAACCACGAAAAAATTATTTCAAACGCTTTAACAATTATTTTTTTATGCGCACATCATTTCGGTAGAAATAATAGAAAGTTACATATATATTATTAAATTAATTATTGTACCAACAGAAAATTTGTTTTTTTACAACAATTATACAATTTTTATGAATATGATATAACATGCAATCGTCTGCCTTTTTTTATTTTATCAAAAAATCATCCAGCATTGCATGATTTTAACATTTTTTAAAAATATCTTTTCCAAATTACACTTTTTTATTCTGAGAATATTCTACAAAATTGAGATGTAGTTATGATCAAAGATTCTACCAAGAATATAAAAGTTATATAACTGGGGAAAAAAACAAATTTTTCCGGCAGATAGTAAAAATTGAAACAAGTGATAGATGAGTTGATTATTTATAATCATTCAAACGAAACCAAATCGAATCTTCTGTGAATCCTAACAATTGTGTAAGTTTGAAGGTTGTTTGTGCAACTTAGTGCATGTTGATAGCAAAATAATCAAATAAACGAATGAAGTTCACTTAGATAAAAAATTCAATTGATATATCATTATTTTGAATCATTCATAATAATTCAATGTCAATTTTAATCGGATAAAGACACAAAAATGGAATATATTACTATAATTTCCTTATTTTCTGATGATTGATTTGTTGATCAATCTTATTTCATACAAAAGTGTTAATATTATTAAACTGCAGTTATAAACAATCTCATTGTTTCTTACTTCCTGTCTGTATTGGTTTATCTGATTATCTTCTTTACAAATAATGAATAAATTACTAGTTTAGAAAATAATCCATTATTCATAATTATAATTGTATATTAATTTATGAATTCTTTCTTTACATTTTTTTTATTAGAATCAATTATTACTAATAATCGAATAAAATCAATAAGTTTGCACATTACTTAAATTGAAATGTGATCAATAAAAAAAAAAGAATTATTCAAACTGATTGCATTAATAATTATTCAAAACTTCCTATAATCTATTGTTAATTATGATTAATGAAATCGATAATATTCAATGCAACGGAATACTTTTAAAAAATTAAATGAAGTGATATAAAGATTCCTCTATTATCATTCAAGCGTAGCAGGATGTGCAATATCCATACATAGCGTAGTGGAAATTGTAGTAGACAAGTGTCTATTGATCTAAGTGAAAAATGAGTGATCCTGGTTAGTTAACAATTCAATAAACAATGTCTTTGACAGTAAACAATGACATTACTTCAGAAAGAACTCCTCTTCTTCGTAAGTATCACTGATACAAATTCAAAGGACAAATGTGAATTAGGATTTTCTAGTTCGCCAATCATTTAGCTTCTTATAAAATAATAAAGTTTTAAATAACACTATCAATTCACAAACCATCATGTGATATTTGATTTGCAATCTTTCTTCACGAAATATTATAGTTTTATATTTCACTGATCAAGTTATTGTGTTCTTGTACAATGCTAACGATGTAATTAAATTTATTCGCAACTGTTTATATCACTAACTATATTCATATTATACACGTGTTGTCAATTGTATTAGCTTATTTAATCAATATAGAATGTTTTGTTAAGTATTCGATTTAATTTGACTTTAATTTCAGTTGTATTCAAGTCTAATCAATATACACAATCTTGCTTCTGATTTTTGGATTTTAAATAGTGAAATTATTTATAATTTGCAAAGTCAACAAGTTTTAATACTATGTATTGTTATTCTTTTACTATTGTTGTCATTCCTACTTCAATATATAGTTGTTATTGATTGTTGATAATATACCGGCTAAAAGATTGTTAAAAAATGAAGCTGAATTGATAACAATTCAAATAGATAAACCTTGACATAAAGATCTAATTACATTTTCGATTATCGATCGATTTTTTATTTATTTATATTGTTAGTGGTTTATAATCACTTGTCAAATCGAATATATGAGATATTTTATAGACAGATAAAGCACGTGAGATCTCGTGATGAAGAAAGACAACACAAAGCACATACTTTGTGATTAGATACTCCTGATAAATGTTGAAATTTTAAATAACTGAGGAATTTATCTTATATTACCATTAATAATCATGTCTCGTGATTTATTTGACAGTTAAATAACTTGCAATTTCTTTTTTTTTTCGAATAAAAATAATAAATAATATTTAGATTAAATACAGATTAATAAGGATATTTATGGATTAATTAATATTTTTCTTCTTCATAAATCTTATTTGTATTCATTTCTCTGTTATCATGATTATTCATGATGTGAATAGTACAATTAATAGTACTTTCGACAACAAAAGACAATCTTTGACCATTCGATATATCAAATATAAAGTAGTGTTTTGTACTGTCTTATCAGCTGGGTAATTTAATGAGCTTATCGTAAAATAAATTGTTGATTTACACACCTCCTTCATACTTTCTCACTACCACGAGGCTTTAAAACGTGGCGGGAGTTCGTTTTCTTTGTAAATCAGTGATAAGCATTCGCTTAATTATTTTGCTTAAATCTTTATCTAAAACCTTTATTCAATCAAATGACCGATATTTTGAAAAATTTCAATTAATTAATTCAAAATTGAAAGATAAGATTTAAATTTTGTTATGAAATCAATCGGAATACTTTACAGACCAATTAAAATGGTAGTACTCGTAGAATTTCCCGTTAGAAATCATCAATATCCATGTCAATAAACAAGTGAATAATTAATCATCATAGTAGTGACCTTGATAACTATATGAGCTATTAAAATTCGCGCAGACTACTAAGAATCTAATTATATTGTGTTTGACGACAGTTAGCCATTAGATTACGCAAGAACACATATCATGAAATAAAAAATATTACTTAGTGCTCGAAGACCATAAAATTAAAGGGTAATTTATCATATCAATTTTAAATATCGTACCGTTATCACATTTTTTTCATTTTCAAACGTTCAATGGATACGTCCTTATTTGTGACTCAAGTTCCTTTTTGCAATTACTCTTAAATTAATTACTCAAAAAATTTTAAAAATACGCGCAAAAATGATCACTTACAGTTTTATCCCTGCTCGTGAGATTCTAGAAAATAAAATTATTAAATATGACGTTGCATAACTAATGACTTATTTATTTTTTTATTACTTCAAAAGGTAGAGACATGACATTACCAGCCAACAGCAGATTGAGGGATTGTTTACTGAAGAAAATTCCAATTCTCGGATGGCTACCGTTGTACAGCTGGAGTAAACTTCTTCAGGATTCATTAGCTGGACTTACAGTGGGTCTTACAGCCATTCCACAAGGTATTGCTTATGCAGTTGTAGCTGGACTACCTCCACAGGTAATTTAGATAACATACTGCTGTAACTAAAATGACAATGACAATGTTATGGCAAATAATTAACTGTTATCAACTAATTTATTTCAGTATGGATTATACAGTGGGTTTATGGGCTGTTTTGTTTATCTTATTTTCGGTAGTGCCAAAGATGTGACGGTCGGACCTACCGCAATAATGGCACTTTTAGTTCAACCTTATGTAATCAATCTTGGAGTAGATTTTGCGGTAATAATAAATTTTTACTAATAATATAAATAGCTAAGATGTTGAATTAAAATAAAATATGCATTTACAGATAAATTATTAATGATCATCTTTTTACTTTCAAGGTTCTTCTGTGTTTTTTAACTGGCTGTATTATAACAACAATGGGAATACTTCATATCGGCTTTCTGGTAAATTTCATCAGCATGCCGGTAATTTGTGGCTTCACAAATGCGGCTGCATTAATTATAGCTGCTTCGCAGTTTCATACACTCTTTGGCATTGAAGGGAGAACAGAAAACTTCATTGATTCCATCATTAAGGTCGTTTTAAACATTCAAAAGGTTAAACTGTGGGATACACTTCTTGGATTAGTTTGTATTGTGGCATTAGTTGGACTTAAAGTAAGAAATAGTTCTATAAAAGATATTTATACTTACATGAATCACTATAAGGAGATTAATCGATGCTAATATTATTTTAGTTACTCCCTGGCAGTAGAAGTGGCAATATTTACAGAAAAATATTATGGTTATTATCTCTTGGAAGAAATGCTGTAGTTGTGATAGCTGGAATAGTTTTAGCTTATATTTTTTCTACATACAATTATTATCCTTTCATCATAACAGGACAAATAGCTGAAGGTCTTCCACCGTTTTCTTTACCTCCTTTCTCCACAGTCTATCACAACGAAACATATAACTTCCTTGATATGACAAAAGAATTAGGCGGAAGTCTCGCTTCAGTTCCTTTAATTGCCATTCTTGAAAGCATTGCCATAGCAAAAGCTTTTGGTAAATAACACAATTTATATTGAAGTATGATTTATGATTTTTTATTATATAAATTTCACTTATTATTCTCCAGCAAAAGGTCGAGCTTTAGATGCGAATCAAGAAATGTTAGCCCTGGGCTTGTGCAATATTTTTGGCAGTTTCGTTAAATCAATGCCAGTAACAGGAAGTTTTACTAGAACTGCTGTAAACTATGCTTCAGGAGTGCAAACTCCAATGGGTGGAATAGTTACAGGTTCACTTGTTCTTCTTGCGTGTGGATTACTCACTTCCGCATTTAAATTTATTCCAAAATCTACTTTAGCTGCTGTGATTATAGTTGCTATGTATTATATGTTGGAGTTTCAAATCTTTGTCGTCCTTTGGAGAACTAAAAGTAAATATTACAATTAGTTATTTCTTTTTTAGTTTAAATTCATAGTATAATTTATCGATTTATTTACCGTAGAAGTTGATTTGATCCCTCTATCTGTGACATTGGCTTGCTGTCTTTTGTTCAGTTTAGAGTATGGAATGGTGATTGGAATCGTTTTGAATTTAATCATTTTATTGTACTTAACTGCCAGACCTGGGTTATCAATTGAAGAAAATAATGTTGATGGAATCAACATCATATATGTTTCTCCGGAACAATCTTTAAGCTTCCCAGCAGCAGAATATCTTCGAGAAAGTATTATAGATTGGTAGGTATTAAATAATATATCTTGAAAACTATGATAATTATTTTTAAAAATTATTCGTGATTTATAGGTGTGATAGAAAATCATCAACAGCTCCAGTTATTGTTGATGGACGATATATTCATAGAATTGATGCAACTGTAGCAAAAAATTTAAGACTTCTCCAATTAGATCTAGAAGCAAGAAATCAAAAATTAATATTTTGGAACTGGTGTGAAAGTGCTAAAAATACTGTGATAAGTTTTGATAATAACCTAACGATTCACTTCAAAGAATCGTCATCATTGGCTCAATTATTTTCAGGTAAATATTTTTTTCCGGTTTTTGTATAGATTTTGTTTACTAGATCAAATATATATCTATGTATGTTTATTGGTTACAGATAATAATGAGTATGAATTAAGAATCCCAATATCTTCAGTCTAGTAAAATATCCGTGTAACAAATTAAGATAAATACACAATCAAACACATTCAACTGCCAACATTATTTATACAACAATTAGAACACTCATACTTCACCACTAAATTTTTTACGATCACTTGTTGAAACTTAACCTTACTTTTCTATCACCTTTGAATAACTACACTATACTTTATAAATAATTCATCTTACAAATAACTTTGTTATAATTATAAGTATTTATATTTCAATAAATAATAAATATAAACTGTCAAATAATATAAGTTTTAATTATTAAAATACTTATTCTTCAGTTAATGTGACCTCAAAGGTCAAAACAACTGACCAAGATCAACATTTCTCGACCCCCAGTAAAAACCGGAAGAAGAGAGAGCCACTGCGAAAACCATGAACACCCGCCAAATGGTGGTCGCAATTTGTAGCGTCACCTTATTAGTTTGTTCTGACGAATCAAAACAAGATCTCACGGATTCAACCAATAAAAAACATACGTTAGACGGACATAAAGGCGATCGACATTCATTTTTGTTTTTCAACCAATAAAGAGCTTGGAATTGGCCATCGTGGCCGTTGAGGGTACATCCGGCCATTGCGCCGCAGTATTGGTCGATCCCGCTTCGCCAACGGCGGAGTTAGAGGTTCTCCCATTACCCCTTGAGCACGTTCGTTAAATTTTCTTGGCAAATAATTAACACTACGGCGTCGTTGAATTTGATCAAGAAATAAGTCGATTGAATTGTGTTCATTGCAAAAAAATAGCCATTAAACATTTCAAAAGTGACGTGGTAAGCAAAATTCAAGTTCTTTCATGTCGCTGCGGAGAAAAGGAGCGCGGGGAAATACAGACAGAGAAAGATAGATTGATAAAGTCATTTGAGAAAGAGAGAAAATGACAGAACACTAGTGTTCATAAATGAGTGCGAGTGAAATAGGTAGAGAGAGCGTGAATAAAGAGGGAGCGAGAAGCATCGCAGCGCGTCAGGACTATACGAAAAGCAGCAGCGCGTCGTACGGAGCCGAAGCAAATACCCACGTTCAATTCCCACCGTGCGTGGTACATTACGTGTCCCCGTCGTGACCGCTTGGGTGTGACGGAATAGTTAGGCGTTTTTTCTTTTTTTTTTGTTAATTTTTAAAATGTATTTTGCTGGAATTTGACGAGTGTACCAAGTGGCTGAGCTGACCGATTGAAGAAAGAAGAGACAGGAAGTGAGAAGAAAATAATTTGTGATTCGTTTGGTGAACCCGTGGTAAGCGTGACGCGAGTGGCTAGGTGGTCTTTGGCTGCCTCATCGAAGCTCCCTCTTGTCCCGCGCCCGCGTGCGCAACGCGACGAGGAGGAGGAGGAAACGAAGCCGCGAGATCGTGTTGTGTGTGTGTGTGTTGTGCGAAAGAGATAGAATGAATTGACGACGACTTTAATACGTTATTGGATGTGAGAGAAACAAAGATAGAGAATGGAGAGAAAGAAACGACGAACAAGAGACTGAAAGAAAGGAATTGTAAGACGAAGAAGAAAGAAAGAGAGGATTCCGGGCGACCCGAAAAGGATCTGCACCGCTTGTTGAAGCTCGTGGCGTTTTTTTTACCGCCGCCATTTCTGCGAGACTCAACTGCTTTTAACGTCTTGCTCTAAACTTGCACATTTATGTTATCTTTGTATTTGAAGAAAGAAAAAAACAACGTTTATTAATGTCTAACGTTATCAAAACGTTATCCTAACCATAATGGGTACATTATCCTTTTTGTCTCTTGTTCATCGACCATCTCATCACCGCGCCCCTTGTCGTTGACGCTCTCCGTCGCGCTCGTCTACGTGGAAGCGCAAGAATCATATCTACACGTTGTTCAGAACTGCAAAATACTCATTAAGAGACTGTGAAATTGTCCTGTGTTGTCTATCATACTTGAACTTTTCATTTTTATTGTTTGATAATCTAAAGAATAGGAAAAACGTGCACGTGTGCCCGGGAAAAAGGGTTAAAATAATAGCCGGAGACCTGGTGAGCAACGTGATCTCTTTGTTAAAAAACAATTATACCGTCATACGTTCTATCGACCTCTTGAATCACGTGGTGATGCGCCAGTTTAGCTGTTATTGAGGAGAAAAAAGTCTTCTCTAAAAGCCAGCGACGCCCTGAAGAAGCCGGTTTTTTTATTCTCTCTCAACGACGAGAATTTCGCCACCCCTTGTCAGCTCAGTATGAACTTGCCTCCCCTTGCAAACTCCCTTTTCTCTCTTTCTCTCTTACATTCTATCTCGGCTTCTCGTTCACTCTCTACCACCCGGCACTCCCAGACAAAATGCTCTAGGTATTTTTTTTAAACGCCGTATGATGTTCGTCCTCTGATGATCCCTCTAGGTCTCCCCAAGATTGCAATACACTAGATTAATCAAGTTTAAACTAGTCAACATAATAAAACTAAAAAAAAATCATTTTTATGCCTACAGATCAAAGATCCGGCTGAGGAACGGAAGTCATTCGTGATTACACTTAGCTGTGTCGACGGAAGTATTTGTCAATAAACTCTAACTGATTTTTAACTAACTCAAGCTAAATTGGTAAGTTAAATACTGAAAATATTTAAATTAAATTCTTAAATATTATCTAATGAGTGAAATTCAAATATTTATTTTTTGTTTTTATTTATTTTTTTTGCAGAAGAACTATTTGAAATTTAAATAAAAATGATTCCAAAGACGTCTGTGAGGACTGTTGACACAACTTAAATAGATTATTTTATCAGCAAGATTATCATAAAAGTAATAGACTGAAGTAAGGTTTTAAGAAAATTTATTGGATCAAATAGTGAAAGAAGTAGCAGAGCGATACGAGGCTGTCGAGTGATGGATGAATGGGAGTAAGCACGGCGCCTGAGCAGCACAGGCGTGGGCGTCGGTGCCGGTGGGAGCCTCTGGATGTCGAGGCAGTGGCACCAGCTGCGTCAGTGGCAGTGATGGCCCCTGCTCTGACGGAAGGTGGTCCTCAAAAGCCTGACGACTTGCTTACCCCTTTACCGGCTAGTGGATTTCTTTCCCCAGAGCAGGCTGCACAGGTAAACATCATCAAAATGTTTATAAAAATATTACTTATTGATGAAAACAATGCTAAAGGTTTGTATTCATATTTGTAGGTTTGCCAGAATCGTGAGGTCCTGGCAAAGTTCGTAGTATCAGCGAACGTACAGCCAACGAAAATAGACGAACAGTGTCTGCGTGGTATTTCCAAAGAGCTTATTCGCGATGTCATCAATTCTAAATACTCAAATGGTCTCGATAGTTTGTCGATGTTCGCGAACGGATCTGACTTGATCACGCGAGAGCGAAAAAATCACAACGACGAGGCCAAGGAACTGGATTACGAGGAGGAGGCGTTGGTGGAGGAGGATTTTAGGACTGAGGAGTGTCCGGTAATGCCGGACAGTAGTGAACCCGAGTCTAGTGATATTATAATGAGTGAACCTTCTTCTAATGCTCAGAACGACGAGATGGGATTCTTGAAAGCCAGTGAAGATGTGCCTATGGGTGGCGTAAGTCTTCCAACAGACAAAGATCTCGCCCGAATAATGGAATTTAACCCTGAGTTACCAACTAATGTTGGAGACATAGGAAATGTTGTTGGTGACATTGTTGGCCAAAATGTTGAAGATATTCTTCAGGTAATCAGTTCAATAGAAGGTGGTGAAACCCCTATGGTAACCGGCGATGCAATTTTACCAAGTGGATCAACGGAATCTGGTGTCACTCCTGGTGTTGAAATGTTTCCCATGTCTGAAAGTTTCTCGTCGTTCGAGCGTGACCTTCTCAATGATGTTAATGATGTAATGAATTTAGTAAATGAAAATATAAATATGAATGAAAACATGGGAGAATCCTCAGAAGCGCAACGAGACATCAATTTGCGTATACAACAAGAGTCTGTTGAAGAGAAACATTTTGAGGTCGAGAGGCGTTGTGCTTTCCTTCTACGACGTCTTCGTAAGCTTCAAACAAGAATTATAGGTCGTCACATTGCCGAAGAAAATACAGGTGTTCTTGAATTAGCTCATCACAGTGTTAAAAAATATTTTCTCCAAGAACTTTCGAATATTTCACCGAAAGGAACTACTCCAAAAAACTTTCCGGAGATTGGAGGAACTCTTGATGCGTTTTTACAGAAGATTGAAAAATCGTGTGTGGCACAAAGTAATAGTGTGAATCGTCAACGTGTGTGTTGTCGATATTTTGGAGGCGGATCGCGTGATAATGCACTTGGTGGTAGTAGTAGTAGTAGTAGTGGATCTAACACCACACGACATCCATTGTTCGGAACAGCTCAGGTTAAAATTGATGGTGAAGAAGTTGAAAATGTTGCTGGTTCATTAGCCACACAATTGCATACGGTTGAGTCAAATCTTGACTCTGATTGCACGGCCTCCAGTAGCGGTGGAGAAAGCTGTGATGAAATGCAAACATTTAATAATCCTCATCAACAACAGTTACCTATGTAAGTATTCTCAAGACAATTTATTCAAATTTTTTCAAAAAATACCGTAAAAAAGCTTCTCATTCGACTTTACACACTTTTTTTACTGGTATTGCATCATCTCGATGACTCACAAATCCAAACCCCTTTTTGAAAAACATTCATAAGAGTCATACAAAGATTACATGCCTTACCGATTGGTACAATTATCTCTGATATTAAAATACTGTGATAATTCGTGTAGATCTAAATGTTAAAAATATGTTATCAATTATTTTTAACTCTTTAAGTGATTTTCAATCATCTATTATTTGCCGGTAGCTCGGAGACTATGTTTAATTTATTATCTTGCTTAAAATATTGATTAGTCATTTAATAACAGCTCTAAAGCAACTGATAACATTTCTTAATTATTATTAAACCAATAGAAAGAAAAAAAACTTTCGTAACTCAACTAATATAAGGGATAGTTTTATTTTACTTTTATTGATTTTTATGTTTAAATATAACTTTATTCGTATTTATTATTAAAGTAGTTACTCATTGTTTTCCAGATGTATTTCGGAATTCCAGTAATCGATTTTAAAAAATTTGGTCTAGCTCGATTCTGGATTCATTAAAAAATTTTAATAATAAAATTAACCAGTTAAAATATTGAAAAAAATTTTATAATTGATATAAAAAATTATATGTTGGAATAGATCAAAAAGAGCAGCTTGGAGATATGCTCAGGACAGAGCGGGTGTTGCGGCACGTTGGATGTGGTTGCAAGCACAAATATCCGATCTCGAGTATAAAATTCGTCAACATAATGATCTCCAGTGTTATACGAGAGCAAACAAAGGTTGCGTAGTGTTGGATAACCCTGAGACAGTGAATGGATATAGTGGAGTATTGCCAGGGTCGACAGGTCGTTACAACTCGTTAGAAAATGAACCTTCAGCAAGTAGAACTCGACCATTTGTTTCGGAAGTGTATAAAAAACGAAAACTTCTGCGAGTTGAAGGCTTACATGAAGTTTCAAAACGCGCAGCAAGGGCATCAACTATTAGATGCGATTGTGATCGTACTTTAGCATCATGTGCACTTTGTACTGGTCGAACGGATCCAATGCAACCTCAAGAACCTCTAGATCAACTTTCAATACCTGAAAGAATTGCTCTAGTTGATCCCTGCTATCATCCCGTACTATCTTTTCCCGATGAAGTTACTCATAGTACTCATTTTGATGCTATCATGAAATCCGTTGACTGGCAGCAGAAAATGTTGCGAGGTAGCGTTAGAATGTCTCGTGTTAAAGACAACAAAGAACCAATCGAAAGGAGAAAACAGCAAAATAAATTACCAGAACATAAGACCAAGTACACAACAAAGATTAAAAAATCATCATCGAGTTTGTTAACAGCAAGGATTAAAAGAAAAATGTTAAAAGGTAAAAGATTAATTCTTGCTCCTGGTAAACATTTACAAGGATTAAATAAAAAACGGGTAAATAAAGTGTCTCAACAAGCTGAAGATGATGAAGATGTTAGTGCACAATCGAGTTCCAGTAAACATTCATCTCCAGTGCCTTCACCATTACAGCAACCTACTACTACAGAGAAAGTTTTACCAAAAGAAAAGAGTTCCAATTCGCACATGTAAGTGAACTAAAAAATAAATTTCTTTTCAATTTTTATGACCATCTTTCTATTATCTATAGCTTTTTAACGATCGACTAACTCTCGTACTTATTTTAATTACAAAAAGTAGTTCAATATAACTAGAAAAAGTTATTTTTATTTACCTTAGAAAGTATCTAGTAATAAATATGTTTCTTTATTAAATATTCATGTTAATAATACAACAATTTATTCCAATAAACTAATGATTTCGTTTTTATTACAGACGGCTGAGACAAAATTCATATGATATTGACAACATTGTCATACCTTATAGTGTAGCAGCATCCACAAGATTGGAAAAACTTCAGTACAAAGAAATATTGACGCCAAAGTAAGTTGGAAAAATATTCACCATCAAAATACATCAATATAAGATTAATTATAATTAATTATTTATTCTAGGTGGAGGCTTTGTGAAGAATCAACTAAAGCAGACGTAAAAAATGGTGTCATGCATAGGCCTAGTCAAGATAGTGATGTAAGCTGATTTAAATCATGAATAATACCTAATTATTGACTCTTTACGTAATAAAAAATCAGTAAAGTTGTTGTTTTTCCCTTGTATAACAATACTTATTGATTTATTTCTGTATGTTCTCAGGTTGAAGATGTATCTGATGAAGCTGTTGCTTTAAGGCATGAGCGCAGTGAACGTGAAGAATATAAACGCTTCATGACCTACGTTAATATGGTTCCACAGAGTCGTATCCGGCATAATCGTCGGGCTGATAGTCGAGCTGATAGTGGTGCCAATACACCAGGTAGTTAATCGATTATTAAGTGTGCATAGTAAAACTAAACGTCTATCAGTGATATTAATTATTTAATTACTACTTATCATAATATAGTTGATAATGAAAGAAAAAATATGTTATAAAACTTTTTTTCTATCTAGATCCCATGTCGCCTCATCCTAGTGACATTAGTGGGGACGTTACTTCACCGATAACATCTCCACCTGCAACACCTATGAGTCACGATACTGATCACCACAATACTCTCGACAATAGTCATCGAAATTCTATTCATTATGCTATTCGTCGTCGTACTATTTCATCAAATAAAATTAAAGAAGAGATGAACAACTCCATTGCGGAAGAAGAAAAAAATGAGGTATATATTTTTTTATGAATAATTATTTAATTATATACTTGAATGAGTTATTAATATGATAAAAAAACAACAGGTTTTACCATATCAAGCAAGAACTTTTCCCTTATCTGAAGAAGTTTATGACAAAATGTTGGAAGTTATGCCAGATGGTCATTGGCAGTCGACAACATCAACTTTATGCTCAAGAATAACGGATAAAGTTGTTGAAGAGGTGGGTTGAAATTCATTTGCATAAAGTGAAACAAATGAAAAAATAGAAAATGGATAAAATAGAAGAAGAGGAAAGTTTGAATATGTTGAATTGGCATCATTTTAGGAAACTGCATTGGATTCACCTGAGTCAGATACTACAGAATCAGCGTATTGTGATGCTGATGGCGAGGACCCAAATGACCCAGAATGGACAGTCGGAGATGATCGAGATGCTGAAAAAGAACGAATACGTTTAACAGCCAAGAGATAGGAGATATTAATTATTATCGATTATCGTATGTCTAAAACAACCGTTACTAAACTATTAAAGCTAAAAGAAAAAAAAAACGATACCTGTCAATTGTTATATATACCTATGGGTAATGTGACATGCACCTTAAGTTCATAGTATTAATCTGTAAAGTGTATTATAAATATAAATTTTATAACTTCATTTAATCGCTTAAATTAATGAAAGAGAAGGAGGATAAAATATTACACCTCAATCGGCTTATTTTTCTTGACGTAATGTGTTTAAAAAAAATCAACAATTGCTGTTCATATATATATATATATAAATATAAAAAAGAAAATACCAATGTTACATTTATGACATTTAGTGTCTTCTCTTTTCATTATTAATGTAATAAAATTTAATACGTTTAGAGAACACTCATCACACATACATACACATGAACATAGTTTATATATATATACATACACGTAAAATTTTATTTTTCACTTTTGTTTTTATTATTAACATTATTTCCCACCTTTTCATCATTTTTTGTTTAAAACTACATATAGTGATTGAATATTGTTCTCATTACGTCTTTAGAATCTCAGTCACTGATTTCATTAGTTATTTTTTTGTACAAATGATGTATTTATATATTTCGGACGATTCATAAATTTAGAATAAACTAAAAAAAAAAAAGTGCCAAACGAAATCGTATATCCATTATTCATTTGTACTCGATTTTATTGCATATTTATCTATAATTAATATTTACTAATTATTTACTTCAGTTTATATTAATTTTTTATGTCATCCATATGGTTTCTTTTTCTAAGCTTTGTTCGATAGTTACGTTACGCAAGCGGACAAAGTATATTTACTACAACTGATGTGAGAACACATTGATCTATGATAAGACACTTATCTCTTTTGTTTTTCATATATTTTTTGTCTAACATATCGATTCAATGACTTCATTTGCTGTTTAAAAATACTTGAAACAATTTTTATTTTAAAATGTGTAAAAATATATTTCGTATATAAAGCACATTAACATTACAATGAAATATTACTGAGTAACTCCAAATGATATTGGTGTAACACTAAGAGTATTCAAATCTACAAGAACAGCTGTAGAAGTTTTAGAGAACTTGGGAATACATACAAGTCTGACCGTTTGTCCTTCAGGACCTAAAAATGGAATGAATTAATGAAAAAAAAGTCAAACTTATTTAATGTTAATATTTACTTGCCTTTAAATAATTTAGTTTCGAATCGTTGCATATTTCCCACGAAATAAATGTCTGGGCATTCATGCATAACTAAAAGGTCTTCTTCATTGTAGGGATGTGATGGAAGAGTGTCCGGTGCAGTAGGACAGAATTGACGCCAATTAAGAGTCCTTTCAAGCCATTCGATAGGGGTGACTTCAGTTTCTCCACTCACTCGTAAAATATCTTCAATTGGCTGACCACTTGATCCACAAACGAATCGATTTCCAATCATTCCCATCCATGGATTACCGACACCCTTGATGTTTTCGAATTTACGGGATTCTCGTAACATCAAAGGATGAATCGGTTTTTGAGGTACCATTACATTCGTCGGATCATATTGACCAGGCATTAAAGTAATACAACAATCATTTCCCAATTGGCTTAAAAATTTATCCAGTTGAGTTACTGCCGCTGATATTTCTCGTGCTATTGCCGTCTCTTGTGCTCTAGCTTCCATTAATCCTTTACTTATTCGAATATCATCTTCCGCAGATTTAATACTATTTCCAGCTATTAAAAGATTTACGACCGATGCAGCATTTTCTTGAGCATCTACTGTTCCTGCCATTCCACTCAACCATTCAATCAATAGTTCAATGGATAGAGTATTCGTATTCGTAGCAAAATCGAGACTAGAAAGCAATAAAAGCTTTCCTGGTAATGGAGTAAGTTCATTTTGCTGTAATGGACACCCTGGAAAGCACCAGTCTTCCACCTAGAATTTAAATGAATAACAATAATGAAATATAAAATTCAATGTTTTTAGATATATTTAAAAATTTTCCATTACTTCAAATGATCCATCGCTTGTTGTTTTTCCTAATACTGCACATACAACTCCAGTCACGATTTCAGAAATATTTACTTTATCACCAATAATCTTAATTCGCAGGATTTCATCCTCCAGGTATGCCACATCTTTTTCACTATCATAACAAGTACGTTTCTCTGGAATGTTGGTTGAGTCTTGAGTTTCTTCATTTAAATCACGAAGAATTGATGGTTTCCACATTTGATGTTTAAATAAGGTTCCAATAACAATACATTGTTGATTTTCAAAATTTTCTAGCTCTGGCAGTTTCAATATTTGAACATTATCTAAACAAAGTAAAAATTTTTTTAATCTCGATGCTCCTTAAAGATAAAACATATCATTTAATAATATTAATGACAAAATAATTACTCCATTTTTTCGAAGCTTTTTCAGCTAGAATAGGTCGCAATTTTTGAAGCCTACTCAAATACACATGGAAGAATTGTTTAGAAAAATCTTTAGATTTCGGTACAAAACTGACACTTAGATCTTTGTGTTCGATAGCTTTTCTTTCGAAAGACGGAACACAATTATTTTTTTCTAAAGGAAATTTATCGGAATAACGTTCTATTACTGGCATTGTAAAGATAAAAGAATCTCAATTGTTCGACAAATTCTATAAAAAACTTCTCTTCCAATTTTTTATTGATAAAAAGGTTATTGTTTGCAGGATTTACGCGCGTAAACGAACATTTCCACGCTACCTCCCCCTGTCGGTAGTTTTCATGACTATTTTAAAGTCAACATGTCTACCGCATGATGGCGTCATGTGAACGTTTCCACAGTGGTGCTCAACTCGAAAGAATTTGTAGCCAAGCCATTGTATTTGTGCCTGTTACCAAAAAAAAAATGATAAAAATAAACGAAATAAAACGTATAAAGTAGGGCGGAGCAATTAATATGACGTAGAAATGAAAATGTGTATAAAGTTTAAACAAATTTGAAAAAACATACAAGTGAAAGGGTAATCAGAGTGGATAAATAAGCTTTTTTAATCATACACAGTGAATTGTGAATTTATTGAAGAATTCAGTATCACCTAGAAATTTCTTCTAAATCAAATCTAAATACTATAAATAAATTTATTCTCCTAAGTCAGTAAGTTAATGAGTTAATTTTATTATTGAAACATTACTTAAGAAATCTAAAATTATTTTCAACTTATTCAAACCAAAAATTAACATATTTTTATTTATGTGATTATTTTTAATAAATAAAAAAAATTAATATTTTCTCTTTGCTCCTTTTGGAATTCAAAACATTACTTTCGTTCGAACAGTTAAGACCACTGTTATTTTTAGAATAAAAGGCAGCAAGATGTTGTTAAACAGAAGATACGCAATTTTTGCGACAAATATCATAAAAATGGAAACAAGTAGAAGAGCCCGAGTTTTAAAACCAAACCAAAATCAACCATTAATGGTTCAACAAGTTCGGAAATTCAAAAATTTCGGCCATGGCGATAATGAAAGAATACCTTCTCATTATACAAAACATGTGGGGTTTCTCACAATATGCCTTATTGCTTGTTTTCTAGATTGGAGATAGTAAGTAATTAATAATTTTTAAGTTAAATTTGTAACTTGAGTAGACAAACAATGATTTGGTAGATAATTATGTATGCAAATAAATTTTTTTTAGCCTTAAAATGAAGTTTTTTCCAAGAGTTGATGCTGCAGAAATGTTAACCGAAGAATCTGATGATAATGAATCGAATTCTTCAGTAGATCATGTTGAATCTGGAGAACATAAAAAAAAGAAAAAGAAAAAACAAAAAGTTGGATTTCGAGATCGAAAGGTGAATAAAGAGAATTATTTCACTTAGTTTATTGAAATCACAGATTATCTGATCGTAAATAATAATTCATATAATAATTTTCTTCTATTGGCATATTTATTATTACGCATTCATTTATCATTGTTTTTTTTCCATTAAAAACATTTATTTAATTTAGATAATTGAGTATGAAAATAGGATGAGGGCATATTCTACTCCAGACAAAATTTTTCGTTATTTCGCGACAGTCAAGGTTACGAGTTTGGAAGGTACAGAAATCTACATGACTCCAGATGATTTCTTAAGAGCCATTACTCCTGGCATGCAACAACCAGATGGTAAATTTTTTAAAAATAAAAATCAGTCAAGATCTTTATAAATAATTCTCTATAACGATAAACTTTTGTGAATAATAACCAAGTGTGATTAACTACTTCCAACTTGCAATCTTATAGTTTTACACCCGTATTGTAATTATGCTAAATATTTATTGTAAAGGCTAGTTAATTGTTAGTCGTCATCATTATTCATTAACAATTTCACTTACTAACTTGTGTGATATTTTAAATAATGTTTATAATTTTGTGGTTACCTTTGGTAATTTATTTGCATGCACTAACACATGGATTTCAACTTGAACCTTATTAACCAAGATAATCGAGTATGAAAATCGAATACGTCATTACTCAACGCCAGATAAAGTATTTCGGTATTTTGCAACTCTCCAAGTAACTGTTAATGATACTCATGAGATATTTATGACGCCTGATGACTTCTTGAGGTCAATGACACCCGGTGTTAAACAACCTGAGGGTAATTTGTCCGTATCCATGATTTTTCTATTTTATATTATTTATTCTGTGATACAGCTATTGTAAATATATTTGCATGTGAACCTTGACCAAAATGCAATCCTTTTCCTTTTTTATTTGACATACCAAGAATGATTATTTTTTTTTATATTGAAGTATTTAAATATTCTCTGAATAGAGTATTGTATGTCATTGAAAGCTTTTTAGTATTTGAATTAATTTTATATCAAATGTTTCTGTATGTAAAATTAATTTAAACAAATATAATATTATAATTTTATTTCTCTGTAGGTTTGGGTTTAGATCAATACAAAAAATTTGATCCGAAGGTAAATAACGAAATAACTTTGAAGCAAATTTAAAGTCACTCATTTAAATTTTATTACTTTGCAGAATATTCACAATAAATTAGATTTGGAATTGGATGAAGATAGTATTTTCTACAAACTTGGCAGTGCAGGTCTTATATCTTTTTCAGACTATATTTTCTTGCTCACAGTGTTATCAAGTAAGATTAATAATCAATATTATTATAAATAGATTTAATATAAAAGCTGCTCATTTAATTATTGAAATTGTAGCTTCGAAAAGACATTTTGAGATTGCTTTTCGCATGTTCGACTTTAATGGAGATGGAGATGTTGATTCAGAAGAATTTAGCAAAGTAGCAACATTAATTAGACAACAAACAAGCATTGGAAATCGTCATCGTGATCATGCAAGCACTGGTAATACTTATAAAGGTGTAAACTCAGCTTTGACTACATATTTTTTTGGACCGAACATGGAAAATAAATTAACAATAGAAAAATTCCTCGATTTTCAAGAACAACTCCAAAAAGAAATATTGAACCTTGAAGTAAATAATATTCAGTTTTAATTCTCTATTTTTACTTTTACTATGACATTGTTAATTTATTCATTCTTTTACATTTTTAGTTTGAACGTCGCAATCCCGATACTAATGGAAACATTAGTGAAATAGATTTTACCGAATTACTGTTGGCATACGCTGGTTATCCTGAGCATAAAAAGACAAAAATGATAAAGAGAGTGAAGAAAACATTTAAAGAAAATGCGAAAGGAGTAAACAAAGATGATTATTTGAAATTCTTCCACTTCTTAAATAATATAAATGATGTTGATACTGCATTGACATTTTACCATATCGCAGGAGCTTCGATTGATCAAGCTACTCTGAAGCATGTTGCTAAAACGGTTGCTCATGTAGATTTAAGTGATCATGTTATTCAAGTTGTTTATACAATCTTCGATGAGAATAGTAAGTTGATGATTTTTTACAAATTGAACCAATTTTCATAATTATTAAATAATAAATATTTTTACAGTGGATGGACAACTCAGTAATCGCGAATTTGTTGCTGTAATGAAAAATCGAGTATTACGAGGCTTGGAAAAACCTAAAGATACTGGATTTATTAAACTCTTGCAGTCAATGATGAAATGCGCTAAAAATAGCTATTCATTTGATAAATAATTTCATAATATTTTTTCCTTTTATTGTGCATTTGATCATTTTATGTATATTTAAAATATCATTACACGTAATAATTTATAAATGTAATAATAGTTTTGTGTATTAAAATATAAATAACACTTTCTGAACAATTATTTTCACTAATGAAAGTTAGCATACTTTCTGAAGCGTAACTGAATAAAGAAAGTGCCCAAAAAAAATATTGACATTGGCTTGGCTGTGAATTCAAGTCTCTAGAGTTTTTAATCAGTTTGTAAGTTAACAGATTAATAGTAAAGTTTATTCGTTGAGTTAATATGGATCTGTTGAAGTTATTAGTCATGATCTCTTTTGTATTAAATGTTTGCTGTATAACTGGTGAATGTTCTGCAAGAGTTAAAGGTTTTAATTTAGAAAATTAAATATATTGGTGTCGTTAATGTCATTTAATATTAATCAACTGAGTCATAAATAAAATGTTTAAAATTATATGTTGGTTTTTTTATTTATTTAGATGTAAAACATATGTATCGCAGACACATGAATGATGATTTACCACTTAGGGAACGAATTATAAAAAACAAACAATATTTCCAGTGAGTTTTATGTTAAGTATAAAATTTATAGAATAAATTTAACTTTCAATTACTCTAAATAAAATATATGGTTGATATCATCTTTTGTAGAGATATTTATGTTGAACAACCATCACCAATGAAAATATCATTTGGCCATGTTTTTGAAGATCCTAGGCAATGGGAGCAACGTTTTGAAACTCAAGACATGGAAAATAAAAGATTTCAAGGCAAAGTACGATGGGGTACTGAAGATGGCAATTATGTTGAACACTATTGGGATTTAAATCATTAAAAACCGGTTAAATAAAATAATAATATCATTTAGAAGTTTTTTCATGAAATAATGTATTTATTGGATAAAAATATTTTTTACTTTACATGAATACTTTGTTGAACTTTATTATTTTAAGTGAGATTACGGAATCTGAACGATTCTTGCTTTTGATCCATTGGGTAATAACTCAAGATGCAATAAACCATCCAATTTACTAATCGTTGCTTCAGCTTTACGTAATGCCTGTAATATAAAATCCGATGAATTTTCAAATAAAAAATAATAAAAAAAATTTCATTCAGTTTAATACCGTTCTCAATTCTTGTTCAACTCCTGGATCAGTCTTAATTAATTTCTTTCGTCTAGAAAATTCTATAACTGATAATCCAACTATTTTCTCTAGTACCTGCAAATAATTACATTATCATAAATAATTAAATTAACCTACTTATGATGATATTGAATGAAGGATTAAAAGATTAAATTGATAAATATTTACCTGAGAAGAAAAGCAGATGTCAATACTTCCGCTATCATCGGAGATAGTTCCTTCTAAATACCAATTTTGTTCTTTTTTTTCAAGTTTTTTCATTGATTTAACTGTTCCTTTTATTATTTTGATTATCGACTTATCAACTGGCATAAGTTTTAGAATGTCTTTTATAGAGTCGTATTTTTTTTGCAATGGTTGAGAACTTGGCTTATCTGGTGTATCAGTCTTTGTAATAAAAGCGGTAATTTTTTGATTATTTCCGGAATCAAATTTGGAAGATTCCGGTTTACGTACAGATTTAGGAGTCTTCGCTGGTGATGGTGTATTTTGAACAAAAGTTGGTTTTGCTATCTAAAAATAATAAGCCCATTTGAAAAGAATAATCAATCATAAATATTCATCAATAATAATAAATTGAATAATAATTACTGGTAGTTTATTGTTCAATGAACCTGATGATGAATTGGGTGCATTTGTAGCCTTTCTATCATTATGAGAAAAAACTGCTGTTGGTTTTACATTTGTTTCACTTGCTTTCTTAACAGTATTTAATGCTTGAGTAATTTTGTCTTTAGAGAATGTGTTAGAATTTGATAATGCATTAGGGGTAGTCTTTTTTGGCATTACTTCCCGATCATTATTTGTATTGTTTGAATAATTACATTTTTCTTTCATTGCTGAAGCAATTTCGAAATCTTCCATTTCTAATTCAATTGGAAAATCTGGATCAAAATTAAAATCATCCATTATTTCCTCATCATTTTGTTCTGTAATTTTATCATCTAATTGATCATTTTCCCTATCTTGATCAATTACAGTAAAATTGGTCTCATCAATCATCTGAATTAGCTCATCATCTTCATCTATTTCGGTTTTTTTTTCTGGTATTGAATCAAAGCATACTGGAAGACTATTGAGCATCATACTATCACGTTTTTTATCTTTACTTGTCATACTGATGTTTTTATTAGTGGGTTTTTTATTGTTATCAACATTTTCGATTTTATCTAGCTCGTCTAAGTCAATATCCATGAATTCATCATCAAATTCCTCCTTATGTTTTTTATCTTCATCAGTAGCAATATTATCTTGATAAGGATCAGGATTTTCAACAAGATCTCTGTTTCAAGAAATAAAGTTATTTACCGCAATAATTATTTTGTCATAATTAATAAAATAAGCTAGTAACTAAATTCAATACACTAAACTTACAGAGCTCTAGCTAAAACATTTTCTGTTGCATTCTTGATCAATAAATTTTCTACTTCTCCTCCGATTTCACAGCAGTTTTTTTCATGCAATAAAAACACACCTCTTCTACAAGTAACTGGTCCTTTAATCATTATTTTTAAACCAGGTAATATTAGATCCTACATAAAACAAAGTATTTAAGAATAACATCAAGAATATTATGTTCCCATAATTGACTTACTTTTAAGAATTTAATTGGTTGATATTCGATAGCTGTAACATCCTGAATCCCATCAGTTAAATATAAGTTCATCATCCGTTTTCCTTTTGGTTCCCAAGGAGCATTTTTATCAGTTTCATTAACTTGAGTATTTTCATTAGTTGCATTTCGAATTTTTTCTAATTGTTTATATTTCGATGTTGATATATCGTATCCTTTTTCAATCTATAAATGACAACAACCACAATTGGTATATTTTCATAATTATGAGATAAAAATAATTACTGACAATTTATGTGAAAATAAATAATAAACTTTACTTGTAATATATATGTTCCTGACAAAGTAGTAAGTTTTTGTTGACTCAAATTTTTAGGTAAACATCCATTTTCGTTATTTATTTCCCTCAAGTCACTTAACTGCCACTGAGATATTACAAATGCTAATATTTCAGCGTTTGTTGCCTACATGATCAATAAATTAATTTTTTTCCATAATAACATTAATTGATGATCACTTGGATTTATGTTAAAATAATAAAATAAAAACTGCATTTAAATAAACTTACATCGCTGTGCTCAGATTGGTAATAATCAACACAGTCTCTTAACCAGGTGTCATTTACAGAATAAAATTGTGTAGTTAATTCTTTTTTTATAATTTTCCACGTGTCAACCATTCTCTTTATCAATATTTATTATAATAATATATATTAATGATTAAATACGTATGCTAAAACAGTCAATTTGTTATTTATCGTTTCATTTCTGACATTTAATTAAATGTAAACATGCACTCATGCTAAGAGGTTAGGAAATAGTAGGGTGAACTCCAATTAGAGAATTTTTAAAATTCAGCCTATGCCAACCATTGAATTTATGATAGTTCTTTATTGTGAAAAAATATAGTTAAGACATTAATTATAAACTATTACGAAAGCAAAAAGAACTATACTATGCATTTCATATGTTCATCAAAACAATGTGGAAATTAATTAATTTCGTTATCAAATTATTGTTGATAATTAAATGAAAATAGTTAATTTTCAATCGAATACAATAAAAAAAAAAATATATCATGACAAAATCATTCAAATATATATAAAAGTGATTTCTATAGTTCAGAAACCATGGGTGGTGAAGTAGGGGGATGGATAACTCGTAACGTACTTGTAAAATTCCATTCTCGCAAAATAGATAATATATGATTCAGTTTTGACATCCAATCAACAAGTTCTCGTGTACTGTCAAAAGATAAAAGATGCCTAAAAAAGTATCAATCAATTAATTTAGTTGATATTAACTAAAAAAGAATAATGTAGAAAATAGAGAAACCATACTTGATAATTGTAAAAGATTGATGACATTCCATCATCAAATTATTTGTATCATCAGGATGTTGAACTCTTAATGTTTCAATAAGAAGGGTTCTCGGTTTGGCACATAGCGATCTGTGAGCAGGAGATATCTGTTCAGAGACACAATGCATCAAATTGATTACCATCATTGGCATTTTATTTTCTTGATCTTCAGGATAATTCCAAAACAGTAGTGTATGGCTTTTCAAAATACACCATCTTCTATTCCAAGCTATAAGACCACCACACTCATTTCCCTGAGTTACAAAGCCTTGATGTTCAATGCTATAGTGAAGATTACAATTCAACTCAAGGTCAATAGTACCTAAAAGAATTGAATCTGGTGGAACTTCTTCTAAAGGCCATGGAGATGATAATGATAAATCACGAAGATAAAATTCTGTATATCCTGTAACTTTAAAAGATGAAGATAAAACAACTGGACCTGTTCTTGGTGTCGTCGGACGTTCAACTCTTTTCAATAGTTTTTTAGGAGTGGGACAAGTAATATTTTTTGTCTCTTCTTCCAGGTGATACTTAATTTCATGACCATAAGGAATTCCAGTGGTCAGTCTTAATACATATATTTCTATTACTACCTTAAAATTAGGAGTAAGATTATCCATAACACATCCAAATTCTGGAAAGTCTAAAGTATAGCTATTGATAGGACAAGGTACTGCAGAACTTGCCCATACAGTTGTTCCTTCAATAATAGTAGCTAAATACCATTCCTGAATTTCTCCTGGTTCAGGTTCTCGGTATAAACATTTTTTAAGAGTCAATCTAATATTTCTTATGCTCACTTTGGCACATCTATAAGTGGAATTTTCTATATTGTATACTCTTTTATCATCTACATAACTCAGAGATTTAAGTTTATTAAGTAACACTCGTCTTCTTAGTTCAGCAACTAAGAGAAATCGTTGTGACTCTACTTCTTCAGTACTTGCCATAAATTCTTTTAATGATTGGCATAATTCTAATGCTTTACTCGTTTGATTTATGATAGTCTGTTGAATTTGAACTTTTGTAAGGAGATCTTTAGCTTGTTCTCTTTTGGATTCATCTTTTGGTAGAGAGTAATCAAATTGGTCTGTGGGATTCTGTATGACTCTTTCTCTAATCATTGCAGTTCGAAGTCTTCTTTTAATTCGTTGGGATAATGATCGATAAAATTTAGTTGTACGATCAAAAGTTCTATCAAGAGCTTGATTATCTTGTTGTTGAGGTACAACACATTCATCTCTTGCTCCTCGACCATAACGAATTAATAATTGTTTAATTTTTCTGTAAAGAGGTGTTGGAATCTCTGAGATGGAATCAGAAACATTCAAACGAGGATTTGATACATCTTGAGCGTTTCCATTAGATATTGTACTTTTACACAATAGCTCAGGTTCTACAGGATTATGTAAAAAATTTTCAATTCCAGTAGGACATTTTATTATAATTGGCCGGCCTACTAGTTGTTCTTGTGTCATTGGACTATTTTCAATAGTAATTGGTGAAATAGTGCATTCTACCTGAGGCGAATTTTGATTACTGTTAGCTTTATTTACATTTTTAGGAGATCCTTTTCTTGTTGATTCCAAATTTGGTTTTCCAACACGACGTGGAGGTTTAGGTGGTGTCTGAAAAATTTCTTCTGGATTTTTAGGGATGAGTTTACGAAAATTCTCATTATCTTTATTATCATCAATAAGATGTGGAGAAGGTTCGAACTTGATGTCAGCTAAGATTGGATAAATTCGACTACACATTTTGATGACCTCTCGAGTATTGAGAGTTGGAGTTTCCTGAATTCCTAGTGCTGCTATGTCTACATTCAGGTCATCGATCGTTGCCGGGAGCGAAGTTATTACAGACTCGTTGTTTCCTTCCGTTTCAATCTTCATTGTCTTGACATTGGATTGTGGATTTGTTGGAGCCTTTGAATTACCATCGTTTCTTTGCTGGCCTGATTTATCATCGATAGCACAAAGTATGTTATATTTCCTCTTCAAATGATCATTGCTGTCTGCTGTTCCTGCACTGTAATAATTTATACGGTTGGAGGCACGTCTTAACATACGCTGAAAAAAAAATTTCATTTGAAATCAATTTAAAAATAATTCATTTGTATTCTTCTAAAATGATAACGTGAAATGTAACAATAAATTTCACCAATAAAATATTTAAGAAATTAATCATCAAAATCAATTGTATTTTTAATCAAAATTTACTTACGCCAGTAAAAGAGCTTGAATTATTCGCCATTAATATTACTCTAATTTATTTTACATACGAAGATTTCGATAGAATGGAGACAAATCATAGAAACAATCATGGAGACAACTGAAACGTAAACAATGCAGGTCAATGAAATAATACAATCATTCCGTTCAAATGTAAACAGATTCTATTTCTGTACTTTTATTTTCCCGCCTTTCTTTTAATTATACCCCAGCGCTCCACTTAACTCTTAACCTCAACTACGGAGTGCTCTCAATCGGGGTCTCAATGTTTACTTTCATTTCTTGACAATTAATTAACAAAATAAATCATTATCACAATGTTTGAAGCTCATAATTTATATGCTGAACATAAGGATTTAATTCATGACATTGCATATGACTATTATGGACAGCGAATGGCAACATGTTCTAGTGACCAGTTTGTTAAGGTTAGAGCTGTTTATATACTTATTGTAAACATCAACAATGATTGATTATTGATTTAATATAATGATATTAAAAATTTATTATAAAAATTTAATTTTTCATTTAAATATTATGCTTTTAGGTCTGGGATGAAGATGAACATGGAAATTGGCGGTTATCAGCATCCTGGAAAGCTCACAGTGGTTCCGTGTGGAAAGTAACTTGGGCACATCCCGAATTTGGTCAAGTTTTAGCCACATGTTCTTTTGATCGTACTGCTTCAGTTTGGGAAGAAATTGGTAGATTTCTTATTATTTCCATCATTTTTAAACATTAATTATCAATTCCAAATAATACTTTAATTTCAAAAAAGCTGATAGAAAATCTTTTTTTTTTTTTTTAATAACTAACAAACAATTAAACAATTTAAATATTAAATTAATTTTAGTGTGATTAATTTAATTAGTTCAAGATAATAATTAATTATTAGTTATTATTTATTAATTAATTTCTTTTATAGTAGGAGGAAGTGCAGGTCCTGGAGAGCGTGGTATGCGCCATTGGATTAGACGTACAAATTTAGTGGACTCCAGAACATCTGTCACTGATGTAAAGTTTGGTCCAAAGACATTAGGATTGGTTTTAGCAACTTGCAGTGCAGATGGAGTTATTAGAATATATGAAGCTCCAGATGTAATGAACTTGAGTCAGTGGACACTTCAACATGATATTAATTGTAAGCTTGCGTGTAGCTGTATATCATGGAACCCCTCATTGTCAAGGTATGCTACGATTTATGATCAGATTTAGAAGAAACACTATGAATCATTAAAACATAAATTAATCATTTAATCAATTAAGTATAGAATTGGAACAATTTCTTCACAAAATTCGTGAACTATATTCGTAATATTTTTTTCAAAAAATTAATCTCTATCACTGGCATCGAAAATTACTGTAAATACATAAATCAATGTCCCCTTCGTTTTCATCGCTACATTTACCCCACATTCTCGCTGGCCTTTTTGAAACTGATATATCGTTTAAATATTCCACGAACACAATAGTAACATTTAATTTATTTTTCATTATTTATGAATCGGTTTTTAATTTTCACTTCAAAAATGATATAATTTTTAAATTTTTTGTTAAATTGCTATTTTTGATTAAAGATATTACCGGTAATAATTACTTTATTTTTTATATTAATCCAACAGTGTATTAAATATAATACAGCTTCATGTTGAATAATTAAAATAATCATTCCATTATCTAAATCAGTGGAGGGTATATTTAACTTCTCTATACGCGAGAAATTAATACATTAATAATAAATACTAGCATTGAAGTGGAGCTTAAATTGAATTGGCTGTGCCATAAATAATACTTACATAGTATTGTTAGATCTTAAATCAAGATTGGGTTAAGTTCCAAAGAAACATATAAATAATATCGGTAAAAACAAATTGACTAACAGTAATCATGTTATTTAATACACAAATTTTAATAATATAAAAATACTTCGACCTACATTTTCAATATAATTGCGTGTTCTAGGGCATAAAAAATTTAACATTACCTTGGAACAACTATTAGTAATTTAAAGCTTATAATCTGATGAAAAAAATTAAATTTAATTATGGTAAAATTATTTTAAATTATAAAAATAAAATCATTTCTGGTTATTTCACTTTTTTGCATTTTGCTATTCATTAAATTTACTCTTAATGATTAACTTTCCGTAGACTGAACTTACTTCAGTTGCTCTACTACTTTGAAATATTTTTAAAAGTTTTTAACTCGTTGAATACTCCAAAGCTCACTTGAAAGAGTTGCATAAGAGAACCTTTTTAATATTCTTCAAAATAGAATTAAATGTCCAGTTGGGAAAGAATATTTTCTTCGAAATAAAAAAATCTTTAATGTTTAATAAAGTTATAAACGGATGGGTTTATGAATATTACACATAAAAATATTACCTTCATAATCGATCAGTTGGAAAATTTGAAAAAAAAAATGTAACAACTTTGTAAACTTTTGCAGATTGCATCCACCAATGATTGCAGTTGGAAGTGATGATACAAATCCTTCGGTTGGTGGTAAAGTGTTCATTTACGAATACTCGGAAAATAGCAGACGGTGGACAAGAACAGAAACTCTATCTAACGTTGTTGAGCCCGTTCACGACATTGCGTTCTCACCAAACTTGGGAAGAACTTATCACACATTAGCAATCGCTACCAAAGACGTGCGAATAATTACTTTAAAACCAATTCAGTAAGTACTTTAAATGGAATAAATTTCCTACCATGTGAATAAGATAAATATGATTACCTGAAGTGTACATTTTTTTTTACTACTATTTTTAATTTTTTTACAGAGATACAGCACAAAATGGCCTTTCACGTTTTGAGATAACGACAGCAGCACAATTTGATGATCATTATTGTACAGTTTGGCGTGTCTGTTGGAATATAATGGGGACAATTTTAGCAAGTTCTGGGGATGATGGATGCGTACGATTGTGGAAAGATAATTACATTAATAACTGGAAATGCGTTGCAGTACTGAAAGGCGATGGTACTTCAACTTTAAGTGCTGAAGTATCGCAGAACGCCACACCACCAGGACAATCAACAGGCACACAATTACCATTATCAACCACCAGGTATTATAAATTGGGATCTATTAGTCATCCGAATCAAGTTCCTTGGCACTAAATTTGTACAACTTAATTTTTTATACGTTTTTTTTTTCTTCTAATGTATATCATTTGAAATACACAAATAAATATATTGTAGTGGAATTCCATTGAATGGCAATTATGTAATCGTGATTAAGTTGTAAAAATTGATATTTTAATATTTTTTCTGTAACTTACATAACAATAAATATTTTTTGTTGATTTTGGAGTTTTTCTTCAATTATCACCTTTTGCAGCGAAGAAACAATAAATTTTGAACATATTTTTTTTTTGGCTTCAACTTATTGTTGAAATATTTTAATAGTGTTTATTTATTTTACAAAATATAAATTTACTGACGGTCAGCTTATTTAGTATAATTTATTTTACAGAGACAAATAAAATATTTAATGGTTTACATGCAAGTAAAAATCATAAACTGTGATATTTGTTGAATAATATAAATATTAAACGATGAGTTAAAACTATGAGAAAAAGTATGTTTCAAGTAAACATATGAATATGAAAAATTTTAATTATGTATGGTGACTGTATTTTATTTCTCTCTAAGATGCAAAATTAATGTTTTCCCTTTTAAAATATTTTCTACATGTTCGCTTATTCTCTATTTTCAGGACAGTAGCTATTGCAACAATGTCCGCTGAGAAATCCGTCGTAAGTGTTCCATCAATGAATAAATGGCAAACACCTGTGATAAAAGGAAGATTTAGTAAGACTGTTTGGTTGGGTAATCCGAGTGAATCGTTGCCACCACCACCAATCCCAGAATATTCCCAAGTAAAAAAATAATACTCGTTTAACTGACTACATTCTAATTATTTAACTGGTACGAAAATTCCTACATATTATCAAATTGAATGGAAGTATTTTCAATTTAGACATTCTCACAGTAAATTTATCCTGTTATTGAAATAGCAATGAAATAACCAATCACAGAGAAAATATTTGAAATTGTTTGAGCGAGAATTTTTGTATCAACAAAACTTTCATGACTCAGTACACTTTTTCAACAGTATTAAATCATTGAATAAAAACGATTATTTATTTTAAAATATTTACAATGTAAAAAAACAATATTATGCAAGTAATTAGGGATACATCGAGTAATGCTAAGCTTAGGACACGAGGTTGAATATTATTTACCATTAGACTATGTCGTTTGATGAATCATTACTTTTGTCATTTTTATTGTATTTCTTTGTTCAATCTTTAATTTGTTTAGTATATAAGATGTATAGGCAGTAAGTCAACAGATTGGTGCTCGGGTGCACTCTTATCTTTTAATTTATCGAGAGCTTTTCTCTCAGTATTGTTCATTTATCTCGTTTGAAATCAACACCCTATATATTTACATTTATTCTATTGACATCATTGATTCATTTTTAATTATTATCTTTAATTATTCGAGTAAAAAAAAGCCTCAATTTTTCAGGATTATTTATTTCTTTATATATAGTTAGACGGGATGCTCATTTTTTCTCATCATTTTCTTTATCACTTCGTACATATTTTTCACTATTTGTTTTTCTAACTTATAGGAGCTTGGGAAAATGTTTATAAAAAGATGTTTTCTAGCTACAAATACGATAAAGACTTAATTAAAATACGTATTTTATATAAAATCGTACCGCTTTGCATTGCGATTTATCTAGAGATTTTCATCATACAATTTTTTTTCTTTCATTTATCAATGCATAAAGACAAATGTGATGATGAATTTTTGTGATGAATCTACTGGTGGTAGTAACAATGATCAGATTAAAATTGTTTGCTTTTTGTATTACTATTATGAATTCTTATTTATTTATTTATTAATGATTAGTTAAAAATGTTTAACATCAACAATTGTTACTACCACGTTACACTTTATATATTTAAACTATTGATAAGAAAATTCTTTACTATCTATTATATTGTTAAGTCACAATAAATGCAAATTTATTATAAATCACATTTTGGGGGAAAATTTATCAATTTAGAATTTAATTTTGTTATTTAATTAATTAACATCAATTTTAAATGATTTCGAAAACATGATACTTAAATAACTGAATAATGGTGAACATGAAAAATAATAAAATCAAATTTTTTTTAATTAATTTAAGCTCGACTTAATATTTTTCGTAATAATAAGATTTTTATACATGAGTAGTAATTAAAAAAAATAATTAATAACTCTATAATTGATCCATTGTAAATGTATGTATGGATTTCAGTACACATTATAATAATATTAGTACACAACTCTCAAGAAAAATGAAAGCATCTAAAAATTTTCAATTAAAATCATCTGACATAACGACAGTTGACAACACTTATATATTTATTGAAGAATATAATTATCCATGAAAATAGTTATTTTAAATAATTGTTTTTTGATGTATTAATACTTCTTTATATATACTGTCGAAATACGTAACTTTATCAACAAACTTTTAACAGAAAATTTTTAGTAATAAATGTAATTCATATGATCATTCTTAAATAAATAAATAAAACTGTTTTGAAGTCATTGATTTTTTTCATTATATTATTATCGAATACTCTTAAGAATTGTTTTTTTGTTTTACTTCTGAATTTAATATTTTCAATTTAATGATCTTACTCGAAAGTTTTCTCGTCGATTTAATAATTTCAATAAATGATATTTATTTCATTTTATAATATAGATATTTTCGTTAAGTTTCCAATTCATTACATTTATATCAATTCCATCAAAGGCAATTAATAACAATATTTTTTTCAATCAATTTTAAATGATATATGATTAAATAAATAGCTACGATGTTGTTCTCATAAATTTAGATTTAATTTTAGTAAAAATACTGAATTGGGACAACCAATTATGTAATAACAAACATTTAGTAATGAATTTTATTGGAATTTTACATATTTCACGTTTCACTTAACCATTTAAAATCCACGTTCATGAATTAGATTATTTATCTACCGTAAAGAGATTTTCTTTATACACATTATACATATTTTGTTGTACCAAATGTTACAACAAGTTGAATTGAGAAAAAAAATTATCTCTCAATAAAAAATTTCAAATTAAATCAAATTTAACGTCTTTTTCAAAGATTATTGATAATATTAAAAATCAATATCTATCGAAGAACCTCTCAATAATATTAACATTGGAAACTTTTTAATAGTTTATATCATTTTATAGAAAAATTAAAAAAATATTAATCGATACATGTAGAAAGCACTTATATTACTCAGTAGAATTAATTTTTTTTCTCAATATTGAATAGAATTAAGCAGATCGATTTCACCCCTTAGCTAGATATTCATTCATTGCACGGCATTTACAATACTAATAATATTATTTAATATAATAATAACAACAATAATAATAATAATAATAATAGTAGTAGTAGTAGTAATAACTGTTATTATCTACTTGATTTTTTTTTCTATACAACTCGGTTTCCGTGATGGAAAACTGAACGATATGTCTCGTTTATCTTTTTTTTTTACTTTATTATTATTATTAATTCACATTTCTCATTAATTTTCTTTTTTCTTCTGCCTTATTTCGTTTTATTAATATAATATAATTGTTACATTTTTTTAATATACTTTCAAACTGTCATCGAGTCTGCTTGATTCCAAGTAAATATTTAAAACTTAAATTTAGTGTTAAATTTAATACACATGTGTATATTTATATATATATATATATAATATTTGTATTTATTATTTATATTTATCCATTAAGTAAATGTCAGTGGCGTCACATGGTGATTTGAAATAAATTTAACGTCATTAAAATATATATGGGCAAAGATGAATAATGAAGTGCTAGAAATGTGTATAAAATATTCAATATTCAGAGTATTTACAAGACATTGAAATATTATTTGTTATATTCACTCACTCATACCGTAATTTTTGTCTTTTAATCTCTTTGTTTTGTTTATTTAAAAATGTTTTTGTTGTTTTTTTTTTTTTTTTGTTAATTAATAATAATTATGACATAAATTTTATTTTTGACAAAAGTAGTTAATTAAGTCCTTTGTAAATGTATAAAAAGGGCACTTGATCGAACGTAGAGAGGCAAAAAATATAGGACCTTCGGTTTACTTACCTCTTGCGACGAAATAAATCGATCGGCGCCGTAAAACGCGACTTGGAAACGTGTGGAAGTGATAGAAAGAAGGATAAGGCTGACGAGCGAGAGATCTTGATCAAATAGTGAATATTAGGTCACACGGAGCTTTCCCTCTTGGTTACAGGACCGCTAGGCAGAGTCATTGTCGTTGTATTTGAGTCCTTACCGCCTTGCACGCATCTCTGTTGAACTCTTGTTGATGTTTCTAAATCTTTACTTAGTATCGTAGTAGTGCTAGGGCACGTCCGAGTCGCTACTCCCAGACTTGTGTAAAGAACGGGCGGATTCATTGTCATCGTCAACGATTGATGACCACCAGGATTTGGCCAATGTTGCCTTGGTAGTGTACACATTCCTGTACCGTATACTTGCTCACCAAGCATAGGTTGAAACTGTAAATAATTATTTTATTTGTTAATTACATTAGCTAAACAATCAACATTTCAAATATTTTTTTAATTAAATACTAAAATTATTTTGGCTTTTTTCATGAACAATATTAGATTAGTTTATTTTTTTCGATTCATTTTAATTGATAAAAGTAGTATATCCTGAATTTGTACTGACATCAGACTAGCATCATCTAAATCAGTAGTTAAATGCTTAAAAATTTTTAAGCCTCTATATCTCTCTAGTTAGTATTTTAGTATTAAAACAATTGAACTATTCCATTCCAATGTTGGATAGCTTCAGATTATTTATATACTTTTATTTTACTTGTAATCCTCCTAAATAATTCATAATTTTCCCTTTAGTTTCATCATCGTTCTAAAATTATTATTACTTTTATTCATAAAAATAGAAAAAATCTTTTTCAACAAATTATTATTAAAAAAAATTCCAATTTTGTTTTCAATATTTCAAATGGAGAATAAATTTTTATGTTAGAAATGCAGTTATTTCATGCCAGTCATCGATCCCAGAATTGCTACATTTCATCCAACGAGCAAATTCTTCACTGTCCTAAATAAATAAAATGTGGGTTATTTTTAACAGATTTTCTTTTCTACTTTCAAAATGATATCAAAACTTCTCTATCACATTACATTCACTCAATATTAGCACTTGATATATTCCCAAAAGATAAACCAAGACTACTGTGGAGCAGATTAAATATTAGCACTTTATTTTACAAAAAAAATTCGTCATCTTAGATATTTAATTTTTGAATTTATAAGATCTTTGCAATTATAAAAATGAATAGAGCTAATAATTGAATGTCTGAGGCGTAACAATTCTTTCATCAATTAAGTGTTAATTTCACCCCTGCTGCTAGTAGCTCAAAGCTGCCCTACATAGGGGAGTCTAGGGTAATATAGACTCCCTATGAGAATTATATAGCTTTATAAATGATTCGGAAGCTTAGTACTATTATACCCAGATCTATCCAAATATAACATTCTACGCATTGCTCATTTAATGAAAGATTGTCATAACTCAGAGCTTACAATTGTTTGGAAAAAAGTTTTGGAATATTGATTATTGTTATAGTTTTATTCAATTGAGTTTCTCCGAACTTTCTTAATCTTTCAACAAGTGTAATATTTATTTCACATTTACCATTTATTATTTATTGTTTTTGTCTCTTAGTATTTTCATGATACATGACACAGTAGTTCTATCCCCTTCTAATCCGTCAATTAATAATAATTAATAAAAAAAATTAGATTAAAAGAAGAGCATTAAGGTTTGATTAATTTACTTGATTTACATTAATTAATGTTAATTAAAATATAGTAAGCTACTTTATTTAACATTAAGCATCATCAGTGTTTCATTAAAATGAAATATTTACTATTAATTAAAAACATTTAAATTATAAATTAAATAATTGAATTATTCATTCAAGAGTCTTCCTTTTATTGTATATCACTATTTTAAGGATTAAGTCAGCCTCAAATATATAATTCTGCTCTTTCATGTTACTATGTAGATGTACTATTCTAGAACAATTACACCACTCAACTGCTAATTTGTATCTGACATGTTACGTATCATATCTGACCGATTTCAGTGTGCTAATATATGGAAATTCTAGTATTACTTATGTGTTAGTTCGTGGTATCAAAATTACTGCTTTCTAGATTTATCCAACTGTTAGTAGTTTATAACTTATTTGAATTAATATTATAATCGATATTGTTGTTGAAAAACTGTCTGATTTTGATTTATCATGACAAGAATTTTTTATGCCAAACAAAACATTCATTTATTAGGAAAAGTATGGAGAAGTTAATTTGATTGGAATGTGAAGTTGGTTATTTGAAAAAAAAAAAAAAGAAGTAAAATCATGGCGAATTCATTAGTGTGCTTGTTTAACTTTTAGGAAAGTCAGAAATACAATTTGGTGATGAAGTTAAAAGTATTTGCATTAAAAATAAAAATAAATAAATAAATGGAATGATTTGTCATTCAAGTTTAAGTAAAAAGAAATTTTTTTTTTTTTTTTTAATTTTTCCTCTATCATTTTTTTATTTTAAGAATTTCCTTTATGAAAGCAATGATACTGTCGTGTAAATTTTTAAGATAAAAATTAAATTATTTTCTCAGCGTAGAACACCTAAAACTTGGAATGTTAAGTATGTTAGACATAAAGTACAATGGATCCTAATTATAAAGAATCATAAAAATTTCATCTTCCAACTTTACACAAGAATGATATAAGAACATTGATACTTTTCCACAGAAGTATTGTTATTGTTTCTTTTGTTTTCAAACAAAATATTCAAAATATTGAAAAACTAAACTTTACTCATAAGTGAACTTTTTATTTGTTATTAACAGTAGAAATAAAAAACAATAAAAATAAGTACAAATGATAAAAATAGAAGGTTGAATATCAAATTTCTCTGTTTCAGAAAAAATAAATAAATAGGGTAGAAAATTTTCAATTCAGATCCGAATGGCTAGAGTTTTGTAAAAAATGAATGAGCTTTGATGAGTTATAGAATATTTAAAGCTTGAATTATCTAGTTGTGATATCGATTTTTTATTAAATGCTAATAATTTAAATATGGAATAATTTTTGAAAAAAATAAATTATCCTCTTAGATATTTTTTACATAATTTAGTATTTGACAAAGATGATTAAATAAAGTTAAATGGTGAGCTTACTGCCAAACTGCTCAGAGTATTTTGAACTAATTATAAAGTATAAACTCGTCAATTATGTTGCCATGACTTGTAAAATTAATACAATGTAATCACCAAAAAAGGTCCTAGAGGAGTTGTGAATATAAAATGAAATTCATAATTAAACCATCAATTAAACAAATATAATCTTTTAACAGTTCCATTCAGAGTAAAGCATCTTAAGGATAGCTTTATTTTTTTGAAATGCTCAGTTGGAAAATTTTTTTACGATCAATTTTTTTTTTATTAGTTGTAAGCTTCTACACCAAAAACTTCACTTTTGACTTTGAGCTTACATGACTTTTCAAGAAATAATCGTATAACGATCGCTAAGAAACCACTTTAGAGCAGAAAGTACTTTCTGAACATCCTTTTATTACTTTTTTATTTAAAAAAATTTTTTAAACTTATTCTAATTTTTAAACAATAAAAAATCAATTATAATTCTGTTTCCAATTAACTACTCTTTTCCGAATGCATTTCTCTGGAAATAATATCTCCAATTCTAAGGTTATAAAAAAATATTTTTTGTAAAAAATTGTATTATAAAATAATTAAAGGTATTGCTCAAAAATGAAAGTTTTCGTTACTATACAACAATTTGTATAGCTTCTTAGTATTCAAATTAGTCTACAACCACCTAACAATCAATAAAGTTATAAAAGAGCTTCTGTAATTCAACTCTCCTTCCTCCAAAAATCTTTAACTACTATTATCTATGATAAAATCGAAATTTAATCTGATGGAATAGAATAAAATCACCGATAGTCAACCTTCAACCACAAGTAAGCTTCCGATGTTCAATTTTGGTCTTACTCTTTTACCATCACTACTAGTTAGAATGGCAAATTGAGGGCAGACTATTGATGACTTTATCCTATTACATGTTTATTTAATGCATTTTACCAAGGATTTCAGTAATTTTAAAGTCTGATAATCCAAACAGCAGGGTGAATGTTCAATAGCCGATCGGCCAAGTTCGATAATTGGACATATTAAACTGATAGAAATCGACAACCTTTTTACATGAATTTTCTCTTCACTAATCAAATATTATTGCCTAGTCAACCATTGGTGCATTCACTTTATTGCTTTCAATAAATCAAATTAAAGCGACACTATTGTAATGAAAAATTGCTGAGGGAAAAATCATTTGCCAATAATTACTTACACTTTTGTGTTTTGCTGACCCCAAAGCAGTTAATTCACGTAAAGGCATGCCACTTCGGATAGTACAGTAACCAACGTAATTCCCAGGCGCTCCAAGAGACTGTGATTGCATGGTTGGTTGATCAATCAAACTTCGTGAGGGTGAAGTGTCTATCGTTGATACTGCCTGAAGCCGGCGTTTCCTTACATATTCCGTTGGTTCTTCTACTGGGTCTTTAACAAATCCAAGGATTTTTTTTCAATTAAAAAACTTTTATTTTTTTTCCCAATGATAAATATATTTTTCTGTCATAAAATGGCTGTTGAATGCTGATAAAAAAATCATTACAAGGAAAATAAAATTTTTTCAAGTCTGTTTTTTCATGAGACTCTCACTTGGAGATAGTTTGAAAAAATTTTATGATGATAGATTGATATATTTTCAGTAAGTACTAGAATAACATAGATGATCTTACTAGAAACTTGTTGAGGAATAATATCAGGATTTTTATCATCCCCTTCGCTCAATTCTCCACTTGCTTCAAGAGACTTTCCAAATGCACTCGTATGTTTCTCTTCGGTTAAAAGATGACATCCTTCCCGAAATCTTAATTCTCGTTGAATTGGTATTACTTTGGTATTCTTATCATGATCCTCTAAATGTGGTTTTCCCTGATCATCTGGATTACCATTTTGAATACGTAGTACTATCATGACGATCACTGCAACGATTACGAGAGCTGCTACAACACCGATCATAACACTAAGCATCGGTGTTAGTTTCACATGATGTCGAGTCCTCTCTGTAATAATAAAAAAATGAATATAGATTTCGATAAAACTTCTGGTTTAATATATTATTTAAATCCAATAAAAAAAAAATCAGCTTATATCGTCACATTTTATTTAACTTCATAAGAAATTTAAATTTAAAAATTAAAGAAGAGATCGTATAAACCAGAATAGCTCGTTCTTAAAAGTTAAATGGTATTAATAAATTAAGATAAATTGATTAATAATAAAGAATATTAGAGGTGAAAATATTTTTTTTTTGTTATGAATTTAGGTCAAAACGTCCTTTTTTATTTTCGTACAAAAATCAAGTGCTGTTTATTACCACTTAAAATATTTTTTTCCCAATAGATCTCAATTGCATTGTGATAAGTGTACTTGGAAAAAAATTAGATGTTATAAAAAAGTAATAAATCGAATAATCAATTACTTATATAAGTTGATAAGAAGTTTTTAATAGAAAATTTTTATAAAATAATTTATAATTCATAGTAATATCTTTGTACATCTCAAATGTTTATATTTACGCAAGAAATATTATTATTATATAAAAAAATTTAATAACTATCAGCAATAATTTTTTTCTATATTAAAGTAAGTTTAATATCACAACTAATTAATTTTTTTTTTCAACCAAACTGAAGTTCTATGACCATTGAAGAATTTTTTAATAAAATTTTAATATCAGTTTAGATATCGAAACTAATAAAAATTTAGTACTAGAAATTTTCATTTGAATATATAAAAAGAAATGTTCAGTTAAAAAAAAATGTCTTGTGAAAAAATATAATTTAAAATCTCTCAACATTTAATTATTCATTACTTTAATAAGTAATTAGTTTTAGAAAAATGGAAGAAAGACAAAATAATGCATAACTTAATCTCGCTTCAAACTCATAAAAAATTAGTGAGAAAAAAAATCTTGAAGCTTTTTTAGTCAGAAGAATTTTTTTAAATGTTTAAAAAAAAATGCGGGAAGGATTTCTTTTTTTTTTTTAATTTTGAATTTTTCATTTTTTATCCATTAAAATATTCAAACATTTTTAATCGAAAATTTTATTCTACAATTTTACAGCCTTCCATAAAATCCATACGTTTTGCATATTTCGTGCTCCTTTTGATAGAAACAGAGACATTGATAAAGCAAAAAAATATAAGTATGAATCAATAATATCAAATAATGATCTTAATTGAAGCCATAAATATTTAAATTTGTCAATTGAAAGTATTAATAAATTTTTCCATTATTCATAACCAATAAAGTTTAACGACCTAAATATACATTTGAATGCTATTAAACTTGATACCGTCTGTTCGTTTGACATTACACATTTTATTCAAGTTGAACAGTAAAAAAAAAGAAAAAAAAAAGGGTACATGTGCTAAGCAAGAAATATTGACAACTTACATAAAAGTCGACTTTTTAATAAACAAAAGAAAAAGAATCATGTCGACTTACCACGTGATTTTCCGGTCTCTGATGTCAATTGTTTCTCAGGCAGTCGTAAAGTTCCAGCTTGAACAACCATGGGTTCACTTCGTCCTTTTTCATTAAATGCAAAAATACATGCTTGGTAAAGGAGTCCTGGGTCTAAATGAGTTACGCTAAATTGAGGAACTGGCGATGTTATATTAGCCCGAATTTCTTGAGAGTTGCTTTCACGCACTTCTAAGAGAAATGATTGTTGTAGGCCCCCATTAAATCCCTCAGAACATCTAACGGAGAAAGAACTCGTTGATGTATTGTGAGTAGTACAATTGTGTACCATATCAGGATGTCCAGCAGGGATTATGTGATAAACACAAGGTACGAGCTGATTACCAATGGTATTACTGGCCCAGCAAAGTAATGTACCGTAATCCAATTCGGTCATGGGAGTATAAGATACAGTTGAAGTTGTTCCAGACTTAACGATGTGTCCAGCAGCGACATCAATGCTTTCCGCAGAATTGTTGAATGTCCAACGGAATTCAACTTCCGGGGGGTTAGCTTCAACTTGACATGAGATATTAGCTTTTTCCTGCTTAGCAACTCCATGAATCTTGGTCTGGTTTGGTTTGCAGGTCGGTGCAAACATGACATTTAGGTGAAATGGAGAACTCTCGCCATCACCTTCAGTATTGTAGCCAACACAAGTATAATTACCTGCGCTCCTTCTCTCTACACCTTGTAGCACTAGACTCTGGTTGCTTATTATTATCCCCTGTGTCGTATTATGTTGAAGTGTACGTTTGTCATGCCGCCACTCGACCTTGTAAACTCCGGGTTTAGCATGTATCAAGCAGTCAAAGTAAACATCCGACCCTTCACGAATTGTGTTTCTGTTCAACGATGCACCTAGTTGAATTTGTGTTTCTGGTTTATAATGAATCTTCAAAATCCACTCATCTTTAATATACTTTATGCCCATAATTTGATTTTCGGCATGACAAGACAACAGTCTCCCTTCATCATTTTTACTAGGAACGAATGACAAAACACTTGTTGTCACATTACCGTCATCCGATGTCGTTTCATTAGAATTACTTAAACGTTGTTCATCTAACCACCAAGTGACGTGGGCTGGAGGTCTCGAACCTGAGGTAGCACACACCAAATCGCATCTCTTATCGGCTGATAGTGGTTGATTGTCACCAATTATTTTCACATTGAGAGGAGGAACTGTAAACAAAGTAACAAAATAATTTAGCTTTATTTTGTGCTAATGAAAAGCTGGCAAAAGATATTCAGAAAATTCTCAACTCAGAGAGAAACATTTTTCATTCAGAAATATGGGTCAATTTCAACTTTTATTTTAATTCTTGTAATATTTTCTGAGTGTAATGAACTAAATACAATAAATATACATACATCTTGATTACAAATGCATTGGCCGAAAATTATTTTTGGTTTTGATATATTATAGCATCAATATTCATTTACATGCTAACACGTTTTTAATTATAACAAAAAAATTTCTCCCAATAATAATAATTGAATTAAATATTTGTGATCTCATTAAAAAAAAAACGGTTGTTGCATTGAGACGTATGTTACGAATAATTTGATCATTAAATAACATTGGGAAGGGGCTTTTATCGTAGTCATTTCCCAGTAATTTCCTTTATCTTAGGTCTTTTACATGATAATAGTTTTTTGAGTGCATTTTTTTTTACTCCAACTCAGACAGTTTTATAAATATATGATGATTTGAGGTCAATAGCTCAACAAATCCTTTGAAAAAATTCAAAACGTTACCGTAATCATGTCATAAAATATGCAAAAATACAAACTGTCATCTGAGCAAGTTATTTCATAAAATAATATTACAAATATAATGCTATTAAATAATTTTGTTATCTGCAAATTAGCTTCAAAGTTTTATCGCTAATTAGTAACTGTTGAATTAAATAAAAAAAAATTAGAGAATAATATTATGAATAGGATCATTAATAATATAGTGTTTAAATTTAAACTCGAAGTAAAATGTGAGTTTTTAAACAGATATTTTAAAACATTTTCAAAACAAATGGATAAAATTTTTCATAATGTGTAACTCAATCATATTTTAGATGAATCTAATTAAATAGTATGATAATATGAATTTTTTCAGTTTAATAAATTGAAATTTTAAATTCATTATCTAAAGTAAAAATAAATTAATATATTAAAGAATTCATAATTTATTATTAAAGAGTGACTTTTAAAAAATTAATTTATCACCAAATTACTTTATTAATTGTAAATTAAATTAATCTTTTTGAATTTATTTTATAAGTTTGATAAAGCTTAAAATAAACATAACACATTCGAATCCATTAAAATATTAAATATAATTTGAAAATTAAGTGACCCAAGCTATTAAAAATATTTACAATTATCTATAATCTATAGTAAAATATAAAAATAAAGTATTGTTATTTTATAAATAAACTTACAAGTCATGTCAATCCGGACGGTTGACGATAAGGGAGTAGATTTATTATTATTGTTAGCACTACAAGTAAGCTCAGATTGTACATCTTGACGTCCTAAATTTTTTATGACAATAGTGCTCCGAATGACACCTTCTCTTACAGTCTTTTCTTCACTGGCAATTACTTTATCATTGCGATACCATGTTACCGTAGGTGGTGGTTTACCTGTATAAAAATATATAATTTATATGTCTATACTTGGATGTTTTTTCTTTATTTATGTAACACTTTAATGAACATTAAATTATAGACTAAAACTTTGAATAAAAATAGTTTATTACAGCGTATACATAATCGGTCACACTTACCTCCATGCACATTACAATGTAATTTTAGTTCAGCACCCTCTAGATAAGGTCCAACTTGCTTCTCTCTTGTGATGTCGTTTACGTCTGTTATTGAAATTTTTTTCGGTGGAACTAAAAGAATAAAATACCCCATTGGTTATACTTTCTTCTTTTGTGTAAATTTTATATTTCGTTGCAAAATAATTGCAAGAAAGTTTCAAGTTGTTTGATGTTTAAAATAATTTTGAAAGCTTTTGTGAAATAAAAATGTATTCATGATGGATTTATGATGAACATGGCTATGAAATTTGTATTTAACGCAAATATAAACCTATGAACATTCATGAACTTACATGAATTTATATTTACATATGTCAAACTATGAATTCAGCATAAATTTCCATCGTGGATCCATTAAAAGTAACATTTTTTTATTACTTTCTATGAAACAGTGTTGTACAGATAATGATTTTATTATGTAAATTCTTATAAGTGTCTTCATTTAAGAAAATTATAATCTTTATTAATATGTTACGTCATGTAACTGTTTATTAACATTTTAGCAACAAATATAAAAGCATTATTTCTCAGTTCAAATTAATATTAATTAATTTTGCTAGAACAAATTATTTATTCCTGTTCTCTCATCATTTACAAACTAGGAATTTGAACAATAATATTCATGCTCGGTTTGATAAAAATAACTCATAAAGAGCTATATTGTTAGAATATTTTAAAAATAATCCATCAGCAATTGATCTGTGTAAATGATATATTGAACGTGAATTAATTCATGCAGAAGTAATAATTCAATATCACGTTCTAAATTATACGTAGGTAAACTAAGGTGAAATGATCATCATCATTCAATCGATTCATTAATATAATTTAATTAAGGGAATAATCTTAGCAGAAATTTTGCAGTAATTAATGACATTAAGAATAATGTTGGTTAATTTTTAATAATGTGAAATGCCCTCTTTGGGGTCATTGCTCCACATAATTTTCATGTTCTGTCAACTCTATGTCAATTGATTCAGAATAATTGATGCAAGTTTACAGATCCATGACTAATTGATCCATTAGTAAAATGATCTATTATAATTTATCCATCATTACATTAAAAATTAATGATCTGTAAATCAACCATGCTATGAAAAAAAAAATTCATTTAATGATCAATTTTGGAAAATTCAAATTTTAAAATGAGACAATTTTTATGATAATATTTGGTAGTTTTTTTTTTATAATTTAACAATCAAGTTTAAAGGAAATTATATGAAATTTCCTTGAAGCAATTGCTTTGTTTGTAGCTGAATTGAGAATTTAATTATAATTAAATCCATCTAGATAAATTCAACAAATTTTAGTGACGTTAATAATCCTCAGAGACGTTTATAAATATGTGGAATAGAATTACCAGGTTAAAAATTCTTAAGATCAATTCAACTATGGATAACAATGTACAGATCCAATTTCCAAGGACAAATTCACTGGATCATTTTACATTGGATCAATGGTGAAGGGTCAAACTATTTATTACTACTGAGCCTGTTCAGAGCTGAAGTTTCAAGTCAATCTTTTAACTTTATCGATAAAATGCTTCAGTGATTGTCCAAAAGTATAAAAAAAACCAATTAATTATTCATAATACTATTATTAATTGAATTAACTATCATCAACTGTCATCATCTGTTACATTTTTTTTTTAGAAATTCTGAACAAGATTAAACTCTAAAATTCCTTTTGGAGTTAATTGAATTTTCTCTACATTTTAGACAATTATCAATGTTCATTTTGGAATGGAGTAAATTTAAAAAATAGCTACAATTATTTTTGTGTTAACCTCTAGTAAATTTTGATACCATAACGTGCATTTAATTGACCTTTAAAAGTACCAAGTTACAACATGTTTATTTACTCAAGTTGAAAAAAAGAAATGCGATAAGGGTCGAAATCACCCCTCGATAATTGTTTTTTTTACTGGGAGTGCATTGTACTTAAATACGCTTAATAAAAATCCAGTCAGTGAAGTCTGAAAAAGGAAAGTTTTACTGATTCCGGTGATTAGATTTAAGCCAATTTAAGCGTGTATTATCTTTTAAATCGCATTGAGATAAAAAAAAATATCTTTGATACTTTTAAAACCCTTTGTATCTTGCAAAATTACTGAAAAAATAGTCAACAAAATTTATTTCACATTTCAAAGCTGTCTCTAGGGGCTGATAAATGCCCTTATTGTCAATCTTTTTTCCAGCAATCTTTAGTGACAATAAATCAATGATATCATGGATAAATCAATAAAAGTTATGATAAAAGTAATAAATATTTCTTCTGGTATAGAAATTTTGTAACATTTCTCTTTTATGTTTATATTTCCGAAATTATTACTGTAACGAGTGACGCCTACATAAAGAAACCGGAAGATGTAAAAAATGTCATTTAAACAAAATTGTAGTTATTATGTATGTGCATGTGCGGAAACAGAAAGTGCATGTTTCAAGAAATTATATTTTTTTATCAATGACATTTGTTTCGTTTTGTTCAATTTCCTTTATATTATAAAATTACTTTTACTTTGATATCAAAGTAAACTTAAAATAATTTCAATTTTTATTGTAAATTTTTAAGTAAACAATTATCTGGTGAATTGCTTTTATCGTATGTAAAATTTCCAGTATTTTCATTTTAAACATCAATCAATTTATTTGAAATGCATGCATGTGGGGTAAATCAGACATATGTGCTTCACAATTTATGGAATGAATAAAACTAGTAATGATATAAAATAGGGTTTTATGAGAATACAAGTCGCATTTTATTGATCATATATAATACGTTACTGATATAATAGAATGGAATGTGGATTTTAAGGCTTACATTTAAAAACCAATTTGCATTGAATTCATGTATTATAAATGATCAATTTTTACTTTTAATTAATCCCTTTCTTAACAAATTTTTAATATAAAACCATTAATTGAGAAACCCATCGTTAATTTTTTCTTCTGTCATATCCCTTTTTCATCTATTTTTTTTCGTACACTTCGTAATCAGAAAGTGCTTTGATCATAGAGTTTAAGATCGGAAATCTCTCTAGCGTCGTCTACAGCATGTCAATACTCATTTATCTCACGTTGATTAATAATAATAAGTTTTAAAGTAATCAAAAATTTATAAAAATATTACACATAATATTTATCTAAAGAAATAACTAAATAAAATTAAATATTATTTTTTTTTATTTAAAAATGATTAAATCTTTGTAGATTTGAACTTTAAACTCTAAATTAATTAGAACTCATTCTATTCAGACCATTTAATTCTAAACTGGTTATATTAGATCTGATTAGGTATAAAAAGTTTTATAATTGGGATTTAATTAGATCCTAGGGTTTCGTATCTGATTAGATCTAGACATATGTTAAATCAGATAAAAATGATCAGACGTGTGTTGTTTTCTCGATATTTTCTAGAATTACCAAGAGATCTTTATTTTCTGTAGATCTATCAGTCTTTTCTATGTTTATTGTCAAGCTCATAAGTCTGATTTACTCATCATAAAAATGATAATACATTGAAAGCATGAAAAACTTACCAATGACAGTGAGATTAACTTTGTAATTACGTGTCTGTCCAATAAGAAAATCCACTCGACACCTATAAATCTCAGCATCTTTTTCAACAATTGGATTGATTTCAAGTTTAGCTGGTTTCTGATCAGTTCTAAAATATGCCCTATTGGAGAAGACTGAATCATCGGACCATCTTTCAGCGGTGCTAAAATCTCGGCCTCTCACATCAATGCTATAGACCGCAGCTCCTAAATCATTTCGGTACCAAAGGATTAAATGAACTGAATCGCCATCATGATTGGTGGATATGTCACAAGGAAGATACGTAGGATGTCCAACAATGGCAACAACATGAGATATTGGAACTGAAACATAAGTAGAAGAGACAAAGTCAAGCCTTTGACATTTAAAAGCAGAAGATCGGCAACAAGTATTCTCTCATGGTATGTAATACATGGTAGCTTATAGATATATATCCTCTATTTGAGCTTCCGCAGTTTCTGGATAACGGATGAGCAACGAATGGCGAATAGCGGTCATGCGCTGTGGGTTATCGATCGACGTGTTAGTCCATACACGCACGTATAGCAAGGAAAAGCCTATGAACACGTATATCCTAGAGAAGTGGAGAACTATACCGTCATCCGATGTATTGTTTGCCCGGCCATGTATCGTGCCGCTGAAAATCAGTGTGGCAGGTTTCACAATCGATTAAGATCAATCGGGTTGCAAAGTGCTGCACTCGTATCACGTTTTCTAGACACCGACGGTACAGAAGCGTAGGTGGGTAATGCGATAACATTATTGTCGTTGAAAAGCTCTAACGTTGTCTGTTAGCCTTTTCATTGGTTAATCAACTCGCGTGCATCATCGTGGTCACATCACCGATAGTTGCGGTATGCTTTTAGGATATCATGCGGTATATACACTGCCGCAAATAAATTTCCTGCCTGTTACATTGAGATTAAATGCTATTAATTTGATTAAGTATCATTTTTATCATTAAATAAAATATCAAACTTTATAAAATGCATCAACACAGTTATTTTGATATTTATCTCATAAACCTACTTGTATTTTACAGCCTATTAAATAGTCAATGATATATCAATTCATGCTCTTTATTTACTCCAACATTTTCCCTACTTTATTTGTTTTCTTCAATCACTTCCTTATACTGAAACTTTGATCAGTTTTTATTTTTCATTTTTCTATTTTATTGCAAAATCAACTTTAATGTTGGTATCATTTTTTGATATACCAAGTTAAGAAAGTCCAACTCCTGATCCAAGACTATTAAACAAGTAAACTAGTGTACAACTAAACTGATGTTTGATCGCGCATGAGCTTTCTTATGATCTTATATAGCTATTGTATAAATCTATTTTTTCCGGACGCTTACACATCTGTTAGGATTCTTTGTATTTTATTGAATATATATAGACCCGAGTAAGGTGATTAAATGTATTTAAGATAATACTCACTGTCTTTAACACAAAATGATCCAATAATCCACAGTGAGAGAAGAGGAATAATGAGGGCTTCATCCAAGTGTCTCGGGTTTCTCATGCACCTCGACTTCCGTAGACACAGCTGGAAATTAATCATGATCGTCTGACGTTTTAAACTCGTGCATATTAATCATTCGACAGCATTCAATCACTGTATTATTCGATTAGTCATGACAAATATTGATCTAAGATTCACTATAAAGAAAATAACTATTGAAAATTTATTTGATTATTTTCACTGATATTTTTATTGTACAGGTAGGCGTTTATATCCAAAGGGATTTGTGTTACTCGCAGCATTCGAACCGACGGCTCTATCGAGCGGTTACAGGTGGGAAGCCCTTCGTCTGCTCACAACGATACCATTTATCAGAGACTCTTCTAACGTTTTCCTCTCGTCTGCTTGAGCTCTTGGCCTATCGACCATTCGATTCGATGCAATTATTTTCACAAGAGAACTAGAATCTCAAGGCACTGGAGCTCATTGAGAGCTCCTTTTCTAACTCTTTTGAACATTTTTGAAGTGATCATACTTCATTTCTGCTGATAAAAAATTCAACCCTTCATTTAACAATGCTTCCACTTTAGATTTACCACTGAATCTTTCAATAACCTCCATTTGCGAATAATTTAATCAATTAAATTTTTTTTATTGTTGATGAACAATCAAACTTATCAAGATTTCAACTTCTAATTTCACACAACTAGTGATGAAAAAAAAAATCAAATTTTTCTCACTTTCTTTTATCAATTTTTATTTTTAACACTTGTTCTTAAGCTTCTTTTTTCTCTTCTTCAATATCAATTCTTTTCACACTTTATATTTCTTTAGCTTTTTTTTTTTTGACAAATTTTCCTATTGTTCACTGCTTGCACACAGAATCAGTTATAAACTGGTAAAGAAAAACTGGCTTGATCGACAGTTGTTTCCCAATGAAAAGATTTATTATTTTTCTCGCAATAGAATGCGCGTTGCGCTGTAGTTTGAGCGACTACATGCAGCCGCCATCAGCGAGATTTCTCTCTGCTCTCTAACACCTCTTCTAACTCACTTCAACTTGAGCTTTATCTCAGTAGCTCTTTCTCTATAGTCGTCGTCAAGTCGATCGAAAAGTACCATGATATTGTAGTACGCGGGCGCGAAACTCGACTTTAACTCGCATGCGTATTGAACCAGCCGGCTGGAGTACGAGCCCTCGAGCTCCAGCTAAAACCATTCCAAGCTGGAGATCAAAGCATCTAAAAGGCTCATTTTGTATACGCAAAATTCAAAAATACTCCAAAAGCTCACGGCTATCTATATTAACACAAACTCATTGCACTCAAGCTTCTTCAGTTCTCATTATTATTATTATTAATTATAATTGTTTCATTTAAATTATACTCATTTTCTCTAATTAATGATGATGCTGTTAATGGTTGAAAATGGTTTTGGCTATTCAATTATATTATAATCAATCATTGAGCTGTAGATATTAGCATGAAAATGCTGCACGCGATAGGTATCAATTGGATCAACAAATATTGACTGATAAAATCACCCCTAACCACATAGATTATTATCACAAGAGCTTCAACACCTACATCCCCTAGACAGTCGGTAACAGTCAGTTCTACAAAAGATAAATGTTTGAAAGGAGTTGTGCAGTCGATGCAACCCCTCAGACTTGTATTATCAAAGAGTTCTAAGTTATCTCAGTGGTAGCGCCACTTTTTTGTTCTTTTTAATTTTAACTCGCCTTTATATTCCATCAAACCTCTATTGTTCGCTAATTCATTTAATTAAAATTTGTTAATTAATTTCAGTTAATTTAATTCTCATCTTACCTGGTTATTTGAAAAGGTTGATTTGCTGTAGAGAAAGATTGATAAATTCAAAGGGTGCGTTTAGCTGTACTGATATGACTTGGAAAGAAATATTATATAGAGTGAACGCAAAGCTAATTCAAGTACCACTGACTGATATGTATTCGCAGCATTTCTATCCCCTTCAAACTTAATTTTCAATAAAATTTTCATCATGAATTTTTTTCAGAAACTTTGCTCCCTTACTCTTGTGAAAAAGTTTGGACAACTTGGAGGGATCAAGAAGTTTGACAGGAACATGTGTTACCATAAGTTTGTTTTAATCTGAGGGGAGATATTTAATAGAGTGGAAAATTTTTTATGTTAATTTTTCAAACATCTTTCCCTCACTCACTTAACACTGTAGTGAACCCAGTAAATGTGGCTAAAAGATAAAAAAAAAATTTTGTTCAATAAACTAAATGGTCATATCAACAAAGAATTAATAAAGTGTCATTAAATGATGATGATGATTGAAAAGCAGTTTTCTATGATGACCAGGTCAATCAATAATTGGGTAATTAAAATTATAACTTACCCCAAATATTTATGCATTATATCATCTACCATCGATTCATTTTAAATGATGTTCGTCATTAATTATAATAATAACTCCATTTATCTCAACTGAATGTCATTTATGATGTGATTTATTTTCACATAATTTAATTTCTCATCAAGCATTAACTACTTTTTAGCCGAACAGTCGCTACTCACAACAAAATTAAACTGTCCATAGAGACCTCCAGGGCTATGTCTATTCACACTTCACTTCACATCTAACTTTTTTAGCTCCATACAGAATATTATTTTCCCTCTCTTCTCATAATAAAAATTGATTCAATAATTACCCATATGTATTGTTTCTCAAGCAATTAAAACTTGTTGAAAACAAATGGGAAAAAAGTGTATAAAAACTTCATACTTCATGTACAGTATGGTAGTAATTACATCCTATTTTTCCAACTATTTTTTCCTGAATACATATCAACTCCAGCATCAATTAACTTTAGAAATATACCACATACACAATGGATTCAAATATAAAAGTTCAGTTGAATGAAAATAAATTTAATTTTTTTAAAATAATTGAGTTTTCCAAGATTGAATTCACAAAATCGCAAAAGCTTTTTTACCGAATATCTCAACCGTCCTAATTAATTGGAAATGGCCTTTAGACAAATCAATGGCAAGCCATATTAGATTTGGTACCTTTAGAATATATTGAAGTACTTATATTACAATAGAATGATGGGATTTTGCTGGAGTTTTCGGTAATCTTTGACGTATGATACATAATGATGCTGAGTCATCAGCACATACCACATCATTAATTCATTTTTTCATGATGAAATTTGGAAATTTGTAAAAGAATCAGAACTATTCTAAGTATTCTTAACAATTTTTATTACGAGCTTGAAGATGTAGAAGAAAAGAAAATCTTTTTACGATATACCAAGAAAGCTGAAAGTTTTTATAAAATATTTTTTGGAATGTGTATAGTAAGCTCTGTTAGTTGGTATACATTTCCTTTCCAACGATATCTTATTGCTCGTAAGTAACAACTCTAAAAAAGTAGAAAGTAATTTTATCTCACGTAAGTGTTTTATGTTTTATATTCATCTTTGTGTGTACTGTATTATTATTGTATTCTGAAGTAGTTTTAACAATACCATATCGTGTATGTTCATTTATTAATGTTTCAACAACAAAATAATTTATTTACGTTTGTATCAGTCAAATCCCATTGATGTACAATAGCATTTGTTATGGTACTACTTTTGAAATTACTGTCACTACAGTATTTCATATTTGTCGTCAACTAGATATTATCAGTCAAAAAGTACAAAATCTATCTTTAAAAATGAAAAACAATAATTTCCGAACTTTTTTTTTGTGACTTGATTGGATAACATTATTAAGAAATAAGGTTCGTAAATTATTTACTACATTCAATTTTAAAACAACTTTATAAAAATAATTTTTATTTTTATCTAGAATAATGAAGTCTATCAATGATGCATTTCAAATTATTATGATGATTGAACTCATGGTTTTCATTTTTCTCATTGGTGTATTGTTTTATAATATAATCAAAGTTATATCAATTGTTCTTTATATTTTGTAGTCAACATATTATGAGTAGTGTAAGTGAATGATAATTTTTTTTTAGAATTCCGACAATGCTGATCTTGTAGCAGTTTTAGGAATATTTCCAGTATCAGCACTATTGTTCATTTTCATTTACTATTTTTCGGGTGAATGTCTCAAAACAGAAGTAAATCGATTGGTTACATATAAAGTTATATAATTAAAAATACTCTCAATATTAAAAGGTAAAATAAAAGAGGTAAGCAATTTTTCTAATTGAAAACTACAAAAAAGTTCTATTGTAGAGATTAAAGTTTCAATATTAGTATTCTTATTTTTAGAAATAATAATAAATTATTATTAATTAATTGACTAATTAATTAGATATTAATTAAGAGAAGAGTTGTGAAAAAATAAATAATTGTATAGGATTATTAAGATTACTATTTTTTATTGCGTTAACAACACTTGATTGTTACTTATCTCCTTGAGTATAAAAATACGTGTATAATTTCTTAGTATCTAAAAAAATGTTTGCACATTATGAATAAAGTATTTACGTGTAGCATAATGTATTTAGCTATTATTTTTGTAACACGTATTTATGCTTACGTTTGGTAATACTACAAGTTTATATTCAAAATGAAAAAACAATTTATCAATTTTTGTGACAATATTTGAGCAAATTACAGCATCAACGAAGTCATTCTTATTAATTTATTATTTACTAGTGATAATAATTAAATCACTAATTTACATTAATTAATATCATGTCAATTGCATGAAATTAAAACAAAAAGTTTTTTATTTATTTTTCCAACTAAACTAAAAATAATAAAATTTATTTAAAAATAATTATCTTCGATTGTTGAGTTTTGATGAAGAATTGACCTCGTGACGTGAAAAGGAATAATTATTATTTTTTAATGGCACCCTGAGTTGAAGAAGCACGGTCTGAGGAATTAAATCATGTAATTTCACGAGTGTGATGCCCTGGTAGGGTCTTTTTTAACTGGTGAAGCCTTTGTTGGTGAATTTATTTTATAGGCATTGCCTTTAATCTCAGAAGGATGTCGATGTGTACTCGTTGACGATTTCCTCGGTGGTTTTGAAATTTGCATTGCAGATAATCCACTTACGGGATATTTAGTCCTACTCGAGGTAGTGCCAACGTTAGTATTATTACTTCTCGAAGGAGAATTAACATTTTTTGAATTTGATGAAGCTGCTGAATTCTCTATTGGATGCTTTGGCAATACGAAAGCCTTAGTTTGCTTCAGTAAATAACGGTCATTGCAGAGAGCCGATATGAGAGGCAAATCAAGGTTTCTACTCTTCTCTCGAAGAGTTCGTATATCAAGCATCCCATCTTCCTTTCCTTCTTCAGGCTCAATTACGGATGTAACTGAATTTGATATGGAAACTTGAGATGAAGTTCCTGATGATGAAGAAGGAAGCGGTTGATTTTTTTCTAAATTCTGAAACATAAAAAAAATCTTAATTAATTTAAACGATAATAAAAATGATTAAGTAAAAAAATTTAATCTAATCTGAATTATTAAGTTTTTCAATAATTATACTTGATTTATAATAATTAATTAATAATTGTTCTTCAGATTAAACAATGTAAAAATGGATGAATAAATAAAATACTTGAATTTACCTGAATTTCATATGGAGGCGGTGGTGGTGGAGGTGGTAATCGTCTATGTTTGGATTGCGGAAGAGATTGCAGCTTGTTAGTAGTAGTAGTAACAGCAGTAGTAGTATTAGAAGAAGAAAGTGTCTCAAAACACTTGAGAATATTCTCATCGCTTCTGGTGCGTGAAAAACCATGCAAAGTATATGGTTGTACTGGGACTGACGGTTCTCTTCTCAAACTCTGACTTCCTACTGAAGACGAACACGTAGCACCGCTATAGAGAGAGCTCGTACTAGCAGCATAATGGCTGCTTAGATTCCCATGAATAGGATAATTAGAGCTGGTATCACTCAAATTTAAATTAGAAGCGTATTTAGTACTGGATGAAAATGATGATCCAGGTAAATAAGGAGTACTTCTGTAGACAACTGATGATTTATTATTAAAAGATGGATACGGAGGTGGAGGATATGATGTTAATCCTGATAATAAAGATCCTTGTTTGGCATCAATGTACTCCTGTTTAGAAACCGCTGGATCTTTGAGAGGAAACATGACATAATCAACATCAGAATAAAGCTGTTGTCTGTATTGTTCTATTTGTGACCTGGCTACTTGACTCGTATAAACCGTGGCCAAACTTGGTGGTGGTGGAGGCGGTTGCCTCGGATGAACCATTGGCGGTGGTGGTGGTGGTGCTGGAGACGCAGGAGATGTCAAGTAAGGTAACAAAACTGGAGCACCACGAGAAGCATGAACGTCCAGATAATTATTTGGTCCTACAACTAACGCAGCTACAGGAGCATGAACAGGAGTAGGTTTCATTTTATCTCCTGGATAAGTAGGCGGTTGAATTCTTGGAGGTGGTTTCGGTGCTGGACTGACTGGAGTATCAGTAACTACTGCAGTAGATGCCGTCAATGAAGAAGTTGTTAAAATACAGTTAACTTTATTGGTACCAAGAGCATTATAATTCTTCCCACTGGCCATTCTTGTGAACAAATTATCTCCAGCTCCGGGATAGAGTTTAGAGATAGCTTCTTGACATACCGAAGGAATTTCTGGATATGGAGGGGGTGGAGGCGGTTCTCGTGGAGTGATAGCATCATTTCTTGGAGGCGTGGGTGGAGGAATTTGAATTCTTTCTCGTGGTGATGTATAGGGAGGTGGAGGTGGTGGTTCTGTTCTTCTTGGGGGCAAAGGAACAAAATCTACCCGTGGAGAATTATACGGAGGGGGTGGAGGAGGCTCTCTTTCAGCTCCTGATGGTATTTTAGATCTGGAATGATTTAAGCTCAATGATTTAAAATCAATATTCGAAGGATAAGGAGGAGGAGTTGGCAATTTTCTATCATTGCTGTCCATTCTTGGGGGTGGAGCTGGCGGTGGTGGCATTGTAACATAGTCGCAGTCAGAATCCATTGAATTACTTATAGTTTTTCTTGGTGGGTATCGTCCGACTATCAAATCAGATAATTCATCAGCTGTTAACAAAGGTCCAGCACCTGGAGGGTCACTTCCATCACCTCTAAAACTTCCTGCACTTAAAATACTGTTGCTTCTTGATCTTGAATCATCGGAATGTTCTCTATTAACATTTGGTAAGCCTACAGAGTTTGTCATATCCTCATCGTCATCTTTACAAATACTATAAATTGGCTCTTGGTCATCTGGATTTGCATCTTCAGTATAAACATCACTTTCAGATCTTAATTCACTATGAATTGTGTAAAATCCTGATGTAACTGAAGCTTCATCGGTTGTAGACTGTACAGAGCTTAAGTTACAAACATTACTTGTTCCCATGGACTCATTAGCATCTTCTGTTGCCGAATATAATTCATTCATTCTTTCATCTGGAATTGCACTACTTCTCAAAGTATAAACACCACTTGTTTCACTTGCTATGTCTGTTCCAGTGAATCCTTCATCAACGTTTAATGTTGATACATCATTATTTATAAATTTAGTTGACTTTTTACATCTATCATAAATAACTCCTGGAAAATTAGTTGATTCAGATGAAACAGCAGAGTTCTGTGCTGTGTGAGAGTAACCAAGTTCAAGACTTGAATTGGCTGAGGTACGTCGTGGTCTTTGAGATACTGAATTCGTCGTTGGTGAATTTACAACAACAACAGTACTACAACTACTACTGCATTGTGATCCTTCAGTACCGGGAGTTGCATTAGTTGTAAGTCTAGTTGTCATCGATAAATTAACATCATTACCATCGATCTCGTCTACAGCCGTTGGTGATGATGGTCTTGATTGTTCCATATCATTAGGAATTGATGAGCTCGAACTTTCAGTAAGTCTTGCTAGACATTCAGTAGATGCTGGAGCTGTGTCGGGTTCATCCTCACTATGAACACGATCACTAACAATTCCTGAAGTTGTATTGGAAGACGTGCTTGAAATAACCGATATACGTTGATCTCCACGAGCACCTCGGGCTGTCATACTGAGTTTGCATCTCGCTGGATACATATAACAGTCTCGGAGGACTTTTCGCTCTTCTTCCTCACGACGGCGTGCTTCAGTAACTCGAGGCGCTATAGCCATAGAAAACTGATGGGTGTCGCGACACAACCCAAGCAGGAGCTTGCTCTTATCATCGCATCCACTGTACAGGGTAAGTTTGTCAGGTTGGTCGACTGCTCGTATCTCAAATTTTTTGCGATCAAAGCAGAGTTTGCCGATATTATTCCAGGCAAAGACTCTCGGTGTTTCCTCCTCTGTATAGACTCGCACGCCTCGAGCGCAAATTGCGAGGAGAATACGTCCTGGTCCGGCTTCGCCTTTTGTACGTCGCAGTCGATAGAGATGAGCGTTAAGCGGCGCTTCCAGGAGCACCGCTTCTCGAATATACTGGAGTTCAGCCTCTTCCCGAGAGAGACCACGATTGTCGCGGTGCTGGGAAGCAAGAATGCTGAGAACGTTGGCCTCAAGACACATGTGGGGTGGTAAGTAGTCTGATGGTTTGCAGTATCCAACGCTACCGGCGTGTGGTCGATGACGTTCTTCTGAGTAGTCACCGAGGTCCGCTTGGAGTGCAAGACCTGCGAGGATGAGCAAATGAGCAATAATCTCTTGAGTATGCAAGGGATGATGTGGGTGAAGACTCTCCACACCACCTCCATGTCTGACCACGTTATCCCGCAGTTGCAAGTAATAATGATGTCGCGTTGTTTCATCGCTAAAAAATACAATAAAATTATGTATTCAACTGTTAATACTTGAGAAATTTAATGATATTTTTATTTAAAAAATTTTCGAGTTATAAAATAATAATAAACCATGAAAAAAAATGCATCTTATTTTAAATTGTAAATAAATTAACATTCCATCAATTGTACATTTTTATCAAATTTATAGCTTGAAAAAACACTCGAAAAAGAGCTCTAAACATGATAATACCATCTACCATATAAATTCCAAAATTTTTACTTAAGTGGATTCTTTAACTGAAAATAAAATAATTACCTTAAAAGCGAAGGAGTATCGATATAATATCGAACGCGAAAATAAAGCACAAAAGCCGGTCGTCCACTGCTGTCTAGGCCCTGCAATAACAAAGAAGCACAATGATTAAATATGTATATATATATACATGAATATAATACTATCGATTAAATAATAATCTAATGTGATTATGAAAGGCGATTCCTGTATAGAAAAGAAGAATAAGATTTTTTTTTCTATGTTCCCGGAAGCAAAACAATCGATCATCGTCTATCATCACATCGATCAGATATCGATGCTTCATCAGCACAACAAAATTACTTGGACTCGCAAATGAAAGCAATTTAGTTCTTTGAATGGCCAAGAGAACGCAACCGGTGCACGCATGCCTTGAGGCGAGTCTCCCTGAGTGGAAAGCCACTTAAGAACTGGCCATCTTGAGCTCTCAACTTGATCATCTCTCGATCCATCCAACGTGGGTAATTACTCCAAATGTTTGGAAGTCCTTTTTAATAGTCTATCATCGCCCAAAATATAATTACCGTAGCACGTGGAAAAATTAATAATTCGACGGCTGTTTTCTTGACATCAAAAAATATTTAAAATCATTAACAGCTCAAGGGGACACTTCGCCTACAAGAATCTCCGCCTACATTTAGACACAAGACACTCCAAAAGTGGTAGTCAAGTCAATAAACTTCATCAGAAATTTCTTTAATAAAAATACCAACGACGCAATCACTAATAACACTACTGAAAAATAAATGATTTTTATGAAGAGAAACTTATTTTAAAAGTAGAAACATTTATTTTATTAGGTAATATTTTTTTTAGATTTTAAATTGATATTTTATTATCGTGAATAATATCCTTTTTTGACACTTAACTGCGAAAACTTTTAGATGAAAATGAGAGAGATAAGTTTGGCATTGGAATTTATTTTTTTTTTTCAAACAACTAATTTTATACGTGAAATGTTTAAGTAGTTAATCATTTTTTTTTTTTTATTAAAAAAACACTAGGGTTTTATATTTGAAATTATACTCAGATAAAATTAATAAAATTTCATAAAGAAAAGATGAAATATAATTTAAAAATAAATTGAGCATCATTTCTTTTCTAATAATGACTTTTTTTTCTCCAAAATGATAATTTTCTTTTCAAATGAATTTCAAAGCATCTATTAAAAACTCCAATTTCCTTTTAAAAATCAAAAGCCATTCTATTGAAACTAGAAAAATTCAATTCCACGAGAAACATTCTCAATTCTTTCTTTCCAAAAATATCATTCATTCATTCAATTTATAATTGGAAAGGAGGAAAGAAAAAAAAAAGAAAAAATGATGAAAAAAGTACGTTGAAAATGATGCGAATAATAACAATATTAATAGTAATAATGATGAAATTTTTTTTGGACTGTTCGATAGATTTAGGCAGAAATTTCATTATAGGACAAATTGAAGAGGTCCCGAGTGAGGAATGCGCACCGGGCCATTGTGAAAGGTTGATAAATTATCCCTTGGGTGCCGCTGCGAGGCTTTCAGGGTCTTTCTCTCTCTCCCGCGAGGCAACACAGTCAATAACGAATTCCACTCCAAATTCGGTAGCACGAAAATTTGACTCGGAGGCACAGAGAGCGAAGTAGCAGCAGCAACAGCAGCAGCTGAGAGTATCAAAGAGAGTGAGGAGTGTGTGAGAGAGAGAAAGAGGAAGTAAAAGAGGCAGTGAGTCGTGTCTAGACCTAAACCCTCCGGTCAAATCGCGGCAAATTACCGTCCCGGATCCCCATCCTTATATTTTACAAACCATAAATATTAATCCACGTTTCCCCTCTATCCCTATATACCTCTCCTCTCTTCCTCTCTCATTTGTACAGTCATTCTCAAGAGCTTGGGCTCTTTTTTTATCCACATTTATTTCGATATAAAATAGCTCATTTAATTATGAAATTATGAATAAATATTTTTTGTCTTCATTTATTTGAATTTTTTTCAATTTGTTGCAGCAAGCACGAGTATTTTAATAGGAGTTACATGCCGAGCCAATGGAGCTCTTGAACGAGATGCAGCACAAGAGATAAGGACGTAGTCCGGTAGCCTGTTTCACCGGGCGAGTATTTATTGGTTATTGGCGGGCCATCATTAGTGGCTAAGAGAAAGAAAAAGAGAAAGCACACCAGTGAGACTGAGATGCACGGCAGATTTGGAGATATCTCGTTCAATATATATATATATATATATATACATATACATGTATGTATGTAGTTATATTAAACTTAACTACTTGTCTTACGAAGCCCAACGGCACTTTCGACAGTCCAATATTCATTTTTACCCCCGTTACATTTTTTTTTTTCATTGGATTGTTTGAGATATGTACTCATTTACTTTGGTGTTTCTCAGAAGTTTTCTCTCTTTCTCTCTCGGTTAATGTCTTTATAATTTTTTTCTTTTCGATATATATTTTATTTTACTCACGTAAGTATGAGAACTTCGCCAATTCTTCGGTGCGTATTTGCTCAGCTTACTCTCGGGGTCCACAAAAAGATACTCGCCATCTGAAATATTTTGTTTTGTTATTTTCATGTTGTTAATTTTGGGAAAGAATTGGGAAAAATGTTGGAGATAAAAGAATAATTATTTAATTGAAACAACCTTTTGGAGTATTTTTTTTTTCTTTTCAAATAAATACTCTGAATCTTTTTTTTTTTTTATTAGAAATAGACATTTGAGGAATGTTTTTTATATTCCTGATCAATTACTTCAATATTTCTTATATTTTTATTTTCTTGGTGAATATTTATTGAATCAAATTTTATTGAATTCTGTGATACAAGAAGTTAACAGTGCCAATACCACTAAACGTGTATTAAACAATGAAAGAAATCTTTCAACTTGTTTCTGAATGAGTAAAACTAATAAGACTCCAAACTCGTCCTACCCACATGATCCTCAACCAATCAATATCTTTTTTAATCAAAATATTTAATTTCTCATTAAAACAAACTGATTTCCAAGAAAAGAGGATTGCTGATCAATGAATCCAAGTCAGACTAATTAAAATGACGATTGAAAAAGCTGTAAAGTGAAGCAAAAATGTAAATAATCACAAGAAGATTCGCATTCTCCTGGCAACAGCCCTCAAGTCTATAAACTTGGGATTCTTTTTTGAAGGTTCTCTGGGACGTATAAGCTGGCAGACTCGAACACACCTGCTCACTCGAATGGAGGGGTTCGCGCATATAAACATCGGAAAGAAGAAGAAAAAAAAAATGATACACTCTAGCAAGATAAGTTAAAAAAGTTGAATGCCAAGAAGTGAAATCGTAAAGCGGAAGTAATAAAGATTTGGATCTTGGTGGATTTGGTATGAAGGAAGAAGAGAGGAGTGGAGGTATTTTCCATATCCATACATAAAGTGAAGTTACTTCGTGACAAGAAGAAGGATCCCTATAAAGTGAGCATGTTGTTTCCCAGAAAGAAACAATGCCTCGCTGCCGCCATGGCAATGCGCCGTAACCGTAATTACGACCATAATCACCCCTCTGATTGCCGGGAAGGCGTAGCGAGAGAGCAAGAGGGAAAGAAGAAGTGGAGAACGATGATCTCACACGTTACCTGGGCTTATAAGATCCACTCTCTCATGAATTCCTACACCATATGAGCCCACTCTTCAACAACGTTAGTCTAAAAAGCCAGTCGTTTTTTTATTTCGTTCCGCTAATGATCGTAATCATAATAATACGGCAATGATAATGCGGTGAAGGTTTATGGATTCATTTTTCATAGCTTTTTGGTTGGAATTTGGCTGGAGATACGATGGAATGTTGAAGATACGATGGAGGAAGAGGCCAAGTGAGAAAGCAAGAGTCTTGTGGGGCAAGCATTCCACATTAGTCGCGCCACCCCGTGCGCGAGGCGGGAGTAGTGTCGCGTCATGAGCTGGAGAACGAACGGATGATGGGTCGCATACCTGAATGCTCGCGAGACCTTGTTCGGGGCCCCTCCGGTCACTGAACGCGAATATGCATTTATTCTTTCTCTTCCTATATCACTCCCGCATACTTTGGTAACATTTTTACAGTTGTATACTACGCTAAAATGATCGTAAACAATTCTCATAAGCAGCTGGTGGATACCATAAAATTGCCAAGTGAATTTAAATTTGCCTCCACGTGTAGTCTCGAATGGGTAAAAGAGATGGTTCAAGTTTGTACATAAAGTCGAGCTTGATCTTCCTGAAACTCCTCATGGAATCCCCAGGGGGTCCACGTATATTCGCTGCAGTCGCATATTTCAGCTCGATCAAATTATTCCACGGGAACAAAACATGCCACGTAAATACGGAGTTGAGTAGTAAGTGCGGTCGTGGTGCTGAGATGGCCGCCAAGTCAAGTCAGAGGATGGAAAGAAAGAGGTATGAAGGGCCAAGGACGGTGGTAGGACAGACAAGATGAGCGGTAGGGGTAGGAATACGAACGCACTGCTGAGAAAAAGAGAGAGCGAAAGGATGAAGGACGGACAGGAAGACCGAGAGTGGAACGACGCTCAAGAGAGTACATACTGAGGAATCCAAAAGAAGCGAAAATATAAAAAAGAAAAAAATATTTCAGCCAGAATATACTACTCTCTCTCTCTTTCTTCATACCAACTACAAAACGTAAGTGAGATAGAGAAAGAAATAACCAGAAAAAAGAGACATAAAATGGCCCTTGCCAGCTGCTACTCTCCAACTCTCTTGATATCGCCAAAATCTCTCTTTCCCCTTTTCTCCCTCTTATTCATATCTACACTTATTCCACCCGCATACTCCATTGTTTATTCATATAAATAACATTTGCAAAAAGGTCACAGCTCTAATTTATCACTTATTTCATCATTTTTATTATTATTGTTTTATGTAAGTGACTTTATGAATGAGTCATTCATGCCATGTGTATGTTTAGCAAAGTCAAACATGACTACAATCTCGTCAAGGTTACTCAAGTGTAAAAGAGAAATTTGAAGATACACTACGATACATATATATATGTAGAAAGATATAAAGAGCTATGAAAGATTTATTCACAGTGGAATACTACATCATAAATCTCGTGTGCGAGAGACGCGAGAAAAAATAAGGTAGAGAAAAGACGAGTAAAACAAGATGGTGGATGGTAAGAAAAGGAGAAAGATGGTGAGTTAAATGTATATACGAGGCAAGAGGTGTTGTTTATGAGAGTCTTCGGGGTGAAAAAAAGACCGGGCCTTATAATATGTACGTCCACTTTGCGCTACAGCGTCGCGTCTTCTTGCTGTCGCAATGCGCGCCCAAGTTTCGCGGGGCATTCGTTGCTCCCGCCAACATTCGCTTATATGCCTGGACCTGCTAAATCCCATTTTCCCCTACTCCTTGAGCGAGGTCCCGAGTCCTCACCCTCCCACATTCCACTGCCGAGTCGTCGAGCAACAGCGCCCGAGAGAGAGACCAGGATGATGGTGGGAGGTGGAATACAAGGCACTCTATACAAATCACCGGGCTACCGTCTTACCCGCGAGCGCTTTCCCTCTCTCTCTCTCCTTACATTCCTCTTTCTCTCTTCCTCTTTTCATCTTTCAACCGTATACTTTTATTTCCTTTCACTATTCCTTTCTAAATCTTCATAATTCACTCAATTATTATTAGAATTCTTTATCGATTCCAAAAAAAAATTACCTCATCTCTCTCTCTCTCTCTCTTTTAATTATTTAATTTGTTTTTTTTTTTTTTAATTTAAAGTTTCTATTTTTGGAGTAAAAAAGAGATGAATATTTTTGGGTGAATTTATTAACAAGATAGTGATGAATAAATGTAGATATGTGTGAATGTATAACAAGGATGAGTATGTGTGTATGAAGAACGAAATAAGATCGAGAATTGGTATGAAGGCCGAGCTCAAGGGCTCCAAATAATTCCCAAGAGCCCTTCACGGAAAGCAAGTCACGCGAATCGCTTGAAGGGTCCAACGGAGCCAGGTTCCGCACCGCCAGAGTTTCTATTTTTAGCCACCGTATCCGCCGGCATGGAGATGGGCCTTCTATGACGATACATGTCTGATTATCTTGATACCTAATCTCATTTTATAACCCTAAATTTTGCATTTCCAACTCAAAGTCTTTCTTATCTTTTAAATTCATTAATTTATTCATTATTATAAAATAAAAATAAATATTATATAAAATAATAAAATAATAAGTTGAATTTTAAATGTAGAAATAATGATAATGAGAGTAAATGAAGTAGAATTGAGTGAATTTAGATTTGGATAACATGTGGAAATATCTTATCTATTTTTCCCCATCCATGTTCTGGTTTTTCAGATGCATTTTTTTCCGTGTCATGGCTCGCGCGTTTCAAAACCCGCCAGAGCTCGAGCGCGCGGTGATGGGGGTCCCTGGAATGTGAGTTCCAAGGTGGGGTGTTGAGTTGAAAAGAGAGAAAGAAAGCCGGCTGAGGATGGTGGTTCAAGAGAGGAGTAGGAGGGAGGGGGGAGTTTGCACAGGGCCTGGAAGGCCCAAGTGGCTCGCCAGGCGCGTCAGTAGCGGCGGAACAAGTCGGACCGGCTCGTATCTCTTGGTGGGGGAGAAGGGCCTCGTACATTGCAAACGAAAGACGCGGTAGAGCGAGTTTGGTATGCAAAAAGCTTTCAAGATTAAGTCAAGAGGTTCGTCACTATACTTGTATGATAATACTTTTACTATTTTTTTGACATTTTTTCTCCCCCCTCCCAGTAAATAAAAAGTTGTCTATTTGATTAATAAGCTTATGAATAGATTGAGAAGAATTAAATTTTCATTTCATACCTGAAAGTATTGCTAGGCCAAAAAGTTCGCAGTCTCGCATGCCCTGTTGCCCAAGCAGTAAGCATGTTTGCGCATAAACCTCCTTTACTCGTGACTTTGCCTGAAAAAAATTATTCAATTGTTAGATAAAAGATGATAATGATAATTTTAAAAGATATTTAAATACGTTGCAAATTAATATAAATTATTTCAATTTGCTAAAACGTTTTAAATGTTTGTATCCATCACTTTTTACTCATTTTGAAATATGTTATTTTGTAGAATACTTTTAGTATATTATTTCAACATATTTTATTCAACAAAAATAATAAATATTCACTGATTCACTTCCTATTTTTATCAATAAAAAAATTTAATTTTCTCTGTTTTTAAATGCTCTAATAAAAATAATTAAATAAATAAAAACAATAAGTAAAATCGTGCTCTCAATGTAAATTCAAACTCATGACTTCTTGTTGATGTTTAATTGTTTGAATAATATCTGCAACTACATGACTGCATTCTTAATGAATTGTCGAGTCTTGTGGAATTCTTGTTATTCATAATTTCGCAATAAATGATTTAGCAAGACAACAATGAAATTTTAATAATAAACAATATGTAAAAAAGGATATCGTAATGATTTAATAATGTATAATTGAAATTATTTATACTGGCAAGTTTGTCGTCCTAGGAAATTAAATACATTTACTGGTATGTGGGCTACGCTTTCACCGTTTGCAATATTCGTACACATATAAAACAACTTGGCGTATGCACTTTTAGTGCACATTGGTATGTGTATAAATACATATATATATTTGTGTTGCTCGCGTTTACTCACGATGAGACACCACGATACGTCTCTTCGTTGTCCACTTGGATGCCCTCGTGCTTGCTGTGAGGTTTATATACGTTAACCGGTTGCTGTATACGTCTCTTTCCCCTTACTAACATCTCGAATTGACGTTCGATTCGATATATCAATCGATCGACAACTGTTTGGCATTCTGAATTAGTCACATTTGCCAATTATCTCCTCTAAATATTTTTATTTTTTCCTCTCACTCGATCATCTATTTATTAATAACATTTTCATCATCCAGCTCAAGCAAGTCAACTAATTCATGATTTACCACAATTGATTGATCAAATGATTTTTTTTTCTACACCAAATAATTCATATTTGAATTTTCTTCAATCAAATGATTTCTCAATAATTCCTGAATAGTTGAAGTGCATAGGAATGCAACCAAATAATCCAACTGAAGTAAAAAATGTTGAGTTTTTTTTTACATTGGCTGTAAATTCCTTAGAGGAAACACTAAATTCGCACGTCTGAAAAGTCGATCCTTAATACACCCATAAATCGTTGATTGAGCACTAAATTGGTAAATTCATTCTCAGGTCGAGTAGGTGGTATAAAGATGGAAAAATGATCAAGGCCCAATTCCAGGGGATTTATCGTTGTTCATCGGACATCCTACGACAGCCACGTCGCATTCCACAGCGCGTTTGCTTGTCCCGGGCCAAATCTCTAGGGCCTCAGACCATAAAACATCCGGGCGAACAACCTGCTGTCTTGGATTTACAACCGATCCAATCTCCTTCAGTCTGACTTTCTTTCTCTTTCTTTCATACACATACACATAAACACGTGAAAAGATGGTTGGCTCTTAACCGCAACTCCTCGCAGAGAGCTGATTTATCATGTTCGATCGTCAGGAATGCCTTCCTCAAGAATGAACAATCATTTCATAGTCTTCAGACATTTCCTTCTCTTATCCGCACCATCATTTCCTCACAAATTAAATATCGATTAGGGAATTGTATAGTTATAGAGCTTGGAATATACTCCAGGCGAGTCTTGATGGTTCCAGCAAAAACAACATGAGAACGAGTAATAATAATAGTCTATACCTAGGAATAGTCGAGTGGAATCCAGTCTCACGAGATTATTCCGATGACAGGCAACACGATTCCATTAAATTAATCGTGAGAAGTATCTTTCTACCATTATATGTGTATACATATATCCCCCTATATACTAGTTCTCATTTCCTCTGTGAACAACGTTGGAAAGCGTAGGCACCAAGGCGTGCACGCTAACGAGCTCATTAATGGCTCAATTAAAAGATGCAAGTCTTCGCATTTAAGCAGACTTTGTGTAGACCTTGAGAGATCTGAGCTACTTTTTTACTTACCTCAACGACGAAGTACAGGGGATCACCGGGGAGGGCGTGGACGGCGAGGTAGCGGCTGGCGGACACCAGGGGTTGAAGGCAGGACCGCGCAGCCGTGACACCGCTACCACGCATGCTGCATGCTTCATTTCGTCGCCGATACGCCCTGCGTCCTCACTGAAACATACATTTTATCATTATTCAATGTTCATTTATCATCAATATTATACGTGTTTAATAATAATAAAAAAACAAAAGATATTTTAATTCCATAGAGCAACATGTAACTCTAAACTAATCCACAGCATTCCCTTCAAACACCGACCATCATTCCATACTCGTTTCTCTTCAGAGAGCTTACTCCAAAACGATTAAAAACAAATGCTCCGATAGTATCAGCATTATTGCATCAAGTGAAAAATGCTAAATAATATCATCAAGGTCCATGACCTACTCCAAGACAACTCGAGCACTTCCTAGCATTTTAGTTGAGTGCATATGAAGGAAGTGGGAGGGGCGCGCGAGATAACAATGCACTCGGTGAGGGTAGGGCTATGCAAATGGCAACGGTAACTGGTCACACAAATCACTGTGGCATTTCAGGGTAAATCTCGTGTGGTATAAGAGGAGAGTGGGCGCCGCGCGTGCTCTGACTCCTTCCACATGCCAAGCTGATGTCCCTTTCTCTCTCCCTTTTATTTTCCCAAGCGGTAAATCACCGGATCGCTCCCGGCGTTACGCTATTTTCATCTTCTTCTTCTTCTTCTTCTTCTTCTCCTTCTTCTTCATTTCTAAGACGCGAAACAATTCTACTTTTATATTATTTTGAAGAAGAAGAAGAAAAAAAAAGCAGAAAACAAGAATTTTTTCACCAGGTCGCGTGTAAAGAGCTAATGGTCTTGGAATACATATTTTATACTGACGAAGATTCTACGTCGCTTGAGAGAATGGATGATCGATGAGATCCATTATTGAAGAGCGCGCGTGCGATCCGCCCACGCCTCGAGGAAGACTCGTTCACGCCACTAGATTCATGCAAGTACCCCTTGGAGTATATTTATGTACAATGAAACAAATGCACTCTACTTCTATTCGCTCATCGGGTGCGTGCGAACGGGCGGCTAACGGCCAGGTTATTACACCGATTGCTCCGGATACCGGATGGAAAAGTCGGTGGCATCGATCTTCAGCATCGTGGGATTCTTTCGAGTTAAAGGATTGCCATTGCTTATGCACGTTTATGCATTGAGAAAGCGATTCATTAGTAGTTGGATATATTCGTTGATCTAGATTAATAAAATTTTTTGATTGATTCAAATGGAATAATTAATTGGCATTTTTTTTTCTACAGATATTTGACAGATGAAATCTCCAAGAATTAATGAATTAAATAATAGTAACAATAAAAATACAAATTATTTCGATTTTTATATCCAGAAAGAGACAATAAGACTGGGAACCATTTAATAATTAATTTATTTATTATTAAATATTATTTAATAATAAATAACACGATATACCTTAGGACAACATGATCAGACTGGTTCTTGACCATATTTCATTGCTACTTGAGTAAGTCATACAAAACTATGCAATTTTAATTGAAAAATTTGTAAATAGAAGTGATTCTTCAGTAAGTAAACTAGAAACAAGTCAAGACTGTGGTAAAAATTACCCAACTTGAGGTAAAAATGACTCTAATTACTCTAAAAAAAGTGACATCATTTAAAGTTGATTAAATTTCGTTCTTATAAGGAATAATTTTCACTTATTGTCAGATGTTGAATAATTATTAGCCACTTGTAATTTATTCTTATTTTACCGACAGTGTGAAGTAATTTTTGAAGTGTACACCGAAATTTATATTTAGATTAATTATGAATTTTTTAACATTATTAATTATCTGAAAACATTGTGATATTTAATAAAATACACAAGAAAATTAACTGATACTTCATTCCATGTAAAACGATCGCAATAAACTAGTAAATTAATTCCAAGTATGATATGAATAAATATTGAATGTAAGCGAATTATATTCAAGGGAATTTTTAAAAAGATGAATAGAATGTGTTTACCTTGTGAAAAATATTATTCATAAACGATTGTTCTTCTCATAATGAAATAAAAAAGCAGAATTAAAATATTAACTTCTAACTCATCCTTTATTTTTCGCATTTATCATCATCATTGGCATCATCCTTCTCTTTTATTACATTATGTCGAGTATTTAGGCCAGCGGGCGTCCTGATCATTTTGTCGTTATTGTTTTGTACATTTACCGGTGAAGTGTGACGACAGACAGGTTTTTTGCAAACCCAAGTAAAGGGGCGAAGATACGTAGGAGGTGATATACAAACAATGTGAACTACATTCCCATGTCGTGACTAAACTTCCCTCTCTTCTTCCGATAACGCCTCCGTCAATTCAATGATTTAGCAACTGTTGTTTGCAACGATTATGATCGTTATTGGTTTATTAATTACTTCTCATACCACATACACACCGTGCTCTTGCATTGTAATTGTCTTTTCTAAGTCATACACCTTAAACATCACTGGAAAATAGTTTAACAAAACCATCAATAATTTGCCTGATTTTCTGATTCAATATTTTTATTTTTAAAAACACTTTAGGTACATGATCATACAAATTCCTTCGCACTACTAGATGTTATATAATATACATTATATGTTACTCGAAACTGCTGAGCAGCATAACAGGAGACTTTCAAATGAAATAATCTAAATTTAGAGTTACTTTTGAAAAGAATCCAATCGAATATAAAATAATAAAAGAGTTTGTGAGTTATCAATATAATGATTATTTAAAGAAGAAAAAAAAATAAATTCCTAATCGATGAATCATATTTCCCTACATGGAAAAATATATAGAATGTTTTATATTAAAAGTCTTCTCATTAATTTTCATTTTTTTTTCCTTTCTACCATCAGTCAGTACATTGTAAAAGCGTGATTCAATGTAAAACAATCTCAAGTATTTAGATAATAGAACGATACACAGATATAACGAGTAGATTATCTAATTTAGCAAACAAGCAACCAAGTACCAACCACATGAAATGACTCATGAAAACTCTAGTAAACGTAAAAACACTATTATTCATATGAATCATAAAAAGTCAATTGTAGTTACAATAATAATCCAGACTGCAAATATCAATGAGCAAAAATTTAAATATGTATAAACCATTGATATTTAATGAATCACTTCCTGGACTTTACACAAGAGCTATATAACTGGAGAGTTTTGTCAAGAAATTATCATTTGAAAGTTGATTCTAGTGTTTTTTAGACATTAAAATGGAAAAAAGATGAAAAAATGAAAAGGCAAACAAGCGACTCTTCTTTCTTGGATAAGAACACGACGGACGTAAACACGGCATTCGTTGGTGCTTGGTCGTCGTGCCGCTCATGATGAGGGTTTACCGAAACGTTCGCAAATCACGATGGAATGTCGTCGGACTGGTGTGCGCCCGTGCGCGCCATACAGTGACATATACAGACCGCGACAACCAACTCGCCGACTCGCGAGAAGACGTGCTTACATAAGGACGTGTTACGACGCGTTATAACCAGAGGAAATGATGAAAAAAATTATCAAGACAAGCACCAGTAGAGTACCATCTCCATTTTCCCTTTATAATCTCTTGCTTTGAGGTATAACACGTTTATAGAAAAACGTCATAAAAACTACTCCAAGATAAGACGTCATGTTAATATATTACTTTAATAGGAACCATTCTTGCTGACGATTATCAACTTAACACCATCAAGAATAATCCTTTGAAACTACATCAGGATAAGACTAGGATCAAGTCAAGAAGTTGATGACAGCTGTTCTTCATCAGTAATCTTTCCTCCTGTTATTATCAAGCTTATAGACTGATAAAAAAGCTTGATGATGCTTGAGTTTAAGTATCATGAATCTTTACACTTTTCTGAAAGTTTGTTGGAAAATTATCAAGTCGATTATTCATCTTGGAAACTTATTGAACACAAACGATGATTAATTGATATTGAAAATTATTATTAAAAAGAAAGTTTTGATAATGAAGCAAACAAAATAGGATATTCTTTAAGTCTAAATCATCATAAGTTAGAGCAGATGCAGATCATCCATTCATAAATATGATATGTCAAAAATATAGTGATAAATTGATTTAGTACATGTTCCAATAATTAACATCAAACCTGATGTATTGTTACATGCTTGAAATAATAGGAACAATTTTCATAGAATATTTTAGTTTAATTTCGAAATAAATTAAAATGTTTTCCTTAATTATTTAAATACAGGACAAATAAATTTTATTGCTTAATTTTTTATTTGCTAATTTTCCTTATCGAATGTTCGTTGATTTTTATTTGATTTTTACTGTTAGCTAAAATGTTGAAAATATATTGAGAATGATGAGTTTACGTTTGTAACTGGGTAATAAAGAAGCAAAAGTGCAAGGTTCAATTGACAGTACCGAGAAAAATGTGGATAACGTAAGATTATTACACTGAGAGCACGGTCAAACGTACGTCGAACCCGTTAACCACACACGGTTCTTTTTTTTTCTTTTCATTTCTTCTCCTCCCCCAAGTCTTTTCTCCATACACACCATGATCATGTACCGCGTGCCGAGGACTAACGAGTCACATTCTGTAATGCTCGTAATTTTAATAAGCCCGTATCTTAATGGATTTTATGGAGACATATTCAACGACTGTGTTTATAATTCCACTGTATTTTTTCATGCTAAATAACCCATTTGGAATACTACAACACTATTTATCGGTGGTTTTAGGAAATAAGGTCTTGCTAGAGTTCATCAAGTACAGCTAGTTATTTTATCAATCTCCCATTTTATGTATGTTCATTAAAAATGTTGCAACTTCTCTACTACATGTTTATAATTTAACATTCAAATTAATTAGTTAGTAAATCATTTGATTTAACAATTTAAAATGAAAAATAACTCACATGAATTTAATAGCAATGTCTGACTAAAATTGAGTTGTACTACTTTTTGGAAAAAGCTTTTTTTCCATATTTCAATTATTTATTTTTTAATTGTTTTTAAAAAAATTTCCTCAATAAATATCAATGATTTTGAATTCAATAAATGAGTTTAAGGATTTTATTAAATTTAATTAATTGAAGA